TAATATAAATGAGAAAATTATTTCTATCAAACTACAACACTATAGAAGAGAAAAAGAGAGAAAAAACCTTTATTTGTGTAATGTGTTTCAACTTTTGGCATGGTTTATTTTTAAACTTATGTAATGCATTATTAATTATTAATTTGAATTATTTTATAAATAACACAATTTCTTATGTAATTCTTTGTGTCTTTTAACATTTCCATACTTAAAATTGATTTTTTCTTAAATTTTTTTAAGAAATAATGAACTGTTTCTATTTACCCCTAAATTTTTGCAAAGTTGAAAAATTTAGGGGAAAATAGAAACAGTTGATTATTGCGATTTAATGATACCTATATTTTTTACTTCGCCATAAAATTGTTCCACGGAAGTGAAATAATAACGCAATACACAAAAAAACCGAAAGTATTCCAATTTAAAAGAAAAAACTTTATGTTATTGGTGAAACTTAGCAAATCTGTTTCTATTTACCCCAACTGACCCTATAAATTTTTTTAACATTAACCAATTTTTTTTAATTTCAATTTTTAATATTTAATAATAATAATAGGTATTTAAATACTTATTTTAAAAATTGGTAAAAATACTTATTTTGAATAAATTTAGTAAGAAATACAAGAAATAAAAAATCACTCTTGTGACAACTCTAAATATAATAAATGACTTTTTCCAATTTTTTTTCTACTCTGAATCGACAAAAACGACATTTTTTTGTCCCTTTAAAGTCAATCCGAGGTCTGAAATTGTTATTTTAAAAATTCTAGAAAAATTGATAAAGATTTTAACAAATGACAATTTTAATTGATTACGTAAGATTATAATACACGATTTGATTAATGTCATTTAACAATAACAAGAATTTTTTTCAACAATTGCATAAAAAAAAGTGCAAAAATTTATCACGAGATCATTCTGAAAGATTGTTTATACTATTGAAAAACGACCGGAAAAAACAATCATAAGGTTAAATAATGCCGCACGGTTTAAGGAACGCATTAAAATTTAACAGTAAATAAAAGTAATAAACATTTTTCCCCGAATTGAATTTCTTCCAGCATTAATCTTGTTTGTTTATCAACAAAAGCTAAAAGCTTTAGCAAAGCAAAAGCTTCTTTTCATTCAAAGTTCAGAAAAGTTGCATAAAAATACGAAGCGCGATATTTTGTTTTTATATTGAGTGATTCATTCATCAATACTCATTGACAGTGAAGAAAAGAGAAAATATTCAAATAAAAAGAAAATATTTAAATCAAAAAATAAATAATCGAGGACAAAACGAAAATTAAAAAATTTATTGACAAATTTAATTTAAATAATTTGCTAAATAATCTTTCTTTTAATTTACAAGATATTTTTTTCTGTTTTTCATTCTCATTATTACAGTGAATTAAAATTTATTTGGACAGTGGAAGCGCATTCTGATGAATATTTCATCTCGTGTCATTATTGCATAATCCAAAGGGTTAATGTTTTTTTTTCTTTTTAATAATTTTTTTCCATGATTGTAAGATTGATTATCGTAAAAGTTGATTTGAATTCTTTAATGTTCTTGCTCAATTTTATCTTATTTAAATAAATATAATATCAATTTACGTTATTTTATATGTATTAGAAGCATATTCATAAAATAGTTTTCGAAAAGAAAAAAATTTTTCAGAAATTAACAATCCAAGAGCGTTTAATGTCAAATCTGAGAAAAAAATCTTTGACCTCGAATTACTCATGGCACGTTTTCCAACATTTTTTTTTCTCTCGTTTGTAATTGAACGTGACACATAGATGTTCATATTATCTTTCTTCTTGGAAGACACACGTTTAGGAAATTCGCATATAAAATATGAGAAAAAGATTCCATCCTGCTTTAAATTTTCAACTTGGAATTTGAGAAAAAGAAAAATTTTTATACTCTCATATCAGATTAACTCAAAGGAATAAACCGAATTTTTTTTTCTTTTTTTGAGTCAAGATTTACACTTTAGTTGAAATTTTACTGTTATTTTAAAATCCATAAATTTGAGTGACTTTTAAAATTATTAGAATTGCAATTGTGTGGTAACAATCTCGAGTACTGTGTACACCAAGCAATCAAAAAATTGAAGAATTGCTTTAAAAAAATCAGTCAAAGAGAAAGTGTGTTTTTTTTGCAAAGTATAAACATTAAAAAAAAAATTTGGAGATATTGTGAAATAAGCATTATGTGCATAGATATAGCCAAACCCGTTGAGTCATTTGGACGGATAAGTTTAGCAGTTCAATGATCTTGAAAGAAAGCGTGCCTTGCAGGGTATTCGTTTCTTGCAAATAACACACTTTCTCTTTCTCTTCGTTTCTCTTCGATAATTAAATTTTTTAAAATTGTTCACAATTGATAGTGGGCTTTGAAAAAAAGTTACTTGTGGTAAATTAAAAATACTTTTGTTCACAACTTTTGCAAATAAGTAAAACGTCGTCTCAATTCAGTTTTTTCAAATTATTTAATATTTTAATTGCTAATGTAATATTTAATTTTACATTAATTTTGAATATCAAAACGTTTGCAAAGAATAAAAAGTTGTCTGAACTCTTTTTTTTTAATTATTTAAATGTAAATGTAAAATTTAGATTTACATTAATTTTAAATATTTTTATTTCCATGTTCAGGTTTTAATTGCAATTACATAACAATTACTATTATTATTATCTATTATTACAAATAATTCAAGAAAATTCTTCGAAACAATTTAATTGTTTTCAAAAAATCTGATAAAATTGTTTAGAAGAATTAAATTATTTTTTATACAATATTTATTAAAATTCTTCGAATGAATTCAATTATTTTTAGTACCTAAAATTTAATATAATTTATCGAATGAATTCAATTATTTTCGAAATAGTGGTAAAATTTAAAACCTTAATTCAAAAAATTCAATTATTTTGAAAACAATTTAAATTACAGTCCTCGAAAAAATTTAATTATTTTCAAAAATTGTATAATAAAATAGGTAATTTACAAGAATTCAATTATCTCAGTAAAAAAAAATTTTTAGCAAGAATTCAATTGTAAAAATTAGAAAAAAATTATCCACGGGAATTCAATTATTTTCAAATAATTATATTCTGCCCCAGAATTCAATTATTGTCGAAATTCAATTATTTTCATAAATAATAAAATTCTCAGCAGATATTCAATTATTTTTTAAAATTTAAATAAAATTTTTCGAATTAATTCAATTATTTTTAAAATTGTAATAAAATTTTTATTTTAATTCAGAATTCAATTATTTTTAATACAATTTTAAGAAAATTCCTTGGGGATTTCAAATTTTTAAAAAAAATTTTCAAGAAATTCTATAAAAAAATTCAATTATTTAAAAAATTTTAATAAAATTTTTTTGAATAATTCAATTAATTTTTGTATTATCTCAGTTAAATTCCTCGAAAAAAATGAATTATTTTCCAAAATTGAAATAAAATTCTTCGCAAGAATTTAATTTCTTTTTAAAAATTGTAGGTAATAAAATTCTTCAGAGGAATTCAATTATTTTGAAATATTGTAATGAAATTTTGCTCAAGAATTTAATTATTGTCGAAAAGGATAAGTTTCTGCAGGAATTAAATTATTTTTAAAATTCTGATAAAATTTTTATTTTAATTCAAACAATTCAATTATTTACAATATCTACAATTTGAATACATTTTTTCGGATAGATTTCAATTATTTTAAAGAACTTTTAAATTGCTTAAAAAAATTTTTGTCAAATTGTTTTGAAGAATTCAATTATTTTCAGTACAATTCAAATTTAATTTCTCTTAAGAATTTAATTATCTACAAAAACTGTATTAAAATTCTTCTCAGAAATTCAATTATTGTAAATAATAAATTTTAAATAAACGTCTTTACTTAAATTTAATAATTCTCAAAAATTGTAATAAAATTTGTATCAAGTATTCAATTATTGTTGTAAATATTAAGTCTTCACAGGAATTCAATTATTTTCAAAAAATGTATTTGGATTCTTCTCAGGAATTCAATTATTGTTGTAAATAATAAAATTCGTCACAGACATTCAATTATTTTCGAAAATTGTTATAATATTCTTCGCAAGAATTCAATTATTCTTGTAAGTAACAAAATTCTTAACAGGAAATTAATTATTTTCAATTCAATTTTAATTAAATTCTTTATAAGAATTCAATTATTTTTAATATACCTATTTAAATTAAATTCTTCGAAATAATTGAATTATTTTCAAAAATTTGAAATTGAATTATATTGTAATTTTATAATTTTAATTGGTTTTCTCTGTAATTCTGTATTTAGAATTGAATTATACTGTAATTTTATAGTTAGGATTGAATTTTACCGTAATTCTACAATATTATAAAAGTATAGATATATTTATTCTCTATAATTCACAGTCAATTATTTTGAATACAATTTTTTTAATTTCTCGAAAGAATTCAATTATTTTCAAAAATTTTACTAAATTACTTCGTGACAATTAAATTATTTAATTATTATAAATTATTTAAAAAAAATGTATGTAATAAAAAAAAATGTTCGCAACAACTCAATTATTATATATAGATCATATGTAAAGTGATGATGTTTTTATTTTCTGGATATACACAAGCTGTGTAAAAATTGGAGATTCCAATTCGGAGAAAATTGCGAGAATAATAAGATATTGATTTGTTGAGATTTGTGGAAGTTGGAAGACTTTTAATTAGTCATAATATGTTATCTATGTTAAATAACGATGGATAATACTGATTATAAATGTTGGAATTGATGATATATAGATGATGATTTGAATTTCGATATCATATGCGCTACGAACCTGCGTACTAACCCCTTCACAAAGAAGTCTTGTAGAAAAGCTTGGACGATGGCAACTACTCGTCAGTAACGCTAAAAGTATTCGCAAGTTAAGTTGTCATTGGCCATCCTCTGCCTTAGCTTTTTAAGGAGACCGGCTCGTACGTGTTGTGTCATACAATTTCAATCATCAACCGCGACATTCGATTGCACTCTTTAGTTCAATCAAAAGTTTCATTATCCACGCGCTCAACCGGCAGTGTGAAATTTAAATATTCATTTAAACGTGGGAAATAAATTCATTTCCGTTCCAGTCACCTTGTGACATTTCAAATTCAGGTACTTGATTTACTTCTTCAAAATATTCTTCAACACTAAAAAAAATAACCAATTACTCGTCTATAAATAAATATTTACTTGAATCAAATCATTTTTATTTCAGTCAATTAAATCGTATTTGAACTAATAATTTCAGTAAATATGAATTGAACCATTTCATTGACTCAATTATTTGATTCAAATAATTTTTTTGCAAATTTCAAAATAACTCAAAATTATAAAACTTCTTTTATTCTATCGTTTGAATTCAATATTCGAAAATTATTGTTCACTTTTTTTTAAACAATACTTCAACCTGACATAGTTATCTATAATTAAAATGTTTGTCCCTGAAATAATTGCGCCTTCGACAGTCGAATTATTATTACGCTTAAGATTCAAAATAATTAAAAGAATAATTAAAGTTAAATCAAATTTTCAAAAATATTTTACTTACTGCTTTTTAAAATTTTTTTCACACAATATATTTAAATAGCAAAAGCTTTCTCCACGTGGATGCAAAAATAAATATTCAAAATATTAATATTATTATATTCTTTAAAATTCAAGTATTTAATTTATTTGTTCTAAATATATTTCAAAGATGATTGTCAATAATTTTAAAAAAAAAATCAGAATTAAAACTACTTAATTTGAATTTGAATAATTTAAATTTTGAAGTTTACTTGCAAACAGGAAATTAACTATCACTGTTTAAAAAATTGAAATAAAAAATTGTTTGCAAAAACTTCACTAGAGAAAGGTTTATTTTTTTGGTTTTAAAAAATAGTCTTCGAATAATATTATTAGAGAAGGATTAAAACATTTTAGAAACAAGAGACTTTAAATTTTTAAGAAAATGAATAATTTGAAAGAGCCTTGAATTCTAATACGTTCACAGTGTATATAAAATTAAGTTTAAAAAATTTAAATTGAACTGAAGAATATTTATAGGCTGTTTTGTGAAAAGAAATATTTGTTTGTTCTATTAAAATTCAAATGACTGAATATTATGTTCGTTGAAAAAAAATTTTATTCTTAAGTTTAAAGAATAATGTAAAAATTAAAAATTCGAATCTCCTGAGATGCATTCTAAATATTTTAGAAATATTTAAAAAAAATTTAGTTTAAAAAATTGTTATCAACTTTCAAACAATTTTTTTAATTTTTTAGTCCAGAGAACATGATTTTTCACGCAAATAAGAAAAAAATTTGTTAAAAATCATGTTCTCTGGGCTAATAACCCTAGGCTTAGAGTGCCCTTAGACAATTCAGTATTTTTCATTGTGTATTTTTTTTTCTTATCTACCATGTCTGTTATCTTCAGAAACCGTTAGTACATCACTTATTTTACAATTTGCGTAGAAATTGCAGAATGCATTTTTGCACAAACAGCTTTGTTCCGTATAATTTCAAACTTTTCTTAATTTTGTAAAATTAATTATTTTTTATTAAATTTAATTTAAATAAGTTATTTATTTTTTACCGAATTAAAAAAATTAATTATTTTTTATTAATTTCAATTAAAAAAAGTTAATTATTTTTTATTCCATTAAATTTAAAGAAATTATTTTGTATTAAATAAAATCTAAAGACATTAATTATTTTGTAAAAATTAAATTTACAGAAATTCATTATTTGCACTGTAAAAAGAAAGGTTCTAATTTAGTACCAATTTTGGTATTGAATAATAATTTGTTTCTATTTTAATAGCGAAATAAACTTTTTTACAGTAAATTAAATTCAAGAAACTTGGGAATAATTAATAATAATAATAATTCGTTTTTATCAAATTAATTTAAAAAAAAAAAATTATATAAGACAATTAAAAAAGAGAAACAAAAGAAACGTCTGCCTAGTCATCTCGGCAAAATGTTTAAGAAAACAAAAATTTTAGTTGCATAATAAAAAATTGATGGTTAAATGCAAAATTTTACATAACGGTATTATAGTAAAGTTGTAAAGCAACATTTACAGATCATGACATTGATTTTATTAGAATTATCATAAAAATGGCATTAAAAAAATGTTAATTCGAGGCATTCATATATATATAATACCAAATGAAATCGAGAGTCATAATATTGCGGTCAATGTAAAAATTTTACCTCGATCTTGTCCTTATATTATTATAGGCATATAAATATCAATTAACTAATTTTTTTAAATACTTTAAAATTTTTAAATTTTGTAAAACAAAATTTACAAATCTCTACTCATCGACTTTGATTTTATTTTTTATATACATGCAAGACTTTGAAAATTTCTAGAAAGTATACAAATTTTGGGGATGATGGTTTTTGTACTGTAGATATATTATATTATTAATTCTTTTTTATCAAAAAGAGCAAGCACTTTGTTTAATATATTATAAATTTTCATTAAAATTTTATTTACATATGTAAGTAATAAGCACTATTTATTATTAACTAACTGGCAAATGCTACGTGCGTTTGAGCGCGAAACGCATTATTCAATTTATTTATTATTATTATTATTATTATTATGCAATTTATACAAGATTTTTTATTTTCGAATATCAACTTCAATTTTTGAATGATTTCAAATTTCAAATTCACAACAATTTTACTTATTAAATAATTAACTATTATTAGTATTATTTCCAAAAATTTCCTTTAAATTCTTTAAACCAATTTAATTATATTCAAAATTTTAATAAAAAAAACCTTCTCAAGAATTGAATTATTTTTTAAAATTTTAACTAAATTCTTCGAATGGATTCAATTATTTTCAAAATTGTAATAAATGGCTACAGTTTTATTCAAACAATAATTCAATTATTTTCAATACAATTTTAATTAAATTCCTCAAAAGAATTTAATTATTTTCAAAAATTTTAATAAATTTTTTCTCAAGAATTCAATTATTTTCAAAAATTGTAATTAAATTCTTTTCAGAAATTCGCAATTACTGTCGTAAATAATAAAAGTCTTTATAGAAATTCAATTATTTTCAAGAATAAATTGTAATAAAATTTTTCTCAAGAATTCAATTATTGTCGTAAATAATAAATCATCGCAGGAATTCTAAACTGAAAAGAATATTTTGGTTTAAAATAATATCAAAGAAAGAAAGAAAGAAAGAAGTTGAAAATTTGTTGTCGATTTTCTGGAAGCTTCCTCAGATCTTTAATCATTCTTCTCTTCTCTGATTAATACTATATTCAAAATACATCATTGTCTACAAATCCTCCGATTATGATTCCAGTCTGCGGCCCTTGACTTGAATGTTAGTGATAACTCCACGAACTTGGACTTTGACATACTTGTGGATGAAGAACTGTATTATCAACAATTTTTGTTATTCTTTTTGCATATAACCTTCACACTTTTTTCCGTTGTGCATTTACATATAATTTAAAAAAAGAAAAGAAACTTTGGAAAACACTGTGGTAACAATTCGGAGAGGGTCCTAAATGAAATTTTTTTTTGTGAGAGCACTTAGAAAACATCGAACAAAATAAAAAAAAAAGAAGAAAGAAAATAAGGGGGGAAAAATAATGAAAGAAAAAAATAAAGGAAGAAAAAAATGAAAAAGAAAGAAAATAAAAAATAAAGAAGGAAGAAAATAAAGTAGGAGAAAAATAAAGAAGAAGAATGAAAATAAAAAAGGAACGAAATAAAGAAGGGGAAAAATAAAGAAGAATGAAAATAAAAAAGGGAAAAAATGAAAGAGGAAGAAAATAAAAAAAGAGAAAAAATAAAGAAGAAAGAAAATAAAAAAGGAAAAAAATAAAAAAGTAAAAAATAAAAGAGGAAAAAAATAAGAAAAGAAGAAAATAAAAAAGAGAAACAATAAGAAGATAGAAAATAAGGAAGGAAAAGAATAAAGAAGAAGAAAGAAAATAAAGAAGTGAAAAAATAAAAAAGAAGGAAGAAAATGAAGAAAGAAAAAAAGGGAAAAAGAAAATAATATGGAAGAAAGACTTTAATTATATAAAATTAATGTAGCTCCATATAACGGTGTTTCATATTTGCTCTTACACAAATAATTACCCATTGAATTATATTAATTTATTTTCGCACAATAAATTATTAATCATTCAAAAAAAAAATCCCTCGAGTGATATTTTATGGTATTCATTGCCAAATGTCAAACAATGTTTCATTCTTGAATTTTTTTTTTCTTATTCTTCTGTATTGTTGATATTTTTCTCTTGGTGGGGAAAAAATGTTTAGGGATTTATCGGTCGTTGTAGTTTGCTCGTTAAACATTAAACAAAACACATTGTCGACTATTGTTTTTATCTGTCGACTTTTTATTTATTAACTCCATTTCCAATTTAAAATGATTGATCATCTCTTGTTGGCAGTAAAATTAATTAACTTTTGACTTTCATTGATACATTAGTTTATGTTTCTTGTTGCAGTTTAACGTTTCAATACTTCTTTTTTTATTTTTTTTTTGTGTGCGAATTTATAATAATTTTTCTGACGCACTGGGAAAACCTTGTAATTTGATGCGAGAGAAGATATGAAAAGAATTGAAACAATACAAAAGAATCGAATTTTCGATTTCTAAGAGGAAAATTGTTATTTTGACTTTCATTAATGAAATTACGCAAGGAAAATTTGATTTTGATTTTCCCTGACATTTTCCTGATTTTCAGACAGAATTTCGAATTTTTCCCTGACTCTAAAAAATATTCTAATTTACTGTAAAAATGACTATGAAGAAAAAAAAATTCTAATACTTTTATTCGCGAATTTCTTGAAATGTAAAATTATTCAAAAACATCAAATTTTCTTTTTTGAATAAATATTAAATCAGTATTATTTTTCCATATGAATACAAATTTTACAAGAATTTAATTTCAAACTTTTTGATATTTAATAATTTATAAAAATTGCTACTGTAAGTTCTTCAAAATTATTTTCATGATTTCAATTTAATTTTCTGGGATTTTTAACTAAAATTCTCTAAATCAATTATTTTTAATAATTTTTGACAAAGTTCGTTGAGAATTCAATTATTCCAAGCTCACCTAAATTAATTTTGAAATACTGTTTACAATTCAATTTAACTAAATTTCGATTATTCGGGAATTTCTTAATTAAATTTTTAAAAAATTCAATTATTAGGTAGTGTCGTAAATAATAAAAATCTTTATAGAAATTCAATTATTTTCAAGAATTTAAATAAAATTTTTCTCAAGAATTTAATTACTCTCGTAAATAAAAAATTAATAAAATTTTAATAAAGTTTTTTCATGTAATTAATTATTTTCATTATAATTTTAATAAAATTCCTTGAAAAAATTCAACTATTTTCAGTACAATTTTAGTAAAATTTCTCGAAAGAATTTAATTATTTTCATTACAATTTTGTCAAAATTTATTGAATTTACTTTAATAAAATTCTCTGATTCCCCTGACCTGCATCAACCCTGCCTTGGATAATATTTGCTTTTCTTGATCATCAAAAAAAAAAAAAAAAAAATTCCCAACCCTCATAAATTTGTATAAAGTAGGAAGTCATTAGTCGATGACCTTTTCCTTAAAACTACTTTTGTTATGCAATTGTTTTGCAAAAAATTTTTTTACTTTCTTAGTGTAGGCAGTTTTTAATAGACGATTCTAATACGTGGTCTCAACAATATGTTAATGAAGATATTCTAAAACACTTCCGTGGGGAAAAAAAGCAATTATTATTGACAAGTTCTATTAAATTGTTAAAAATAGTTTTACGAGAAAAACTGTCAACTTTTTATTATTATTATTCTTATTAAGCCAAAATATTTGCATAATTATAACGGACATAAGTATGTTGTGAAAGTTCCTAACGTTACATATATTTGCAAGCGGAATAGAAGTAAAAAAAAGGAGTGATTGAGGTTTAGGAGTCAGAAAATTCGATGTGGAGAGATTTCGAGATTTCAATCTTGAAACATGCTTCAGAACCGTGAAGAGGTCGTTTCGTCTTTTTTGTTTTCTTTTTTATTATCATATATAAATCTTGGCAGAAAGTTTTTAATTTAAACGTGACTGAAATTGTATTTCCCAAATATTAGTTTGAAAATTTCGAAAAATGAAAATTATGAAATTAAAATTATGAATTTTACAGAAAAATAGTTTTTTATGGTTGGATTGAAAAATTTATTTTTATGGTTTGGTGTTGTTAGACAAAACATTGAATCAAGTATTTTTTTGATTAAGAAATCGCAATTAGTACAATTTTTATATAATAATAAATTCATACGTATTGAGGTTGAAGCGATTTACAGCTCATTAGAGAAAAAAAAATTGACTCAAGTACTATTTAATTTTGCAAATGCGGTCATTGCAGAATTCAGAAATATTAAACAACTTTCTCTCTTATGATTTCAGTATAGTGAAGCTGGGACAAGATGCAAGATTGATAAAAGGGGAGAATCCCGCATAGAGAAGAATTAATTCCAAATTTCTGAATGAGGATGAATAGAGGATAATTTTTTTTTTTTTTTTTTTTGAAACTTGAAGAATTTGAATTTTTTTCTTTGATCATCAGAATGACGTCGAATCATTCGAATCATTGCTCGCCTTCCCGATCATCTTTAAGCTGTTGCCAGGTGGATAATACTAGTCAAAGCGACGTGAATGAGACATGCGTGCCTGGAAACAATAATTATTTTATGCAAGAGAAACACTCTTTCCCAAAGAGGCCGGAAGTCGATTTATCCTTTCGGAATATTAGGTACAGCATCAAGCAATGGAACCTCCGAAAATTGAAACCTGGTAAATAAACTTTTATTTTATGTTTTATTTTCAATGCTAACAAAATTTACTACGTACAATATAAAAATTATTTAATTATTTTAATTAATTTTAATGAATTACAACTCTTTATATTTAATACTTAATTATTCTCGTAAATATATAGCTAAATTAAATTATTTTCAAGAATTGCAATACAATTTTTATCAACAATTCAATTATTTTTCTCAAGAATTTAATTATTGTCGTAAAATAAATCAACAAGTATTCACAAAAATTAATTTATTTTTAAAACACTGTGAAAAAATTTTTCGTAAGAATAATAATATTCAATTATTTTTAATACAGTTTAATTAAATTTCTCTAAGGAATTCAATTATTTTCTTAAATAGTAAAATTCTTTGCAAAATTCAATTATTTTCATCCTAATAAAATTCTTGGCAGGAAATCAATAATTTTGGAAAATTTTAATAAAGTTCTTCTCAAAAATTCAATTATTTTCGTAAAAAATAAAAGTCTTCACAAGAATTCATTTTCTTTTTAAAAATAGTAAAATTCGTCGAATGATTTAAATTACATATTTTCAAGAATTATAATTCAAGAATAATAATTCGTCACGGGAATTAATTTATTTTTAAAAATTGTAATAAAATTTGTAGCAGGAATTCAATTATTTTAAAAAAATCTTTAATAAAGTTCTTGGCAAAAATTCAATTATTTTCAAAAATTGTAAATTTGAATGGAAAATAATTTTAATTAAAAAATCCGAAGTAATTTGTTTCTACAACATTTTTATTGAAATTATTTTTTAAATTAATTGAATTTTTGGTCACGTATTTAAATATTTAATTGATAAATTTTTAAACAATCGAAATTCCGTAAAATTGCATTGCAAATCAGTGGTTTTTAGATTTATTTGTGAACCTGTCTTTTTTTCTTTGAATAATTGAATTCTCAAAAATTAAAATTCTAATTGATTTATAGAAGACCAGCAATTTCAGAAATAATTAAATGCGAGTTTTTTTTACTTAAAATGATTTAAACAATATGACAAATTTCTGAAAAAAAAATATTGATGTAAGGAAAAATTTTTTTTCTCGTTTTTTCAACCTACAAAGCAAAGAAAATAATTAAAATATGAAATCATCTTATGGATTCACTAAATTATTCATATCGAAACAAAGGAAACGATAGACAATAGCTTGTATCGTCACATTGTGGCCTGAGGTTAATGAGAAATGAAATAATTTTATATTTAAACTTTTTTTTTCTTTTTCAACTCAAGTGAAAATTGAGCCATTTTCCACATAATATATACAATCTGAATTTCATTATAAATTTCCTCATAATCCGTTTTGAATAATGAGGGGATTAAAATTGAAGGCTCGAATCAATTTACATGATATTTTTCCTTATTTATTATTATTAAAATTTATATCCGGCTTTAATTTGCCAGAAAATATTAATCATGGGTTATAAACTTTTTTCTTTTTTTCATTAAACGATGTTTAATAATCTTTCTAATACTATATCTATGCATTATATAAGAAATTGATCATTATTTTTATTATTTATAAACAAAAAATTGCATCCGATGTGAAAATTGGACTTTCACAAATGTCTCGTGATGAATCGTTATGAATAATATATTGATGAAGTATCTTATGAAGACAGAGATAAACTCTTTTTCGAATTACTGCAATCTTCACCTTGAACTTTTTCTTATCATCGCTAATATATAGTTAATCATTGGAATTTTTTAATTTTTTCTTCATTATGATTAAAAAGTATAAGCAAATGATAGAATGTAATTTTTCCTTAAGACAACTTTTCCAACTTTTCTTTTAACTTCCGAGAAAATGTAGACTGAAGTCTGAAATTTTAATTGTCTGTTAAAAATGCATTAAAAATAATATGCGACAATAATAAATAATCATAATATCAATAATTAAAAACCAATATGTTCTCGTGTAGATTAATTGCTTTCGTGAAATTAGTTATTATTATTAAATTAATTGTAACAAGTATTTAATGGATTTGTGATTCGGTGTCCTTGAACTATTTGATAATCGACATTTGTGCAGCGATATGTCTATTTATTACTGAAAAAGCTCTAGATTCGGTGTCGTAGAATTGATAATCGAATATTGACCCAATTTCTAATCGTCTCAACATAATTAAGATTATTCCACCAAAATAGCTTAAATTGACTAAAAATGATTACGGTGTCACATATTTTTTTTTTGCATTCGAGAAAGTGTATTTTTTTTAGTTTGTGTATAACAAAAATTTGGATCAGGATTTGCAAAATAGAATTCGCACTTTCTATTTTTTTTTAAATCGAAGGTTAATACAAAGTACCTACATATTTTTATTATCATCTAATAAAGTTTCTTATCATTTGGTCATGCAAAACAAAAATTACGTCATTTTAACTAGAAAAGCAATTATGCTTTCGGAAACGCCGCTCAAAGTTCGCAGAATTAAGTTTGACACGAAACAGATGTCATCTGCTTTTGAAAAAAATGATTGAGCATTCAACTTTTATTAATTATTTCCTGTCGAATCATTTATTAAGTCAAGTGGAATTACCTTATTGTGTAATAAAACGCAATTATGTGGTTTTTACTGTAATATACTTATGTGTATATGTATATAAATGAATTATCATTCAACTTTTTAATTGTGACTATCTAAATGATAGATAATGCGAGAAATAATAATTTTAACATTATTATTATTATTTTGCTGTAATAAGTTTATTAGTTAATTTCTTTTATTAGAGTTATTTTAAAAATCAATTTAATTATTAAAAAAATGCGGTTTATATAATTTACCGTAACTCTATAGTTAAGGTACTACTACACTTTAGAAGGCTCTTAAAAGACCAAATTTTAAAAAAAAATTTCTTAGGTCTTTTATTATAAATATTTAAAAAACTTTTTTGCCTATATTAGTACATATTTGGAGTATAAAAATAATGGTTTGTTTTTAATTTTTATTTAATATCATAATCTGCAGACAGCATTCAGATCGAAACTCCAAAATGTTAGTTGTCCAATTGCGGACAGTTTATCTCAAGATTGACAAATCGGAAACAAAAAATCCAAATTGCTTTTTAAAAAGGAAGGTGTCTTGCATAGAAATCTACCACCAATAATGAAAAATCGACTAAAATAAAAAAATAGCAGATGTTTCAATAATTTGTTTAAAAATACACTATGTTTTTCAATATTTTTCTAGTCTGCAAAAATGTTTTTTTTTAATTTTTTGACCATTTTCTGGTAAATTGTCACACAGGACATGCTAACAAACAAAACGAGTTATCATTTAGGGGCCGTTCAAAAAATACGTAACGCTTTAGGGGGGAGGGGGGGTCAAGCTATTTGTTACGGTCAGCAGAAAAAATGGCGCTAATGTATACAACATTGCGTTACATGGGGGGAGGGGGGGGGGGGTTCAAATTTCCGAAAAATAGCGTTACGTAATTTTTGAACGGCCCCTTACTAAAATCGGTTCAGTAGATTCAGAGATAAACTGTCCGCAATTTGAGAAAACGTTATTTTGAGAAAAATGCGTTTAAACTTATATGTATCGTTAGAGGCCATCCATAAATTACCTAAAATTCTTTTGCAAATTGAACCCCCACCATTTTTTTTATTTCAGACACTGTTACATACATTAGCACCAATGTTTCTAGTGGTCGTAACAAAAAGTTGGACGCCACCATCCCCTTAAGACTTACTTAATTTGTCAATGACTTTTTACATTAATTGAATATTTTTTGAAAAATTTACTTTTATTTTTTACAATTGGTTATAAATACTTTAGGAGGTGTTTTCTGAAGTTATAAAGAGTTAAAAATACAATAAAAAAAAATAAAATTTTTTTAATTTCTTGTTTTATTTTTGATCTTTAAAAGATTTTTAAAAATTTGTTTATTTTCAAATATCAACTTCAATTTTTGAATGATTTTAAATTCGAATTTTTAAAAAATTCACTTACATATTGACTAATTCAATTATTTTCATAAATAATAAAATTCTTCTTAGAAATTCAATTATTTTCAAATATTATAATAAAATTCTACGCAGCAGGACTCGAACCAGTGAAAGTATTTCAAAATACGGACTTTACGGACAAAAAATGAAAATTTTATTATTTACCAAAATACATAATTGAATTCCTGTAAAAATTTTATTATTTATGAAAATAATTGAATGATTGCGAAGAAATTTATAAAAAAAATTGTAAATATAATGAAATTCCTGTGAAATTTTTATTATTTTTTGAAAATAATTAAATGTTTGTGTGGAATTTTATTCAATTGTTTTTTAAATAATTGAATTCTTTTGGAAAATTTTATTAGAATAGTAGATAGGGTGATGTGGGGTGATGTGCAACGTTTTTTTTCGTTGGACGAAAAACATGTCAAATAATTAAATTTTTAAATATTTCAAAATTGAATTACTTAGAGGCATTATAATAGAATATTTCTGCATTATTAGATTTTCAGAATTTTAAATTTTTCCTACAAATTTTTCGCTTTTTCAAAAACGTCTGTTTTTGCATTTTCCAAAAAAGTTGGGGTGATGTGCAACACCAGTAAAATTCAGGTATGTAATGCATAAATATCGATGAAAATCTCTTTAATTATTAATTTTAGGCTTTTTTAATGCAAACTAATCGAAATCTGCCAAAAAAAAATTTACTGAGGTATAGTTGACCTCTGAAAAGTAGAGATTTCACCAAAGAAAAAAAAAATTTTTTTTGTTTAATTTTTTATTTATTTATAACTGAATGAGAAATATAATTAAAGGAAAATAACTAAGAATTTTTTATTCATCATGTGAATCGCAGTTATGGCATGTAAAAAGTAGTTATGTCCACCCCAAAAAAAGTGTTGCACATCACCCCAAATATGATATTTTGCAAAAAATGATTTGTACGCAATTCAATGCAATGGAAACACAAAATATAAAAAGATATTTAAAAACACTTAAAAAAGCAACAATAAGCACATTCTTATCTATAAAATAAATTAAAACCCTTCACAAAACGACCAAAAACGACTAGAAATGTAAAGCGCGAGAAATATTTCCTTCTCGAGAAATTTAAGTCAACTTACGTACAGTAAACCTAGCTGCGAGCTGTCTCGTGAGTTTTATATAAAAAACAAGCTACTGAGGACACAAACAAATGGCAATACTTGGCTCTGTTCAATATCGAACTGTAGATCAGAAATCGGCGGTGTTGCACATCCCCCCATGTTTCACATCACCCCACATCACCCTACATATTAAAAATCATTGAATTGAGAAAAATTTTTGAAAATAATTGAATTTTGGAGAAGAATTTAATTATTTATAAAGATAATTGAAATTTTGACAAGAATTTTATTAAAATTTTTGAAAACAATTGAATTTTTGCGAAGAATTTTATTATTTGAAAAGATAATAATTGAAATTTTGACGAGAACTTTTTAAAAAAAATTAATTGTTCAGAATTGTTAGTTGAAAAGTATGAAAAATGCAAATTTTACAAGATTTTAATTTGAGACCTTTTCAAAATTCAATTTTTTCTAAAAATTCATGCTCCAATGCTTTTAATATTCAATTATTATCAAAATTTCAAAAAAAATAAATTTTCAAATCAATTTTGATTAGAAAATTCTACGAGAATTCAATTATTTAAATACAAAAATAAATAATTTATTGAATAAATAATTGATTACTTCTTAAAAATAAATTCTCATAAAGAATAAAATATATGTAGTAAAATTCTTCGCAAGAATTCAATTATTTTCATAAATAATAAAATTCTTCCCAGGAATTCAATTATTTTCATAATTAATAAAATTCTTCTCAGGAATTCAATTATTTCCATAAATAATAAAATTCTTCGCAAAAATTCAATTATTTTTGAATTTTACGTTTAGAACAAGAGAAAAAATTCAGCTTAAAATACATATTTACAAAAATATTGTAAATTAATTATTTTATTTCTCTTACAGAGCCCAAAGAGATTCTGCATGGAGTCAGTGGAGATTTTAAAGCTGGCGAATTAACAGCTATCATGGGACCTTCCGGTGCTGGAAAATCAACACTTTTGAACGTTCTAGCTGGATTTACGTAAGAAACATTCTTTAAAAAAGAAAAAAATTTCTAGAATTTATTATGTTCAATTTCTAGAAATTTTTATGTTTATTTATTTTTTTTTGTCTTTGAAAAATAATTGGAAAAATTTGGAAAATAATCAAAAAAAGAAACAAACAAGCAAAGTATACTGAATCATTAAAAAGGATTTTTCTAACATATTCACAGAGTTGAAGTAATTTAAAAATATTTGTCTATAAATATTTTTATTACATATTTAAATTAGTTACAAATAGAAGAGACGGAAGTCAAGTAACACCTAATAGGTTTACAAAGCAATCGAGATGCAATAAACGTGATTCACATTTTTATATTTTTATTACATAATGAATAGGAATCGATTCGAAAACGCATTATCCTAATTAACATAAGACAAGAAAATTTTATTACTTGTAATTAGTTTATCAGAAAATCCATGTTAAATACCTGATTGAATTGATTTGCACATTTATTGTTACGTCTTTTAATAGATCTCAACACTCACGTTTTTAAGTATTTCATTAAAATAATTGCTAAAAATTGTTTTTCATTTTCAAGTAGGATAAAAATTTAATCGAGAAAGGAAAGAAAAAACGGAAAAGAATTATTTAGATAAAAGAAACTAAGTTTATGCTGAAATTTTATACTATGTTATAAAGCATATTGAGTGTTAAAATTGATATAAAATTTTTTATAGAGTTTAAGTTGCGATTTTTTCATTATTATTCATCGCTGATAAGAAAATGACTAATGCAGATCAAATGAAATAGTTAATGTAATAACTGGATCCAGTTTTATTAAAAAGTTGATGCGCAAGTCTAATAAGATTTTTACATTCAACTTTAGACGTGTGTGAAGGAAAATAAATTTTTCTAATTATTGTGAAAATTATAGGAAAAAGTTGACAATGACTAATGATGATGATAGCCAGCAATTAAGTGTCAAATGCCTTTTATTCTCTATTTTTCAAAATGGATATTAATTTATGTCAACTTATAGGTCAAGATTAGAAAAATAAAAGTAAACTTAAATTTATTCAATTTCCTGGATTATAATTTTTGTAAGAAAGAAAAATTAAAAACTCATAAACGATGGGAGATAATATTAATATAAAGAACGTGATGGACATTTTAAAAAAGAAATAATTCTCATGTGGGTAAATTACGATAAGACAGTTTAATGGAAAGAAAAATAGTTTGTAAAATCTAAGTATAGTATAAATTTAAAATTATGAGTAATTTCCGTTGTTATAAGGATTATTGTTTTATATAATGTTCACTGAACACGAGAGAATATAAAAACATTCCTATGGAATGGAACTTTTATTTCATATTTTCTTTGACATTTTATAAAGCATATAAGGTAAAATTGCATATAAAGTTATATCTGATAATGGGGAAAAAAGTATTTAGTTGTTGGAAATTGTATACAATTTGAATAAATACGTATTCGTCTCATATTTATTTAGAATGTCATTATGTCAAAAGTTATTTCAGTTGCAAGACGTGAGCTATTTGACATTCATTTCAATTTATTGTTTTCGAAAATTACTGAAATTAATTCCTCTGCTGTAAATGTGATGATATTTCAAATTATATCATAATAAGTCAGTTTTGTAATCAATTTTTTAATTAAAACACTTTTTATACTATTCACCTCATTTGAGTATTATTTATTCAAACGATTATTTACAATGTAAGGGAAATATTGTAGACAAATAAATTTTTTGATGAAACTGAAACTTACTTTTTGCAAATTTTGGTTCTCAACAAAAAAATTTAATATTTAACTTTAAAATTTAATTTCCGGAGCGGGTGTTTCAACTTCATAATTTTCTGAATAATTCTTTTAATTGTAGTCTTTAATTAAGAAAAACTTGAGGAAAAAATTGGAGTAATATCTGATATAACTTTAAATTTTCAGAGTTCTGTCACGTTTGTCTTGTCAGTACCGAATTATTACGAATATTATACAGAAGAGAGAAATGCAAAATAATAATTGGGTGCAATGAACTGGGGCTACGTGACAAAACTCACGACCCTACTGATCCCTCGAGTTCAAATCTTCATTCTTGGAATTTTTCTGTTGGAAAATTTTCTTGGCGAATAAAGAACAACGATTATGATTTTGATGATCTGTATTTAAATTTTTTTTCTTCCTTTTTTCAGTGTTCAAGGTACTACCGGTGAAATCCTAGTGAATGGAAAGAAACGAGTACCACACAGTGAAAGGTGGAGAAGAACATCGTGCTACATACAACAGGATTCTTTACAAAGAACGAGACTAACGGTGGGAGAAGCCATGACTCTTGCCGCTCACCTCAAACTCGGCTACACTATCAGTTCTGCTTACAAACACACTCAGGTGTGTAAATGAAATAGGCTTTTGCATTTTTTTTAATTTTTTTTTCTGTTGCATATTATGATTGTAAAAACAAAAATTCAGGCTTCAATTTCCGAAAGATTTCTTCATTGTTTATATTTTACTATCAATCATTCTTAATGATACATGTTTCCTAAGACAATTTGTATTTACATAAAAATTCGCTATTGGCTCTTTACCTCTAAACGAATGTTAGTTAACACATTTTTATGTAATTCGAGAAACTGCATTTTGACGAGATTTTCAAAACTAAAAATTCAATATTTTTATTTATTTTATTAACAAAGCTTCTAAGGGCTGATAAATTTATTTAATCCAAATAACCGACTACTTGTCTACTCTCAAATTTATTTGATTCAAATAATTTTTATTACAATCAAATTGGTTTGAAATAAATTTTACTTGAACCAATAATTTCAGTATTTGAATATTCAACAAACAAGATTTAATAGATTGAAATAGAAATTTATTATGTAATTAAAAATTGATTCAAGCAAATAGGATAATAGACAAGTAATCGGTTATTTGAACCAAATACTTTTTTTTCAACAATTTTTTTATAAGCAAATCTTCATTTGCTTTATCAATAAAAAAAAGAATCGATATTGCAAAAATTATCTGTGGCATTTGAAATGTCCACATTTCGATGAAAGATTTTCTCACTTTATCAATATAATGCCAAAGATGACGAAATGTCTGCCAACAGAAAAAAAATGTAGTTAAATTCTCCCACTAGTGTAAAAATCAAGAAAAATTAACTCTCAGAAAAAACAAAACAATTTGGTTATAAATCTTAAACGTAAATAAAATTAGTCAACTTTGTATCTTTTTTAAAAAAATTATTTTACTTTTTTTTGTAAATTTTAATTGCATGCCAAGATTTTATATACGATACAAATTATAAGTGACGGATAAAAGAGGGAAAAAATCAAATGAAAACTTGTTTTGTTAAATTGTACAAAATTTTACTATATTCTTGTTTTATTTTATACGTCGTTAATAATAATAATAATAACACTGCACTTGATAGTATGACCCTCATAAAATAAAAATTATAGATTTAAACATTCTTAATTATGCAAAAATTTTACAACACAATCTTTTACTCCACGTGTATATTTCAATGATCATTAATTTTCATTTTATAAATGGAAAATTTGATCGATTTGAAATTATTAATTTTTTTGATGACTTAGACTTTCTGATATTGCATTATAATAATTCTCGGATATAAAATATTTTCTACTTATACTGTAAATCATCATCTTCATTGTAAAAATTAAGATTAGAATTTCGTAGGAAAAAATTACTTTTTCATTTTCAAATAAAGTTGAAAAAGATCTTGATCTAAATTTCATTTTCAATGATAAGACTAAGTTTATTTTAAATTTGTTTCTTTTTTTTTTAATTTATTTTACGATTCGTATGCAATATCGTCAATTCTCTGGACAGGTTTTTTTTATGGCACATATTTTACGTGCATCGTACACATTCATGGGGTTAATGGAAACATTTCAACACTTTCATTTTTAAAGATATGTTTATAAGTTAAAGACAGAAAGTAATTCTGAATTTTTCTTACAGGTTTTGGAGCTTCTTGAAATTCTTGGACTTGGTTATTGCTATGATACCTTATGCGGTCGATTATCGGGTGGACAAAAAAAGAGACTTGATGTTGCTATAGAGCTACTCAGCAATCCATCAGTATTATTTCTTGATGAACCTACAACTGGTACGTTTTTTTTACTGTGTTTCGAATTTTCAGTCGATCGAATTTTGTCAGACTGAATTTTATAAAGTAGAATTATTTTAAATTGTAGTGAAAATAATTGATATCTTCTAAAGAGTTTTATTAAATTTTTTAAAATGACTGAATTCTTTAAAGCAATTTTATTAATAATTTCGAAAAAAAATTAATTCTATAAAGAAATTTTATTGATAATAATTTCATTCCTCTGAAAAAAATTATTTTTGAGAATAATTGAATTCTTTCAAGAAATTTAAATAAAATGTATTGAAAATAATTAAATTTTTATAAAGAACTTTATGAAAATTTTTAAAAAGAATTGAATTCTTTCCAGAAATTTTATGAAACTGGTATTAAAAATAATTAAATTCTTCTGCAATTTCAATTATTTATGAAAATAATAACAATAAAAAATAAAATTTATAAAAATTCAAATTTAATTTAAATTGTACTGAAAATAATTGAATTGTTAAGAAGAATTTTATTGAAACTTTTGAAAATAATTAAATTCTTTCAAGGAAATGAATTAAAATTGTCCTGCAAATAATTCAATTCTATCGAAAAATTTTATTAAAATTGTATTGAAAATAACTGAATACCTGCGGAGAATTTTATTATTTATAAAAATAATATAATTTGTAAAATTACAAATTCAATTATTTAGAAGAAAAATTTAATTCTTTTGAGCAAAAATTTCAATTTTAGGCACACTAAAAATAGTTCTTTCGAGAAATGTAGTTAAAATTAAATTGAAAGTAATTGAATAATATTGTTATAAAAAATTGCATCAAAATTTTTTTAAATAATTAAATTCTTATAAAGAATTGTATCAAAATTTCTTGAAAATAATTCAATTCTTTTCTTTCTTTTGAGAAATTTAATTATTTATAATTAATTTAATTCTTAGCAAGAGCTTTATCAAAATTTCTGAAAATAAATAAATTTTTTTTAATAATTCTGTTAACATTTTTTTAAATAATTGAATTGCTTGTAAGAATTTTATTATTTCTGAAAGTAATAATAAATAATTGAATACTTAACCAAAAATTTCATTACAATTTTTTATAAAACAATTGAATTCCTGTGAAGAATTTTATTAGAAATTTTAAAAATAAATTAAATTCTTGCGAAGAATTTTATTACAATTTTGTAAAATAATTCAATTTTGTCGAGGAATTTAACTGAAATTATACTAAAATTATTTAAATTATTCAAAAGACGTTTGTTAAAATTTTTTAAATAATTAAATTTTTTATGAAAGTTTAAAATTTTTTAAAAAAATTTGAAGTCTTAAGGATTCTTTTTAAAATGGTATTAAAAATAATTGAATTCCTGTTAAGAACTTTATTATTTATGAAAATAATTAAATTCTTGCGAAGAATTTTTTTTATTTACCTACAATAATATTTAATTCATGACAAAAAATTTATTACAATTTTTGAAAATAATTGAATTCCTTCGAAGAATTTTATTACAATTTTTTAAAAGAAACTGAATTCTTGAAAAAAAAAATTTATTTTTAAAAATAATTTATTACAATTTTTTATTACAACTAAATTCTTGCAAAAAAATTTGATTATTTATGAAAATAATTGACTTCTTGCGAAGAATTTTAATCCAATTTTGGGAAATAATCAAATTTCATCTAGGAATTTACTGTAAATTGTACTGAAAATAATTGAATTTCTTTAAAGAATTTTATCAAAATTTTTATAAATGAATTTTTTGAGGAATTTGATTAAATTAAATTTTAATTAAATTCTTTGAACGAATTTCATCCAAATTTTTGAACATAAGAGGCATTTTACGTGAAATGTCCTAAGTTGAAATTTCAACTTCTTGAAAAAAAATTGAAACTCAGGGAATTTGTTGTTCTATCAAGTAGAAATGTGCCACAAAAAATATTTTTGATTTTTTCGAAAATTTGGAGGGGGTAGAGGGGATTTAATTTGACCAATTTTGCTAACACCGGCTACTTTGTGAATTTTTTCTGAACATACTTGTAATGGGAAAAATTTTTTAGAATATGTTTCTGAAAGGTTTTTTCGTCCTCTTTCCAATGGTGTACACTACCGGTCAAAATTGAGAGACCACCCATTTTCAGGCGAATGAAAATCGTTTTAAAACATAAAATTTATTGAAACTAAAATTTTTTTCCTTTTATGTTTTAAAAGATGATAACATTTTGAATAGAACAACATCTTTCAGAAATCGTTTGGCCAATAATTTATTTAGATATTTTTAAAAAATCGTCATTTTCAATGTTTTACAAAAATTTGAATAACTTCTAAAATAATGAACGCTTTTTAATGATCTTAGGCTTATTTTAAAGGTCATTTGCTACACTACAAGAATTACTTATATGCATTAACGTATAATTTTTTTCTTAGAAAATGCAGGCCATCAAACTTGGACCAAAAAAATTCAAAAAATTTGAAACAATCTTATTAACAGAAAAATAATTTTTAAAATTCAAACGTATTTTTTTTATTAAATTTTCTTGAAAACTCTACACCATATGATGTTTTATATATTTTCTAGAATAGTTTTTAGTACAGAAAAATTGTACCAAATTTTTTGAATTTTTTTGGTCTAAGTTTGAAGGTCTGCATTTTCTAAGAAAAAAATTATACTTTAATGCCTATAAATAATTCTTATAGTGTAGCAAATGACCTTTAAAATAAGCCTAGGATCATCAAAAAGCTTCCATTATTTTAGAAGTTATTCAAATTTTTGTGAAACATTGAAAATGAGTAATTTTAAAAATATCTAAATATAATATTGGCCAAATGACTTCTAAAAGATCTTGTTCTTTTCAAAATTTTATCATCTTTCAAAAAATAAAAAGAAAATAATTTTAGTTTTAATACATTTTGTGTTTTAAAACGTTTTACAATCGCCTGAAAATGGGTGGTCTCTCAATTTTGACCGGTAGTGTATTTTATTTCTTAATATTTTAAAAATTTACCCTAATTTTTGATAATTAATATTTAATTTTCAATTTCCCAAAAATCGGTTCGTTTTTTTTAAATAAATTATTGCAAACGAAAGCTGAGGTTTTTTCCTATCGGCATGTAAATTTTCAGAATGCCCTTTTTTTTGTTTTTGAGTTATTAGATTTCAAAGAATAAATTGCGGCGCGCTGCGTCGCGGTTGCACTGAGCCGCGTGGCAACCGGCGTGAGACGAGGCGCCCAGGACGCAATTCATTCTTTGAAATTTAATAACTCAAAAACAAAAAAAAAAGGGCATTCTGAAAATTTACATGCCGATAGGAAAAAACCTCAGCTTTCGTTTGCAATAATTTATTTTCAAAAAACGGACCGATTTTTGGGAAATTGAAAATTAAATATTAATTATCAAAAACTAGGGTAAATTTTTAAAATATTAAAAAATAAAATTCACCATTGGAAAGAGGACGAAAAAACCTTTCAGAAAGATATTCTAAAAAATTTTTCCCATTACAAGTATGTTCAGAAAAAATTCACAAAGTAGCCGGTGTTGGCAAAATTGGTCAAATTGACCCCCCTCTACCCCCTCCAATTTTTCGAAAAAATCAAAAATATTTTTTGGGTCACATTTCTACTTGATAGAACAACAAATTCTCCGAGTTTCAATTTTTTTCAAGAAGTTGAAATTTCAACTTAGGACATTTCACGTAAAATGCCTCATAATTGAATTCTTTTAAGGAATTTTATTATAATTATGAAAATATTTAAATTGTTTCGAATAATTTTATGAAAATTGTATTGAAAATAATTGAATTCCTGGGAAGGATTTTATTAAAATTTTTGAAAATAAGAAATAATAATAAGTTAATTAGTTAATAAGTGAGCTTGTGAAAATTTTGTTACTTATTCAAAAATTGAAGTAGATATTGAAAAATAAAAACAAATTTGCATATTTGCAAAAAATTAAAGAAATTAAATACCACGATTCGCGCGTAACATTTTCTAGTTTTCTTGCCAATTTCTAAAATTCGCACAGTAATGTTGAAACTGTAAATATTTAAAATGATAATCTACATGTTTATAGATATTAAGAAATTTTCGATATTTTCAGGCTTGGATTCTGCTTCCTGTAGCCAGTGCATTGCTCTCTTGCAACGATTGGCAAGAGTGGAAAGACGAACTGTAGTGTGTACGATTCATCAACCTAGTGCTCTGCTCTTCGAAATGTTTGACCAACTTTACGCGGTTGCCGAAGGTCACTGTATATATAGAGGATCTATACAATCACTAGTACCACATTTATCATCAATCGGAGCCGACTGTCCACCTTATCACAATCCAGCAGATTTTTGTACGTTTCATTCACTTTTTTTCTTCTTTAATTATTTTTTCTTATTTTTTATAATAAAATATATTTCTTAATCCATTCTTCTGATATATTTAATGACATTCATTTAAGAATCATTTCTGAAAGTGTGTCATACTAATGACATTTTCTTTGTTTATATTGTGATTTAATATTTTCTGTATCAAAGTTGAAGAGACAATAAGTATTATTCTCGAGATAATGATACAATTTTATTCATAAATAGAGATGAACTAAATATCCCATTATTTTTATATATTGCAAAGTGAATGATAATGACGTAATGTAATGAGACTTTTTTTGTAATCTCTCTCCAATTACGATTACGCGGTTTAATTGACATAATTTTCCATACATTTACCCTAGTTGATAGTACAGGATATGTGAAACAAGATAATTTATTAATAAATCAGGTTCCTTAAGAAACATTTGGATGCTCCAATGCCCTAGAAATTTTATCTAATTTAATTCCATAAAAGCAGCATCTTTAAGCGAAATAGTTTTTGAAAGAGGTGAAGGTCATTAAGAAGCAAATATCTAATATCAACTCATTATTTACTCTCTTTACTCGCATAATTTTCTCAAATATTCGATTCATAAAATATCAATTTAAAAATATTTATAAATAAAATCTAAATCCTTTCCTTTAATTAATAAAATATAATAGAATAAAAATTTAGATGGTAATAATTGTTTTTATATTTTAGTGTTGGAAGTTGCGATTGGGGAGTACGGAGTCACAATAGAAAAATTAATAGAAAAAATTGAAAGTATACCAAATGAGGACCACACGTTGCCAGCAATAAAATCGAGTATCGATGGTAATTAGTTTTACATATTTTTTGTTCTATTTTTTTTTTTTTTTTTTTTTTTTTTTGAAAAAAATTTACATAATTGTGAAATGTAATAATTTTATTCTAGATTTGGACGATTGTGTTTCAAATGAAAAAGCACCTCCGCCTGCTGGATTTTTGGCTCAATGTTACTTACTCTATAAAAGGCAATTGATCTCTTTAAAGAGGGATTACACTTTAATGGTCATTCGTCTTCTTTGTCATTTGCTGATTGGTGTAATTTTTGGATATCTCTACAGGGGAAGTGGTTTTCGAGCGAATGGAGTTTTTGCTAATTATGTCTATCTTTACGGATCACTTTTATTAATTGTTTACACGGGAAAAATGGCCGTTACCCTTGCTTGTAAGTATTTCGATCTATGAAATTTATTATTTCGATCTATGAAATTTATTATTTCGTTCTATGAAATTTATTGCTGTAAATTCATGTCGGTAAAGTTCACAATGTTTATGATCAATGATTGAAAGAATAAAAAATATTTTTTATGGCGAAAGGAAGAAAGCTATTTTTTTTTAATTTATTGATCAAAAAACTATGCAAAACATTTTTTAATTTTGTTTTACAAAAATATATACAAAATTTAAATAGAAAATTATTTTCTCATCTCAATCGTTGATTATAAACATTGTTAATTTCACTAACGCGTTAATTCTATATATTTTTTTAATGTTGATAAAATTTACAACGTTTATAATTACAGGGTGTGCACCCAATAATTATTTCTAAAAAAAAGTAGCAAAAAGTAGATTGAAGACTGATAAAAATACTAAAATAGTAGCTATCGAAAAATTAAATATGACGACTAAAAAATTCGTTTCAGTCGATTCACAAAAATCACAAAAATTTAATTCTGTATTTCTCTGATTTCCATACAAAATATTCACTTTTCTTCGTATCCTTGCAATAACTTCAATTCTAAATTTTTATGAAATTCAATATTTTCTAAAATTTTAGTTAGGATTCTTCAAAAATTAGATTATAATCTAAAATTTTAACTGAAATTCATTTTTTAATCAATTCTTATTAGAAAATTCTACTAGAATTCAATTATTTAAATACAAAAATAAATAATTGATGATTTCTTAAAACTGATACTTATGAAGAAATTTATAAAAATTTTTGAAAATAATTACATTTTTCGAGGAATTTATTTAAAATTTTATTAAAAATAATTGAAATCTTCTGAATTACTTGAAAATAATTGGATTCTTGTTAAGAATTTTATTAATTATGACAATAATTTAATTCGTGCGAAGAATTCAATTTTTTACAACAATAATTTAATTCTTGTGAAGAATTTTCTTAAAATTTTTGAAAATAATTGAATTTCTGTAAAGAATTTAATAACAATTTAAAAAAAAATTGAATTACAGTCAGGTCCCCATACTGTTAGATTCCAAACTGTTCTTCTTCTTCTTCTTCTTCTTCTTAATTTCTGGCTTCGATTACTCAGGCCAATTCCAGTAGTATATTATACCATGTAATGTATTATTCTTATTTGAGGTTCCACTTGTGAGTCTTATTAGATGACAGCTGTTTGCAGTGGTGGAGAGGTTTAGGAGTTTGACACTAGGTGGCGTTGCCTTCCTCTCCGTTGTGTAGGGAAAAAAAATTATTTAAAAAATGTCTGTTGGCATACAATGGTAATTAATATCTTATTATTTTATATATTTTTAGAATATCTTTCTTAGCTTGACTTTTTAATTATTTTGATTTGTATATATTGTTCCAATTGATTTAACTGTATGTGTGTTATACATCAATTTGTGTAGTGCTTTTTGAGAGTGCTTTTATTAGGATTGTTGTGGTAGGATAGGTTTGGGGGACTTTTACTAGCATTCCCTATACAATCAGTCACCATAATTTGAATTTTTTTTTTTTTTTTTTTTTTTTTTTCTTCCTATCATTCGTATTTATTATTTATTATATATTTCTCTTTTCCTTTTCCTATTGCCTAAATATTTACATGTGCTAATCTTTTTGCATTTCATGGATATATCTGTGCTTTCGGCCAATATAATTTTTTTTTTTTTTTTTTTTTTTTTTAAATTTGTACATTTTGGACAAACTCGATTTTGTAATTGATAATTATTATACTTCCATTGTTCCTCTTAATCCTATTCATAATAAGAGAATTGAGAAGTGAAATTCCTTCTCTTCTCCTCCAAATTAAAATATCAAAATTAAATTTTTTTGAGAGGCATATATGTCTCTGTTTTCTACTCAAGTTCCGATTGAAATATTAAAGAAACTCTGAGGTTGTTGACATTATACAACTAATTCGTTTATCAGAATTAGTAAAAAGAAAAGAAAAAAATAAAAAAACAAAAAACAAAATAAAAACAACAAAAAAATAAAAATAATTAGAAAAAATTTGTGCGACTTCTAAATTAGTCTTGCTTATAGCAGACTACCTTCAGATCGGTTTCCGGATTTAATTTAAATAACTATATCATCCCTCAACAGGAGGTCACCAATTTCCGTGACAGATTCCATAGTTGGGTTGTATATTAGGAAGTTCCATTCTGGGGGATTCACCGTTCTAGTTTTGAATTTGTTGTAGAAAAATTCAATGAATTTGACTCTTCCCTCAGAAAACAAGGGACAATCGTTAACATAATGCAGAACCGAGCTCGTCTCATATCCACATCTGCATGTAGGTGCAATGTTCCAGCCTAGTCTGGAAAAAAACTCCCCCACACAGACATGTCCCGTTCTGAGTCTCGTGATCAGATTAATGTTTCGTCTTGGTATATCATAGCTTGAGAACCAGGGTCTTTCAGATTTAGCAGTGATATAGTTAAAATATTTTTGTCTGGTTTTTGCTTCCGGATAAAATGGCCACGCGTGTTTGATTGTCGATATATGATCGTTGTTTATAAGGTTTTTTAGGTCTTCTTTTGAGAAGAAGGCTTTTCTTCCTGCCGGAAAGCTTAGGGCCAGTTTTGCTAACCTGTCGGCTTCCTCATTTCCCGGTATGTTTGAGTGTGATGGAATCCAGAGCATTTTAATATCTTTTTGGAGATGTATCAACTGTAAGATCATTGAAGCGATCTCGTGGACTAGTACTCTGGACTCAGAGTCTCTCAATCTATCTCTGATTACATGCATCGACTTCATAGAGTCTGTGATGATTAAAGGGTGTATAATGTCCTCCTCAATGGAGTGTTTTAGAGCCGAGTGTATACCACTCAGCTCCGCCATTATAGGCGACAAACACCCATTCAGTCTGTTACCCTGTCTGAATTGTGTCTGAGGAATATAGAGACTCGAAGACGCCCTTCCGCCAATTTCCGCATATGATCCATCTGTATAGATTAGAGTATTGTGTCCGTATTTGTTTTTAACAACATTATGGAAAGCTTCTCGGGGGTTTTCAGCTGATCTTACATCATAGCCCGTTTCTTTATCCATGATGTTGTCGACATCCATTATTAGCTCCGCCCAGTCTCTATCATAGTATGCCGGTTTTAGAGGTCTGATGGTAGTGGATGACAGATCTTCCACCGGTTTCAGGTATTTTAATGGAGGAAAATTATATAAATATTTGGGCGTCTGTTTTGTTTCTGCGATTTCGAGTGACAAGTCCTCTAGTCTGCGTAGCAGAGGGTTGCTCATCCAACTAGAGATTCTAATAGAGTTTCTATTCAGGAGCAGAGACCTTCTACACTCAAGTGTAGGTTCCCCCGCTTCCGACAAAAGTATCGGGATTGGGGTTGTCCTCATACATCCTAGAGCAATCCTGAGGGCACTAAACTGGATACGATCTAATCTAATTAGTCTGCATCGACCGGCGCTAGCAAAGAGTATGGAGGCCCATTCAAGCAGAGATCTTGTAAGGCCCCTGTATACCACCAGCATTGACTCTGGGTGGGCTCCGTAGGTCACCTTTGCCAGTGTTCGCATAATACTTAGTGACTTGTTGGCTCTCAGCACCAAATTATCGATGTGCTCATGCCAGTCCAGTTTATGGTCCATGATGACTCCCAAATATATTATACTATTGGAGTTCGTTATTTGGTTATTTCCAACCCTTATTTTCTCTGAAGAGAGGTCATTCGCACCTCTCGAAAATATACACATTTGGCTTTTCCCTGTGGCGACGCTGAAGCCAAGATCTGATAGCCAAGGGATTAGCCTATCAATAGCATCCTCGATTTGAGATTGTGCTTCATTGTGATTTTCGTTTGCGGCGTACAATAAGATGTCATCTGCAAATTGCAGAATTTGCACATCCTCTCCAATAATTTGTTTTATCTCTCTCAAAGCCAGGTTGAATAATAAAGGGGATAAAACTCCTCCCTGTGGCACTCCAACCCCACAGACTCGAGGGGCAGAGGATTCTCTCCCGAAATAGAGTACCCTCTCAGTAATCATAAATGATACAAAGTTACGTATTCTGGCAGGTACCCCCGAATCTCTCAGCTGACTCATGACCGCTGACGGCAGGAGGGCATTAAATGCCCCCTTGATGTCTAGAGCCACCGTCACCGTGTTCTTTTTTTGTGTGAAATTGTGGAGTATGTCTGCAGTTAGGAAGGTCACGCAATCAAGAGCAGATCTCTCTTTGCGGAAGCCATATTGATGGTCAGGGATAAGGGCCTGACGTTCCACATAATGCTCTAATCGTGTGTTAACCATTCGTTCCATCAACTTTCCCAATGCCGAGGTCAGTGATATGGGTCGAAATCCTTTACCTTCTGGTTTTGGAATAAATCGAACCAAAGTCGACCTCCATGACGTCGGGAAAGTGGACTGAATAAAACATTCATTAAAAAAACTTCTGATCATCTCCAGGCAAGGAGAATTCCAAACTGTTATGTCCTCAGTAGTGTTATGTTTTTGCATAACCTCCAAATTCAGAAGTGTTAGGTGACGTCACCAATTTTCAGGGCCGTATTCTTAAGCCCAAAGAAAAGGGGGCATATACTTCTAGGCCAAACTTGAGGTTTATATATTTACGTTCCTGAAAGGTGCGCAGTAGCATACTTTGAGCACATAACAGAGCTGAGTCTGGAGGAGTGGGAAATTTCTGGAAATGTAACAGTATGGGGACCCGACTGTATTACAAAAAAATTTTATTATTATTGAAAATAATTGACTTCTTGAGAAGAATTTTATTATAATTTGTAAAATAATCAAATTTTATTGAATAACTTAACTTAAATTAAACTGAGAAAAATTAAATTTTTCAAAAGAAATTTATCAAAATTTTAAAAAATAATTCATTTTTTTTGACAAAATTTAATTAGAATTGTATTAAAAATAATTAAAATCTTCTAAACTATTTATGAAAATAATTGAATTTCGCAACGAATTTTATTAAATTTTTTAAGAATAATTGAATTCCTGCTAAGAATTTTATTATTTATGCAAATAATAATTGAATTCTTGCAAAGAATTTTAATCCAAGTTTGGAAAATAATCAAATTTTATTGAATAACTTAATTTAAAATGTCCTGAGAATAATTTAATTTTTCACAAGAATTTTATCAAAATTTTTAGAAATAATTATTTTTTTTCGAGGAATTTAATTAAAATTGTAATGAAAATAATTCAATTCATTGAACTAAAATTTTAGAAATAATTGAATTCTTTTGAAGATATTATTTATAACAATAATTCAAAGAATTTTATTGAAATATTTTAAATAATTGATTTCTTTCGAAAATTTTTCTTGAAAACTGTATTTCAAATAATTGAATTTCTGTAAAAATTTTATTATTCATGAAAATAATGAGTTGTTGCTTTGAATTTCATTAATTTTTTTTTTTTTTAATAATTGAATTCTTTTGAGAAATTTTATTAAAATAGTAGATATTGAAAGTATTTGAATTCCAGCAAAGAATTTCATTATTTATTCGAAAATAATTGAATTCTTCGGAAAGATTTCCCAAAAATTATTGAAAATTTAATAATTTAAAAAAATTTTTTTAAATTGTTTTGAATTGTTTCTAAGAAGAATTTTATTAAAATTTTTTCAATTATTAGCAGATTTAAAGTAGTGAAAATTTAAAAAAAAAGCAAAGAAAAAAGTAGTTTTTAGTGCCACAAATTTGAAAAAAGTATTCAAATAGTAGCTAATCGTAAAAAAAAGTAAAAAGTTGGTTGGTATATGAGTGCGAAGCCTTCAATTAATTATTTAGAAGAAAAAATAATTTTCTATTTAAATTTTTGTCTTAAAAATTTTTTTTACACGTTTCTTGATCTGTTGGTCAAAAAAGATTGTTAAAAAAAATTTGTAAACGTAAAATATTATTTTTTGAGTAAAAACTGTTTTTTTTCTTCCAGTCGTCGATGATAAACGTGAATTTTACTCATGTTTTTTTTAACATTGTTTTGTCAAACCATAGATTTAATGATTATGAAAAAAGAAATTAATGACTGTATCATAGTAACAGTTTATTTATAAAATTATTATTATTCTTATTGTAAATAATTGTTTTTCATTATTATTTGACAATGATGCTTATCATAATTGAATTCTTGAATGATATACATTGTCTGGAAATGTAATTATTTTAAGAATGTCATCAATAATGTGATTAAGGTTTAAATTTAGATAATCGTCTTTTATAAAAACAGATTTCAACTATATATGCGATTTATTAAAATTATTGAATAATTTTTGTTTCAGTTCCACTAGAGATGCAAATATTGACTAGAGAACACTTTAATCGATGGTATCGACTCGCTCCGTATTATATTAGTTTGCTCCTGATTGAAATACCATTTCAAGCAGCTTGTGCCCTAATGTATTTGTCTGTTAGTTACTGGTTGACGGGTCAACCTGTGGAAACACACCGAATTGTTTATTTTATGCTCCTGAGTATTGCTGCAAGTTTAACTGCACAGGCCTGGGGCTTTTTCATCGGAGCGACAACTCCCGTACGAGTACGTAATTTATTTACCATTGCAAATCAAATTTGTAGTATTAATTAATATAATTAATTAATATTAATATCCATATAATCAATACAATTAATCTAAGTAATTAAATTTTTAATTTCAGATCGCAGTTTTCGCTGGGCCAATTATTGCTGTTCTCTTCTCGGTCTTTGGATTTTGCATCCGTTATATGGATACGCCAAAAGTCTTTCGTTGGATCTTCCACATTTCCTACTTTAGAGCCGGATTTCACAGTTTATTGGTTTCAATTTACGGTTTCAATCGAAAAGATCTAAAGTGCGAAGACACAAAGGAAGTAATTGCTTATTGCCATTATAAAAAGGGGCAAAAATTCCTCAGTGATATGGAAATTGCCGACACAAATGTAGTCAACAATTTGGTTCTAATAATAGGAATTGGAGTGCTTATGCATCTCCTCACGGCAAGTGCACTTTGGTGCAAACTTAATAGAAGATGAGTTGAAATTAAAAAACTTATTTGGTGGTTCAGTATTCGCTTAAAGCGTCTGCTAGTCTCGTCAAGAGCAATCAGCTTTAGAATTTAATTACGAGAAAGCTTTTTTTAGAAAAAATAAAACAGCAAATTGTCTGCGAGAAATATTTATATAACTTAATTTAGACTAATTTCTGAAAGCAGTCTTAAATTTTTTACTCTTATGACATTAAATACTTTTTTCAAATGTTTAATACTTAATTTTCAAGGAAAGAATTCGTGCAAATTATGAAGTTTGCATTCGAAAGATTTTAAATCACAGCGCGGACTTAATAATTTTGCTATAATATTTGAGAATGTAATGTTTTAAATGTTTTAAAGTTTGTTAAAAGTCAAGAAACCAAAAATTATAAAGAATTGTGAACAGAAAGTGAAAGTGACAAATACTAATTATTTTTGATATCGTCTGAAAGTGAATTTATACAGAAATCTATTTATAATTCAGAATCTCATTAGAAAAAAGAAATGAAAGTTTTAAGAAATTGAAGATCTTTTTAAACCTTGAAAGATAAATAACAAGTGACTTACGTATTACTTAATTTAATTTAAAAAATATGATTCATTAATATTTTGAGCGTATAAAATAGGGTTGGTTCATCATTTCATATTTTCTTTCCATATGAAAACTAATTTCTTTATTTTAGCTCAACTCGAAACGAATCATATTTATGACCCTAACATAATTATTTATTTTTTGTAAATATTTTCTATTTAAATATCGTAATTTACTTATTAAGAACTATGTTAAAAAATACAGATATTTAATTTATAATTGTTCAGTACAGATTACTGTACTTCAATACAAATTTTTGCGATTTTGTGATTGTTTTATTAATCTTTAAGGAAAAGTGTGAATTTTGCAAATATTTGGAAATTGAAATGGAAAAATTAGACATTCGTTAAATTGTACTTGGAAATATGTAATTGTAGAATATTCGTTTTTTCCTAGTACTTTTTTTTGCATATTAAATTATTTTAAGAGTAACAGATCTTAAACTTCCGTCAATTATTTTTTACTTTAAGATTTTTTAAAAAATCTCTTTATATTTGTATATTTCGTATATAATATATAATGAAATAAAGTAATTGCATAGCAAATATGAATGTTTTCATTAACCTGCTTCTGAAAATTAATAAAATTTCACTGAACAATTTGTTTGAATTAAATAACTAATAATTAATTAAATAATCTATATCAATTAAATTATATTAAAAAACAATTAATTAATTAATTAACTATAATAATCGTCGTATTCATTCATTCATTCTGTCCAGTCTGTCCACACCTGGAGTTAGTCATGGTTATTCTTTTGTTTTTTATTCGTTTTGATAGAAAATAGAAATAAAATATAAAATAACGATTTTTTAACAAAATTCATGCTTTTGTTTTTTATATGTTTTGATAGATAATATTACATTTCTTTATTTTGTTATTATTTTTTTAATTTAATAATATTATTTTTATTTCTCAAATAATTCAAAAATATTTTTATTAATCTAAAAAAATTATTAATACCTATTATTATATTATTCATTATTTCCTTTGTTTCTAAAAAATTAGCATTTTGTAACAAACATTTTAGAAAATTAACAAATGTAAAACCTGTGAAATATTTTCTTTTTTTTAATATGAAAAACTTTATTACTTGACAAAATTTTGACTTCTTCCTTGACTCTAAAGAATATTCTGATTAACTCTAAAAATGATTAGATACTCCAAAAAATGTTCCATTAAATTTATTTACGAATTTCTTTAATTCTAAAATTATTTGAAAACATCAATAACTTCTTTTCTAAATAAATTTTAATCATTATTATTTCCCCACAGGAATAAATTATTTTTAATAATTTTTGAAAAAAGTTCTTTGATTGAGAATTTTAAAATCCATTTGTTTACGAAATTTAAATTATTCAGAAATTCTTCAACTAAATACGAATTAAAAAATAAATACTTCAAATAATTTCAGAAAAAAATTCAATTAAACTTTTTAAAAATAATTAATTCTACAGAACTGTTAGTTATAAGTAAGAAAAATACAAATTTTTAAAGAATTTGATTTGGAACCATTTTAAAATTTAATTATTTTTTAAAATTCATGCTAGGATAATGCTTTTAATATTCAATTATTATGTAGAACTTTAACTGAAATTCATTTTTAAATAAATTTTTATTAGATAATTCAATAATTTAAATGCAAAAATAAATAATTTATTGAATAATTAAAATTTCTTAAAATTTAAGTCTGATAAAGAATTTTATCAAAACATTTTTAAATTCATTTTTTGAAGGCACAAATATGAAATTTTATGCAAAGTTAGCAAAACAGTGATATATTTTGTAAATTTCAATTTTTAACGAAATTTTTTTTAATTTTTTAATTACTTTTGTGATTAAGTACCAGTTTTTATTGTTAATAGGCATTATTATTAATTATCTATTAATACTAGGAGAAACTACACACGCGTTTTTTTAGCTGTCACCTGTAATAATTTCAAAAGATAACATTTTTGTAATTTTTCATAAATTTTTCGAAGAATTTTTTATTGAAATTTTGTAAAGATAATCGAATTTCTTTTGAGTAATGATAATATAATAATAGTAAATTAAATACTTTGTTTGGCGGGCGTGACATTTACTACTTATTTATATTATTTATAAAAAAATTTTAAATACAAATTTCATAAAATTCAATTATTTTTTTAATTTTTAAATAAAAAATTATTCCAAAATAATTAATAAAAAATAATTTTTTCTCGATAGTTTTTCAAAAATTAAATTATTTAAGAAAATCAATTTTAAATCTGTAAAGTCTAATTATTGTTAAAAACAGGAAGAGTTTGAAATATATAAAATCTTTTCAATGCTGAAGAATATCATTCAGAATTTTCTTATGAATTCTTGAAATTGAATATTATTCCAGCACTTTTGACAAAATTTTCTGACTTTTTCCTGATTTCCCTGAATAAATTTAGAAAAATAGTGATTTTGTGTAAAATTCTTCTGAATAATTGAATTTTTGAACGTTAATGACATGAAAATAATATTAATTAATTTTGACTAGAAAACTATTAGAAACAAAATAACAAATATAAATAATTAATTGTAATTAAATGTAATTTATTTTTGATAATTAATAATTCAAAAATAATGTAATGAACATATTTTTCATTATCGTCTTATTGGCATTCACGCTTTCATTAATTTTCATGTGACATGTAATGTAAAAATTACATTATTGTTATATATATATATGTCGTAGGCAATTAGAAGAATCAGCCAATTAGCTAAACGCCTAGGCGATTAGCTAAGTGGCGGCCAGTAGACAAATATGCTTGGAAATTATTTGTATTTGTCTACTGGCCTAACAAAATTCGCCATTTAGCTAACTGGCTAGGCAGTTGTCTAATCGCCTAACACGTTTTAGGCGAATAGAAAATATACATCATCCAATGCATGTAAGATTAAAGAAATATTTCACTTTCTCATTTATTATTTTATTGTAATATATATTTATACATGTTTGAACTAAACGAAATGTCACTTTCATCAAAATTATATTGACATAAGTTTTTAAAAATTTTCGCAATTGAAAAAGGAAAATATTAATTTATACTAAAATAAAATTAAATTTATTTCATAAATTCATAATTTTTGAATTCTGGTTTTTCATTTTATAGTTTTGTTTATTTTTCTCTTTTCAAAATTATTTATTCTTTGTTTCCGTAGATATATTGTTTACTTTTGCTATATTTAATAACTCGTATATTAGATTTAATAAATTAGCATTATTAGTATTTTCTGCACAGCCGTTGAAAGTAGATGTATATTGACATCTTTATATTATATATTTACTTTTAAAAAATATTTGACAAAGTGCTTTATACTTATTCGAATAAAAAATGAATGAATAAAAAATGAACAACTTTTCTTCGACTCCGATCCTTCAAAATGTTTTAAACTTTCTATCACAGTTTCCAAACGACTTTTATTCCATACACTTCTATTACTTTTTTGATTGGAATAAAATGATTTTAATTTTTCGATAAATTCTTCACTGTTTACACTGCACTCACTCATTTTTTATTCGAATAAGTATAAAGCACTTTGTCAAATATTTTTTAAAAGTAAATATATAATATAAAGATGTCAATATACATCTACTTTCAACGGCTGTGCAGAAAATACTAATAATGCTAATTTATTAAATCTAATATACGAGTTATTAAATATAGCAAAAGTAAACAATATATCTACGAAAACAAAGAATAAATAATTTTGAAAAGAGAAACATAAACAAAACTATAAAATGAAAAACCAGAATTCAAAAATTATGAATTTATGAAATAAATTTAATTTTATTTTAGTATAAATTAATATTTTCCTTTTTCAATTGCGAAAATTTTTAAAAACTTATGTCAATATAATTTTGATGAAAGTGACATTTCGTTTAGTTCAAACATGTATAAATATATATTACAATAAAATAATAAATGAGAAAGTGAAATATTTCTTTAATCTTACATGCATTGGATGATGTATATTTTCTATTCGCCTAAAACGTGTTAGGCGATTAGACAACTGCCTAGCCAGTTAGCTAAATGGCGAATTTTGTTAGGCCAGTAGACAAATACAAATAATTTCCAAGCATATTTGTCTACTGGCCGCCACTTAGCTAATCGCCTAGGCGTTTAGCTAATTGGCTGATTCTTCTAATTGCCTACGACATATATATGTTAAAAGTGAAACAAGAAACTTCACGCGAGTTTTAGCGCGCGTTATTTGTGCTAGTATCTTTATAAAATAAATTAAATTAAATAAATTATATAAATAAAGACTAACGTCTTTATTTATAATTTATTTAATAAAGACATTAATTGATAGCTATATAGTTAAATAATTTATTAATTAAATAATTAATTGAAAAAAATAATCTTAAGATTTGAGGAAATATGATTATATTTTGCATACATGTATGTCAGTTAATCATTCCGTAGGTGCTATTATATAGAAAAGAACTTTGTTTCAAAGTTTTATTTTCTTCTTTAAAAAACATGTTTTTGTTCAACTTTTTTATCTTTCTCTTTACTTTACTTTTCTAGTTTAGTTGAACTTTTTGCTTCTTTTTCTTAACGTGTAATTTTTACATAATTTGTATAATTATTTTAATTATCCTAATTATCTTAATTTTTATTTCTTTTTCATTATGATTTAATGCCTTTTTAATTCCTTTGGAATTTAATTCAAATTCATTCTCAAAATGTGCACTGGAAAAGCTGTGCTAACGTAAATTTTACAATATCTACTAAACAATAAGACATTTTTTTAAGATATGAAAGTATAATGATAAGAGACTTGTGATTATCTCAATACAATGTATTTTAATTGTTTAAAAAATGCTTTTACAAATCGATAAATTTTCGTATAAATTTATTTAAAAAAAAAATGATAAATTGACGAGTTTTTTGCATAAATGATGGAAGTAATTTTTAATGGCAATAAATTATAGGTAAAATTTTCTAATTCTTTTATATTTGACTTTGATTGTTTAAAGAAACAAAAAAACCGAAGCGAACAAGGACAAAAATTACAAAAAAGGAAAGAGGAAACAAAATGTTTATATCTTATCTTTATATTCACTGTATCTTATCCTTCTTTGCTTATAAGATTTTTACAACTATTATTTTTAAATTGTTTAAAAATGTCATTAATAATCAATAAAAATAATAAAATGCAAAAATATGAAACTGACAGTTTGAGAAAGTTGTGCGTAATTTTTATGCTCTGTGTTTTCCTATTCAAAATTCCTTTTGTGACATACTTTTTTTCACTTTCATTGAACATTTTTTTTTTTGAAAAATGAATTTAATAGACAAATTATTTTCTTTTTCTACTTATTTTGCAGAGAATTTTCTTATTTTAATTGGAATAGAAAAAAACATAATCAAATAATTTCTTTATTTTTTTATTTATTACAGTCTATTTGATAAATAAAAAAAAATTTCTTCTTTATTTATTCATTGTCTACTTGATAAAAAAGAAATAATTTTTTTCACTGCAGTCTACTTGATAAAAAAAAGAAATAAATTTTTTTTACTCATTACAGTCTTAAAAGGAATACTTTTGTGTAGATGTTGAAATAATGTTTCGTATGGCAGTAGAAAGAAGATGAAGGTAAGCAAGAAAAATAATACGTAAGCAAGAATGCTTAAAATCAAAAACCACAAAGTGAACTATGTAAAACGGAAAATAAAATACTAATAAGCGAAAAGACAAAGAATGTTTTGTTTCTTTTTTTTTTATAATTAAAAACGAAATACCTAATCTTCATTTCTTCATTCTATTTTTACGATTGAATGTGTCGAGTGTTACTTGCTCAGTGTAGCTTCGTAGGCGGAATGAGTCGGACGCTCACCACTCTCTATATTGACTATACACATAAATTAATGTTATTAGACAATCTAATTCCACTCTAAAAATTCCTTAACAACTTCGAAATTATATTTTAAAATATAAATTTAATTCTTCTCCTCCTAATTTAATTTTTCCAACTTTTTAATATTATCAAAAAAATATTTCCTTTCATCCACAATATCTTTTCTTTCAACAACAAATAAAAACCTTCAAGACAACTACAAGAGTTCAATATGTGCCTTAAAATATCTGAGGAGAATATTTAACAAGTTCCTATAAATACGGTTCAAAAAAAGTGATATTTTAATTGTTTTTCAATTTTTTATCCTACAACTGTCATTATAATATACAAAGTGAGAAAATTTGTTTTGTGATTAAATAAGTAGTGTGTTGAGATGAAAATAGAACAATGGTACATATGTGTATGAGCATTCACAATTAAATGCGTATTTATGAAGAACGCGAAATGCATGCTTTTGCATTTGGATATTTGTGCAAAAAATGATAAAAAATTATTAAATTTTCAACAATGACTGAAGTGTGCCAAAAATCGAGGAATCTCAAGATAAATTTAAGCCAAATTAAAAAACATGATACATTCAATGATGCTGGATCAAATCAATCGAATAAATCCATTAATTTGGTTTTCAACAATATCTCCTACAGTGTTCGGACTAATATTTTATCGAAAAGTATGATATCTTTTTTTACAATACACGAAAATAATGAACCAAATAAATTTAATATCCACGTGTTTTATGAATAATTACTTTAAGTAATTTTTAATTAATTTGATATTAATTGCACCTCAGTAATAATTTATTATTATTATTATTATTATTATTATTATTATTATTATTATTATTATTATTATTATTATTATTATTATATTAATAGACGAATTATTCCTTTCTTTCTTTTTTCTTTTTCTACTTATTTCAAAAAAATTCTCTTATTTTAATTGGAATTGAAATTATTATTATGTTAATATAATATAATAATAATAATATATTTTAGGTATTATTTCTAATTAATTAATAAGAGACTTAAAAAAATGAAAAAAAAGAAATAATTGAAATTTTCTTCGCGCAGAAATGTAAAATATTTGAGATATCTTCTCTCGATAAGGAACAAAATGTTTTTCTTCTATTTCGATATCTTATCCCCATATTATCAAAATCTAAAGAATAATTAGTTGGTTATTAATTTTCTATATCCAACTATTATCTACCAACTTTCGATATATAGTTAAATCTTTAAACTTTGTCTCCATGATAATAGTGATAAAAAAAATACAACAGAAAAATTATTTCACATTCTTTTCGACTTTTATTTCTTTGTAAATTTTTTTCAACCACTTTTTTAGAATTTAATTTTCTTTTTAATATTTCATATGTTATTAATATTTAATTTATTAAAATGAAGTATTTTCCTGGTAATTTTTATTTATGTTTTTTTAAATATTGCTTTTGCTTCATTAAAACGATTGTGATTCAGAGGTTTGGTTTATTATTCATGCACACACATAAATATGTGAAGATGCGTACACATATAACATTCATAATAATATTAAAGTGGAATTTCAGTTGATTTTTTGCAGAATTCTTTTGCATTTTATTTTTCTTTTTTTTTTCTTTTTGAATTCATACACGTGCGAGTTTTTCTGTAAAATCTTTTTTCCTAAAACTGGATTTTGGTGAAATTAATTATGTGAAGATAGATCATTTTGAATATAGCAATAAAATTGGATGAAGTGAAACTAGAATTTTGAGAATAAAAAGTAGAATTTTGAGAATAAATGTAGAATTTTGAAAATAAAACTAGATTTTTTTGTAAATATCAACAAGAATATTTTTTTAGCAATTATTAAATCAATGACGGAAGATGTTTTTCAGATTTAGAAAGAATTTGTTAGTTGAGATAAAACATTTCTGAACGATAAGAATATAATACATGTATAGAGTGTCAAGATGAAAATGAGAATTAAATGTGTAAATTGAGTGAAAAGAATATTTATATTAATTCACTGATAAATAAAATATCCCTCTTTTTTGTGAATTTGATGAAAAGATTTTTACTTATCTTTAACGTATATATACAATGATGTGAACATCACAAAAATTCAATGATTATATTATCTACTTTATGTATTTAAGAGATCGACAAGAATTTACACTCTCACTGCAAAATGTGACACAAGACTTATATATTTTAGAAATTAAATTTGTATTTTTAACATTTTCTCATAAATCATCTTTTTTTCCTCTTTCCTTTTTATTGCAAAAATTAATTGCAACATTTTTGCAAAAAAACTCTTGAATTTTCCTTCAAATAAAATGTTCATCAATTTTTTTTAAATATCGAATGCATTTTATGTGTTTGTTGTTATTATTATTATTATTATTATTATTATTATTAGTAAATTAATTAATAAATTAAATTCTAAATAATAATAAATAAAAATAGGCTTCAGGCCTAATGTTACATGTAAACAAAATAAGATATAAATAATAATAAATATTAAATTATAGGTACATTGATAAAAAGAATAATAAATAAAATTGAATAAAATTTATTATTCGTTTACTTATTGAGAATTAAAAGCAGAACATTAAGACGAGTTTTTAATTGTTATACATAAATCCGCATTGTTCGTATCAACTTATTGAAAGTTTTGCGATATCAAAAGCCAACGACCAGAGAAATTTATAAATAAATAAATAATTTAAATAATAATGGTAAAAATCTTTCCAATCACTTATTTTCTAATGCTTAAATGTTGGTGAATTTCACAACGTTTATATAATTAACGATTTAGACGAAAAGAAATTTTTCTATTAAAATTTTTATATATTTTGGTACAAAAAAATGCTTAGCACATTTTTTTTTATCAAAAACGTAAAAGAGATTTTTGTAAAAAATTGTTTTAATAAGTTTTAATAGGTAGTTTAAATAATAAATAATAATAAAAAAAAATTAAATAAATGAAATATTTTTAATAATTTTTGCATTTTTTTTACAGAAAGAAAACAATTACTATTCGATATTTCCGGAGATTTTAGATCGGGGGAGCTGACAGCAATTATAGGTCCATCTGGAGCGGGAAAATCGACAATGATGGATATTTTAGCTGGATTCACGTATGAAAAGCTTTGATAATTTTTCTATAAAAATTTGTAAAATTTAAAAAAATAATTTTTAATTTTTCGAAAAATTTTTCACCCCCTATTTTTTGAAAAAGGAAAGAGTTTATTTTGAAATAGATATTTTTTCTTTCTTTTGACAGGACATCATCAGTAACTGGAAATATAATAGTTAATGGAGAGAATCGTGATTTAGCATCCTTCAGAAGATCATCAGCTTACATTATGCAAGATGACAATCTTCAACTTCTATTAACTGTTCAGGAAGCAATGGACTGTGCTGCAAATTTGAAACTTAATACTTCAGCTTCGGAAAAGAAGCACACTGTAAGGAAATAAATTAGTCTGTAGATATTTTTCCATTTAATCAGAGTAATATTTTAATTCATTGTTATTAATATGTAGATAAAAAATTATTTTTTTTTATTTTAAGTATTTAAGTAGATTTTTTTGTTTATTTTAGTATTTTTTAAACCATTTCTGTCTATATTATATTATTTTTTCATTTCTAAATCCATATTTTCCTTTATTTCATTATTTTTCTATTTCCGATTTCTTCCTTCATTCTATTATTTTTCTGTTTTCAAATCCATTTCTTCTTTTTGTTTTAATATTATTTACTTCTAAATCCATTTCTTCCTATATTTTAATATTTTTTATTTCCAAATTTATTTCTTCCTTTATATTATTATTTTCTAATTTTTAAATCAACTTCTTTCTCTATTTTACTATTTTTTGTCTAATTTTTAAAATAAATAAAATTTTGTCTTATTATTAAAGCCATTCGGACGTTGTAGATTTTATTATAATTATTATTTTTTATTTTCAAATCCATTTCTTCCTTTAATTTATTATTTTCCAATTTTTAAATCCGTTTCTTCCTCTATTTTATTTTTTGTTATTTCTAAATACATTTTTTTTTTTAATTTTATTATTTTTCTATTTCTAAATCCATATTTCTATTGAGAAAAAATAGAACCCCCTTTAATGGCTTTAATGTTTTCTCTCTAATAGGTTTTCTTTTTTATAGGTTGATCAAATTTTAGTTGCAATGGGTCTTTCGAAATGTCGAAAAACTCGTACTGACAAACTCAGTGGTGGACAGAGAAAAAGACTGGTAATTGCTTTAGAGCTAGTGAATAATCCGCCGATTATGTTCTTTGATGAGCCAACAAGGTATTGGATTTTTTTCTTCCTACTTTTTAAAAATCAATCATTTTTTATAATTAATTATGAATTAATTATAAATGAAATTTTCAGTGGCTTGGACAGTGTATCATCAAAGCAGTGTTTGGCTTTTTTAAAAATGTTGGCACGTGAAGGAAGAACAGTAATTTGTACAATACATCAACCAAGTGCAACTCTTTTTGACATGATCGATCATCTTTACGTAGTGTCACAAGGAAAATGCCTTTATACTGGCGGAACAAAAAATTTAGTTAATTTTCTAGCTTCATTTCAATTAAATTGTCCGACATATCATAATCCAGCGGATTTTAGTGAGTTTCAATAATTATAATCAACGTTTGAAAATATTTATTAAATCTAATTAATATTTCCTTTTATTCAGTACTAGAAATATGCAACGGAGATTATGGCGATCATTTATTAAAGTTAGTAAACTCGATAGAAAATGGTAAAAGTAAATCTTGGCGATCGCCAACAGAAGACGATTTATGTAAAATAGAACAACTAATTAATGAGAATATTATGACACCAATAGTTTCACCAAATCTTCCAACTCCTGCCATATTTATGAAAAATAAAATCAATGGATCAAATCATGCAACTGGATTTTGGATGCAATTGTGCATTTTACTCAGACAAAATTTCATTCGACTTTCTAGAGATAGGGTAATTGAAAATTTTATACAAAAATCACCACCTAATGAATTAATTATTAATTATTTAATTAATTAATTAAACTAATTGATAATTAATATTAATAAAAAAAATTTTAAAGACTAATTTACTTAATTGAAAAAAATTGTTTCTTTAACAGGTTCTGACTTTTATGCGACTTTCAATGCACTTTATAATTGCAATTTTGGTTGGGATTATTTTCTTCAATATTGGCGAGGACGCCACTTACGCATTGGATAATTACAATTTGCTTTTCTTTAATGTCATGTTCCTCATGTATAGTGCATTTAGTGCAACACTCATAACATGTAAATATAATGCTTTCAATAATTATTATTCTAGATTTCAAACTTTCACTCTTATCTCAATTTAATAGAAGCGAATTTCAATTTTATACAAATATCATTTTAGATTATTCTATTTTTATTATAAAAATAATATTAATATAATTAATATTGATATAATCAAAAATTATTATAATATTAATATGTAATTAAATAATATTGTTTAACAATAAAATAATAAAATAATGATAAAATATAATTAATATTAATAAAAATTTATATTAGGCTTCTGTGAATATTAATCTGTATGTAATTAATTAAATTTTTTTATTAATTACAGCTTGATTAATTTATAATTATGTAAAAATTCAAATTTTAATAATATAAAAATGGTCGAAATTGTGATTTTTATAAAATTAATTTGTACTTTTCTTTACAGTTCCTTTGGAAGTACCAGTTTTAACAAGAGAGCATTTTAATCGTTGGTATAAACTTCATTCATTTTATTTGGCTAACAAATTGGCAGACCTCCCGATACAAATTATAGCAACAATTATTTATACTTTAATAGTTTATTATATGAGTGGCCAAGTAAATGAAGTGAAGAGGCTGGCCCTTTATATTTTTATATGTATTGCCATCAGTCTCGTTGCACAAAAAATTGGTCTTATTGTTGGAATAGCAATGAAACTACAGGTATTTATCTAAGTATCCAATTAGCTTAGGCGTTAATTTTAATTGATTTAGTTAAAATTCAATTATTTTCATAAATCTTAATAAAATTCCTTGATAGAATTCAATTATTTTCAATACAATCTTAATAGAAATTAAATTTTTCGAAAGAATTCAATTATTTGAATAAATAATAAAATTCTTAGGAGGAATTCAATTATTTTCGAAAATTTTCATAAATTTCTAAAAAATTAAACTATTTTAAAAATTTCAACATAATTCATTGGAAAAATTCAATTATTTTTATAAGTAAGAAAATTCTTATCAGGAAGTCAATTATTTTTAAAAATTTTCATAAAAATCTTTCCAAGAATTCAATTATTTTCAGTATAGTTCTAATAAAATTCTTCGCAAGAATTCAATTATTTTCATAAATTTTAATAAAATTCCTTGAAGGAATTCACTTATTGTGTGAAACAAAAAAATTTTCAAAAAATGTAATAAAATTTTGCTTAAGAATTTAATTGTTGTCGTTAATAATAATATTCTTCACAAGAATTCAATTATTTTCAGAAATAATAAAATTCTTACTAGAAATTCAATTATTTATAAAAACTTTAATAAAATTATTGAAAATAATTCAATTATTTTCTCATAAACTTTAATAAAATTCATTGAAAAAATTAAAATTTTTAATAATAAAATTTCTGGAAGAAATTTCATTATTGTCGTAAATGTGAATATATAAAATTCTTATAAAAAAAATGCAAGTACCTAAATGCTTTCGAAGATTTTAATAAAATTCTATGCAAGAATTAAAATATTTCAGATTCTTAATTATGAAAATTACAGAAATTTTATAACATTTTTTAAACAAAAATGTAATCTTTAAACATTAAAAAATATCACTATTAATAGCGCTAAATTATAGAAAACCAAATAATTTTTTCTTGAAAAAATAGTAAAAAACAGTAAAAAAAATAGTTAAATACAGTAAAAATTTATTCTCAAAATTGTAATTAATGAAAATTTGAACTAATTAGATTAAAAGTGACATGAACTTTTATTATCATCATTGTTTAAAAAAATTATAAATAATTATTATAATTTCCTTACAGAATGGAGTAATTTTTGGACCACTGTTCATAATGCCTTTTACAATATTCAGTGGTTTTTTTGTCCACATGAATGACGCTCAACCATTTTTACAATGGTTGTTTCATATTTCTTTTTTAAAATACGGTTTCGAAGGAGTTATGGTTGCCATTTATGGGTAAATAATAATTACTACTTTATAACAAATATACGAAATTTAAAAAAAATCCAACTATTAACTGTTTTTATTTTCTCTTTAGATACGACAGACCAAAGATGCGTTGCACCTCAGATTATTGCCATTTTTCTCATCCAAAACAACTTTTAAAAGCAGTTGGAATGAGATATTCAGATTATTGGTACAGCATTGCCATTTTGATTTTAATTTACATTATACTCGATACTTGTGCCTTCATAATATTGAGATTGAGGCTGAAACAACGTTTTTATCGTTAAAATGTGATAAGCTTAATATAATATGTTTAAAATTGAATTATAAAATGTTATTTATTAAATAACATTGTAAAGTTTATATAAATGAAGATGTTGACGAATTTTTTGTATTTTCTGCATAAAAGACATTTTGAGGGATGAATAATTTTGCCTACGGAGAGGTTCACGATTCATTGTACCTAACTTTTTCTTAATAAAACATTTTATTCTTCTTTATACTCAATTGTGTGCTCACTAAATCTGAATTGGTAAACATGTTTTCTAATTCGAATTAGTGACTGAGTTTTTGCTTTTTAATTAGAAAAATTTGACTAATAAATAGTCATTTCCGCTAATTATAATAAATTACAATAAGTAAAAAAAATTACAAATAAATTAGTAGAAATTACTATTTATTAGTCACGTTTATTATAATTCATAAAAATTATAAATAAATTAGCAGAAATGACTGTTTATTAGTCCAATTTTCTAATTCAAAAGCAAAAAGTCAGTCACTAATTCCTATTAGTACAATGTTTACTAATTCAAATTTAGAGAGTTGTTTTTATTTCTTTGTACTATTTTTTTTCTTAACAAATTTTTTCTCTTTATCGCAAATTTCGTCTTTTTCATTAACTCGTTAATATAATAATACAATAATGATAATAATAATAATAAAATTAATAGAAATAATATCTAATAATGATACAAAATTTGCCAATTACTATCAAAAATTTTCCATAATTGTGAAATTAAATTTTTACAAATCTGTTAAATTTTTTTTGTTTCTTTTCTTTAAAGTACATAATGCTTAAAAAAATAAAATTATAACAAGTCTTTTCAAGAGAGTGACCAATGATTTAACTCATGTTAATAATCTTTTTTTATATATAGATATATATATATTTTTCTCTACTCCATTTTATACTAAGATAAAATTATGCTATCTATCAGTAAGCGGTTGATTCTCGACGAGTCAATTCCTCGTTGCAATAGTAGAATTATAAAAGAGACAGTGCGAGACTTTCACTTTGAATTTTTAAAGTTCAACTTGTGAAATCAAATGAAAATGTGTTTTCTCTCTTTTCTAAAATGCAGTGAATATTAAAAATAAAAAACATTTATTAAAAAAAATTAAAAACTACTTTTTTTTTGCTCCCAATTATTATTTAAGACAGTGGTGAGTTAAAGAGATAATTGCAATATGGATCAAAGTCCTGAGAATTCAGATGAAGCATTAAAAACGGAACAATGTGAAGTTGATTTAGCTCCCTATCAAAAATTATTAACTGAAAATAATGAAAATTCCGATGGAAATAAACAAATGAGCATTGAATTTGTTAATTTAAAATACAGTGTCGAGTGTAAAAAAGGTTTGTTGACAAAAATCGTATGAAAAATAATATTGCAAATAAAAGAATAATGTAAAAAATAAAAAATTAATATAACTAATAAAAGAATAATATAAAAAATAATATACGAAAGTTCACAAACGAAAATTCAAAAATTTAAATTCAGAAATAAACATTCAAAAGTAAATATTCAACAATTGAATTTCATTTATTTAGATTTGAGACGTAAATAGTAAAAATAATTTACAAAGACGTAAATTATAAGAAATTTTTGAGTAATTTATTGTTTTTACAGGAAATTTTAAGGATATTCTCAGAGAAGTTTCGGGACGTTTTCTGCCAGGAAGATTGACGGCAATTTTAGGACCCTCTGGTGCAGGAAAAACGAGTTTGCTAAATATTTTAGCAGGACGAAAAAAAATAGAATCTCAAGGTTGTATAATCGTGAATGGAATGAAAATATCATATCAAACTTTGCAAAAACATTGTTGCTATATTCCTCAAGAATTCGCATTAATGCCACTTCTCACCGTAAAGGAAACTCTTTTAATCGCTGCGGAATTAAAGTTAAACAATACCTACGATGCACGCGCTCGAGAATTGATAGTTAGTATATGCAAATTTTTATTTTAGTGTATTAGTATTAGTACTAATTGATTATTTTATTAATTATTATATTATAATTATAATATCCTTACAATATAATAATATTGTAATAATTATATTATAATTATTATTTTAATTAATTATTAAATTTTATTTAGAGAGAATTTAGAACAAATTTTCCATTAAGGTCATGTTATTCAGTGGTCACGTGCTCCATATACTTTACTATGGGAACACGTGACCACTGAATAACATGACCTTAAAGAGAAAATTTTTTCTCTTTGAAGATTAGATGAAATTTAGCTAATTTTATGATGGAAAACTGACTGATTTCTGAATTGGAAAATATTTTTGTAATAATTTGTAATTAATTATTTTGTAATTTATACTATAAATAAAAAAATACTATAAAATAAAAAATGTATACTATAAATTTATTATAATAATAATAAAAATAATAATAATAATAAGAAAAATAATAGTAAGAACAATATTTTTATGAACACAACTAAATTGAATATTGAATATTTAAGGTAAACGAGATTGTTAATAAACTTAATTTGAATGAATGCTGGAACTCAATAGTACAAAGACTAAGTGGCGGAGAAAAAAAACGATTATCTATTGGGCTTGAAGTCATTACAAGTCCTTCAGTACTACTTTTAGATGAACCAACGAGTGGTCTTGATAGTGTTTCATCAAAACAGGTATGTGCACTTAAATTTAAGTGTGTTTCCCAAATTGAACATTTGGTAATTTATTAAGAAAAAAAATTTTTATTTTTAATTATTTCGTTGGTATTTCAATTTTCAATTTTCAATAATCAATAGTACATAAATAATTATTCAAAAAAATCTAATCGATTAATACATATTTATTTTTTTTTTAAACGTAAAAAGCAAAAATAATAATTCTAAGTGCATGTTGAATACACTTGCTGTGCAATAACTACATAATCATCAGCAATGAACCTCATGAATATTGAATGTCAAGTTTATTGCGCACATTCAATTAATAAACCTTGGATCACTTTTTTTGTCCGCAATAATACAAAATTTCAAGATAATTGAATTTCCGAAAATAGTTCATTGAAATATTTTCAAGTCAATGAAAATTTTGTCAAATTGTATTGAAATAAAAATTTTAATTAGAAGAAATTTATTACAATCTTTAAAAATAATTTTGAATTCAAAGAAAAAATTATTTATAAAGATTGTAATAAATTTCAAAGACGAAATTATTTTTTTATTTATTCAAAAATTGGAAAAACTTATTCGAAAATAATTAAATTTCAACTATGATAAGGCGTGAGTTTGCCCATACTTTTAACTACATCAAGAAAATAATTTAAATATTATATAAAATATTTTATGGTAATTTTATGTGAGGAATTTAATGGACATAAAATAAAATGAGTCAGAAAATATTTGTACCTCTTTTGAATTTTTGTTTTTCCTCAAAATTTGTAGATTTTTAATGACAATTGAATTCCTTACAAAAAGGAACCATAAAAATAATTCTATGGAATTTTCAAAGAAAAAATAAATGAATACGCCGATATAACTAAAATTTGGAGAATCGTGTAATGCAAAAAATAATAAAATAAAATTATAAAAATTTACATTTCTATAATTAAAAAATACTTTTCATATTACCAAGTACTGAATGAAAAATTAAATGCAAACATTGCTTATATTAATTGCAGGTAATTGAATTGTTACACTCCTTGGCACAAACAGGGTGTACAATTATTTGTTCTATTCATCAGCCGAGTAGTCAATTATTTTCGCTATTTGACGATATTATCATTCTTGGTCAAGGAAAATGCTACTATTGTGGTCCTCGGGACAATATTGTCGATACTTTTAGTGAAGCTGGATTTATCTGTCCTAATTTTTACAATATCGCAGAATTTGGTAAAATAATTTTTCTAATAAATAATACTTTTATTTTTCACACTTTTATTTCTTATTTAAATTTCACGAGTAAATTTTTTTCAGTCCTGGAAGTGATAACAGAGAGAAGAGCCGGTGACTTGTCAATTTTAGAAAAACTTCATACGAATAAAGAAAGAGAAAATATATTCTATGATGAGACTGTAAAAAACAACAAAAATAGTAAGATACTTTTTTTGTGTTTAAAAATATCAAAGAAATTAAATATTTCAATTGAGACTCCGGATCTTAAAAGGGCACTTTCCCCATAGACTTTACATGGTGAAAGTGCCCTTTTAAGATTTGGAGCCTCAATTTTAAGAAAACACTCTTTTTTAATTCTCGAATTTAATTTCTTAATTTAATTCTCGAATAAAATTTCTCAATTTAAATCTCTAATTTAATTCATCAATTTAATTCACTAATTAGATGAAAATAGAAAGTTGTTCATATTTAAAAATTTGGAAAACGAAAAAGACTCTAATGTGGAATCGAGGAGGTACGCAGTTTCCAATTGGGTCCAATTAAAAGTATTATTAAGACGTTCCTTCATTTGTATACGACGAGATAATGTGAGTAATTTATAATTGCTCCCCAAGGACCACATTCTTTTATTTTAATAAATGGAATATATTTTCAGACGTTGACAAAATTGCGTTACACTACTCATTTAGTTGTAGCACTTTTATTGGGAATAGTATTTTACAAATTTGGTGAGGTGTCTACCAAAATACAAAGCAATATTGCTTGCATATTTTTCATCTTACTTTTCCTCTTTTTTGCAAATTCGATGCCGGCTGTTCAAATGTGTAAGAAAGAAAAAATACTACTACATAATTTTCCAAATAAAAAAAAAAAATTCGCCAAATACCAAATTTATTTATAGATTTCTCTTTTGCAAATTAAGTTCCTACAGAGACTGCAGTTTTCGTCAGGGAAAATTCAAATAACTGGTATTCACTGCACGTGTACTATATTTCTAAAGTTGTTTCAGATCTTCCTTTGCAGGTAAAATATTCCCTATTGTAATTCTTTTTGTTCTTCAACGTAATTTTTAATTATTTTTAATATTTTTTACTTCTAATTATTATTAAATCTAATTTTAATTTTAATTCGAATTCTAATTTTAGATACTTTGTCCTACTAGTCTTTTATTAATTGTTTATTACTTAACCGGACAACCCTGTGAAGTGACGAGATTCGTTCAAAGTTGGATTATTTGTGTCCTATTCACTATTCTCGCACAATCTATGGGAATTGTTACGGGAGCAGCTTTCAATACTGATGTATTACACTTATATTTTTCATTTCTAAAATTTCATTCAGTCGTATATTTAATATTTTAATTATTTTTAATAATTTAATAAATATTTTCTCCTTACAGATTGGAATGTTTTTAATTCCTGCACTGAATATTCCGATGTTTCTTTTTTCTGGATTTTTCTTGAAATTTAGCGAAATGCCATATTATTTTCGTTTTATATCTGAATTGAGTTACTTCAGGTAAATTCGTTTTATTAATAATTATTTATGTTTAAAACGTTTGAAAAAAGGAATAGAAATTTAATGTTTAAAAAATTTTCAGATACGCTTTTGAAGGAATACTTCAAGCGATTTATGGATCAAATCGTCGGATTTTTAACTGCACTGTCGAGATGTGTATCACACCCGGAAGAATTTTATCTCAATTAAATATGCCTTCTGTAACGTATTTAACTACTAATTTAGCTTTAATTGCATGGACTGTTGTTCTTCATTTTACTATTTATTTTGTGCTGAGATGGAAATTGTATATCGCTGCCAAATAGAATTTTTATACGAATCAAAATTTATGCCAGTCAGAAAAATGTATATTTTTTTACGTGAAATTAAATATTTTTGCTAAAATAAATAAAATTTGAACATTTTTGAGAATTTTATACGCTTCATGAATGAGTGATAAATTTAATGTTGAACTAATGAAATGTATGAAAAAAACATATAAACGGAAGGTTCAACGATTTCTTAAGATTTACTTAAATAGGAAATATTTTATCATTGATATATATACATAAACGTACAAAAAGTTGCTTTATCACTTAAATATCTCTTTACCAACCTTTTTTTAAAGTCTAAAATATAATTACGCAAAATAAATAACCATTAAAATATACTGACTCTAAAATTATAACATAACTTGATTTTAAAAGACTTAGCAAATTTTTTTTTTACTTTTTTCTATTATTAATTATTAATTCTGAAATAAGTCTTTTAAGTTGATCTCAAAATTTTCAATATGAAATACAGAAAAACGAGATCTAAATTAAATAATTGTAGAAAACTGTCGAATACATAAGTTTCAACTGAACGAATTCAATTATTCGAGTATTTTGTTTCCAATGGAATAAAATGCTCTTTCTTTTTTTTTTTTTTTATCTCGCTGCCATAAGTTTCCATCGCAGGAGAACGTATGCTAGAAAACGAGTAATGAAGAGTATCACAATGAGAGCAATTACATCATTCCAAAATTGATCGTCTCTCATGGCAATTTCATTTAAAAATTTTCTTGGATATTTATAATGGCAGTAGTCTTTACAGGCAAGTGTCTTTCGGTTCAGTCCATAAATTGCATTTATGTACCTGATATCAAATTAACATTCTTATTATTTTTAACTTAATATTAAATTCCTAAACTATATCTATGTCCTATATTATTTAAAAAGAAGCCATTTTTTGTACTTTTTCATGTACCATCAATTTAGCGATTTTTATTAAAATCTAATATGTATTTTTAAAAAATAATTTAACTCACCCTTCCAGTCCATATCGCAGATAACTGACATAAGTGCCCCATTTCAAAAAACCGGGCATATCACGTAGAGTAACACCAAAACCAGCAAACATCATCATTGGTACAGAAATAGTCGGTCCCAAGAAAGTTCCATTCTGAAAATCGTATTTTCATTAAAATTCTATTTTAAACATCACCCTTAAAAAGTTCAAATTAAACATTCAGGGCTCGAACCAGTGAAAGTATTTAATACGGTCTTTACGGACCAAAAATGAAAAATTACTGACAAAAATATAACCAGCCCGAGTCAAATAAGAGAACATTTTACTAAAACTATAAATTCAATTTTTTCATAACTATAAAACATGAAGATATCAATAACTCCGAGTCTTCGACTCGGAGTGATCGATTTCTCCATGTTTTGTAACAATTAAAGATGACCGAGTGATGAAATCATTCTTTTATATTATAAGAATATTGTACTTCTTCAAAATTATTTTCATCATTTCAATTCAATTATTATTTTCAAGAATTTTTAACTAAAATTCTTCTTTAAATCAATTATTTTCAATAATTTTCGAAAAAGTACTTTAAAAAATTTCAAATCTATTGGCACAATATTCAATTAAATTTATATTAGAAAATAAAAGCTTCAAATAATATTAAAAAAATTGAATTAAACTTTTTTAAAAAGACTAATTTTAAAATTCAAATATTTCTAAAAAATCACGCACTGTTTTTAATAATCAATTATTATCTAAAATTTTAACTGAAATTAATTTTTAAATAAATTTTTTATTATAAAATTCTACTAGAATTCAATTATTTGAATATAAAAATAAATAATTTATTGAATATTTAAATGTTTCTTAAATTTTAATTCTCATAAAGAATTTTTAAAATAACTGAATTCATTTGACGAATTTTAATAAAATTTTTAAGATTAATTACATTTTTCAAGGAATTTGATTAAATTTGTATTAAATTTTAATTGAAATTTTGCAATGAGTTTTATTATTTATCAAAATAATTGAATTCCTAAAAAGAATTTTATTATTTACGAGAATAATTGAATCTTGTAGAAATTTTATTATTTATGAAAATAATTGAATTATTGCGAAGAAATTTCTAAAAAAATTTGTACATAATTGAATTCCTGTGAAATTTTTATTATTTTAAGAAAATAATTAAATATTTGCGTAGAATTTCATTAAAATTCTTTTAAATAATTGAATTCTTTTGGAAAATTTTATTAAAATACTTAGATATTGAAAATCATTGAATTGAGGAACATTTTTGAAAATAATTGAAATTTTGACAAGAATTGTATTAAAATTTTTGGACGGACTTAGTTCGAGCCCTGAACATTTGTTTAAATTCCAAAAAATCACTTATTGACAAGCAGACTTACTACTACATTAAATACTGCTCCAATCATAAGACCAAAACTCTGGGCAACGAAAGATACCAATAAACTAATTGTGAAAAACATGGAAAATCTTGTCACGTCAGGAGGTTGAGCAGACATAAAATAGACAATAAAGGAAAATATCGTACAACAAAGTACTGAGACTGGGATATCAATTATATTCACAGAAACGTAGAAAGCCTTCAGACTGTACCACCGATTAAAGTGTTCCTTTTGCAAAATACTCATTTCCGTAGGAACTGAAAATAAATTTAAAAATTACATTTTTGAATAAGCAATAAGAAAATTTTAAATTAAAATAAAAATTTAATTTACATGTTAAAATAGTCAACATCATTGTGGTCATCATGTGATGCATAAGAATACCAAAAAGAAGATTATAATTGTCAATTACACGTTTCCCATCATTTCCTGCTTTAATGAAGAGAGATCCAAGCATAAGTCCCGTACAAATATTTACAATTATTCTCAAATGCGTCAAGGTCTGAAAATAAATTTAATAATAAGTGTTTTAATATTCAAATTTTTTTTTTTTAAGTAGAAAAAAATTGTTTCTAGACAAAAATAATATTCTTTGACGAGAATAATTTAAAAAATAGGTTACTTTTAATAAAAGTGGTTTCATTAATTACATACCGGATCTCTTTTAACTTTAATCATTCCTCTACCAAGAAGAACCTTCAATTGATGTAACTGAGATGTTGCTTGTAAGCTTTCTTCCGACTTTTTCTTCGGACTCGAAGCTATAATACTCTTTTCGTTCTTACGATCCTCTTTCTCCGGAAATGCGGCTAAATTAGGTAAAGAAATTTTTTTTAAAAATTCGAAAACGAATTCAAATAACGAATTCGTTGTTTAACAAAAAAAGAAATACAATTAAAAATATTCCGAAAAAATACCTCTCAGTGCCCTTAAATCTAATAAATTGAGCGACTTGTCGAACCACTGTAAACTTTTTCCATTTTGTGTTGCACAAATCATAGATTCTACTTTGTCTTCTCCGTATTCATTACAAGCCAGTTCAATTACTGAAAAAAGTATCTTGTAACATGAGAAATTTATTCTTCTATTATAATTTTTCTAATATTTATTTAATTTTTAATTAGATTAATATTTTTACCATAATCAGCTGGATTGTGATACATTGGACAAGGAAGTTTAACGCTGTCTAAATACGGAACTAATTGATGAACTGCTCCTTGATATAAACATTCTCCATCAGATAGTACATAAACCTAAAAAGAAAATTAATACTAAATGAAAAAAGCTTTTTTCTTAGTAAGTAATTCTATAAATTACATTTTTTTGTAAATTAAATTACCTATCAGGGTTGCCAGAAAAATTAGATTTTTTCTTTTTCTAATTTCTAGACGAAATTTTAACTTTTTCCCTGACCTAAAAGAATAGTCGGATGCACTTTAAAAATGATTAGATAGACAAAAAAATGTTTCTAATATGTATATTTATTTGTGAATATCTTTAATGAATCTTTAATCTATCTTATCTTTGTAAAACTATTCGGAAACAAGAATAGATTTTTTAGATTAAATCTTTAATCATTATCATCAGTTTTCCTTAGATTAAGCTTTTCAAAAATAAAAAATTTCAAACCCAGTAAATAATTTATAAAAATTGATACTATAACTTCATTAAATTATTTTCATGATTTCAATTCAAATATTTTCTAGAATTTTTAACTAAACTTCTTCTCTAATTTGATTTATATTTAATAATTAAACAAAAAGAAGTTCTTATTTCTAATTACAATTATTTAAAATTCATATTTTCTAAATTTGAAATTTTTCGAAATCTTTTGAAATTCAATTATTTATAAAAATTGCAAACACAAATTCCATACAATTCAATTATTCTTGAAATTTTTAAGTAAAATTATTATCCATTAAATAATTTAAAAATAATAATTTTATGATTTTTCTTCTTAAATTAAAATTATTTACAATTCAAATTGTCTAAATTTTCAATTTGAAACCTTTTGAAATTTAATTATTTATAGAAATTGTAAACAAAACTCTTATAAAGTTCAATTATTTAAAAAATTTCTAAGTATAATAATTCGCTAAATAATTTATAAATAATAATTTTGATTAATCTTCAAAAATTAAATTTTGTACTGATTTTGTAAATAAATAAATTGTTTAAAATAAATTCAATTTCATATTCTGTAAAGTTCAAATATTTTCGGAAATAAAAATAATTAAATCTTTTAAATATTTTTAAAGGTTGCTTTTTGACATCAAAAACCAGAATTATCTTATGAATTCTAAAAATTTAATATTTTTCCAGTACTTTTGATAAAAATTCCCTTAAACTCCCTGACCTGTGGCAACCCTGCATTAATAAAATTAACACATAAAAAATTACCTGATCAAATAATTGAAAAAGAGAGGCACTCGGTTGATGAATAGTGCACACAATTGTTTTTCCTTGAGAAGCAAGAAGTTTCAACAAATTCACAACTTGCATACAAGAAGAACTGTCAAGACCTCTAAAATAAAAGAAAACAAATTATTATTTTCTAATACTAAAATATGGAAAATTATTTAGAGAATTATTTATGCACTTAGAAAATTTCATTATCTTAAAATAATTTAATCGGAATAGAAAATGGAAAATATTTTTGTTCTATTTTTATGCATCTACATTTTTTTAATTGATAAGTCATGATCTTTATGCGTGTATTCGTAATATTACGATTAATCGATTCTTTTAAAAGAACAAAAAGAAAAAGAGAAACATCAACTAATTTCCTTGTGGGAAGTTCAACCATAATGTCGAACAGAATTTTATCGAAATCCATTCGTTACAATTTCATTGAACTTACGTTGTTGGTTCATCCAGAAACATTACAGTGGGGTTGTTGACCAGTTCCAGCGCAATGGACAATCGCTTCTTTTGACCTCCACTTAATCTTTCTGCTTTAGTTTTTAAATTTCCATTTAAGCTTAGGGTGGTTAAGATTTCATCTATCTGTGACAAATTGAATAGTAGATATGTACTTTACACTTCTTTTCTATACTTAGTTTTCATTGCTCAATAAACTATAATTTATTTTGGACTTTCCGCTTATTTTAAAAATACTTTTCTTGTAGAGTTATAATTATAAATATTAATATTCTGAAAATTTCTTCAAAAGAAGTACTATTTTGTGTTTATTTTAAAATTCTTTCATAAACTAAATTAAAAAATACAATGTAATTATTTTTAAACTTACAATTTTCTTTTTCTGTTCCGTTGGAGTATCTGTTCCTAATTTGAGATCTGCGGCCACTCTCATATTCTCAGTGACAGTCAGTAAAGGCTGCAATCTGTCGTCCTGTGTAATATACGCACTACACCTGTAATCAATTTTTTATTTACACTCAAAATTATGTTTAATAAAATATAACATTAGTGAGATAAAACTTTTTTCGAGTTTTTGCTGAAACAACCTTCGTTTACTTAATTAAATTCAAATTTTATTCCTTTATCATCGTTCACAAATATTTAGAATAAATGATCCACAAGTTTTGAATGCTCAAATGAACGAAGTATCTGTTTTAATATTTCCTCGAATTACTAATTGTAATAAAAATTGAAAATCAAAATCTTACATTTAGAAACTTACAATAAAATTTTAATCAAAAGAAGAAACAAATAAATTTCATTTATCTGAAGGTTCAGAACTTCAGAAACATTAGAATGATTATTCTTTAAATATCCAATTAAAAAAAACAAACCTTCTGAAAGAATTCAAATCTCGAATTCGACCATTAACGTAAACAGTGCCTTGCACACCGGTTATTCGATATCCGGAAAGAATATCGAGTAATGTGGATTTACCGGCTCCAGAAGGTCCCATTATAGCAATTAGTTGCTTTCCCGGAAGTCTCCCATTGATGCCATGTAAAATTTCTTTCGCTCCTATTTTTAAAAAAGAAAAAAAAGAAAATAAAAGCGTTAAAAATTTTTTATATATTTTATTTCCAAACTTTTGTATTCAGTTTCGAAATCAAATTAGAAAAAAATACTCTTGAAAAATCCACAAATAGAATAGAAAATACACAATCAAATATGAAAAAGCTGACTAAGTTAGACAATCAATTTTTTTTAATTGTTTTACAAATTACAACTTTAAGCAAACATGATTAAAAATTTTCCTCATAGAATTAATGGAAATCCTCTCTTTTTCTCTTTATGTCTTTTTAAATTAATGTGAATTGGTGAGCAAAAAGAGGTTTTGAAAAATTAATAGTCACTGATAATAATTATTCTCAGTGTCATTCACAAACTTCATCATTAAATACGAAGAAAATCATAAAAAAAAACTTGTCAAACTTTTTTTATCAGTGATATAAAATATCACCTTTGTTTTTCATCGAGTCGACATTTACTATATAAAAAAGTACTTAATCATTTTTCGTTTGATTTAGAAACAATTAAAAAAAAGTCCATTTGACAGTTATTCAAAGGGATAAAATAAAAATTCGTAAAATAAATATTCAAAACAATTGGAAATTCATCAATTAAATATTCGAAACAACGATTGTAAACTCGTAAAATAAATATTCGAAACAATTGTAAATTCGTCAAATAAATATTCGAAACAATTGAAAATTCATAAAATAAATATTCGAAACAATTGAAAAAACAATATAAATACCTTTTCGAAATCCCAAGGAAACATTGTACGTTATATTCTCGAATATAATGTCCATGTAGTCCTCTTTTTTAATCAACGCGATCTGAGGATTTTTGTCTTTTATTTCCATTTCTTCATTTCTCAAACTTTGCTCCAAATAAGTAGTGCATGTCGAATTTTCATTTTCGTCCGGGCCCTTCGATGCCTCATGCATTAAAACCTCCATTATTCTTTCACTTTTTTCACACTAGAGAAAAATATGAATTTTTGCCGATTAGATGAAATCGACTGTCGCTTTGAGAAAGATAACCAATCTGGAAAAAAATGAAAATTGTCTTCTGTCAATTGAAATAATATTGTTTAGCTGTTACTGATTACTATATGTCGCAATCATGGCAGAAAAGTGGGGAATCTAGATCTTTGTCATCGAATTCTTTTCTTTAATATTTTTTTCATTTCTCTTTTTTTTGAGATGAAAAAATTGCGTATATCAACTGTATTGGTCACACAAATGTTTATTTAAATTTTCTTTACGTTCACAATATATTACAATATTTTTTTAATTTAATTGTTAATAAAGTTTTTTCTTCTTGTTTCCGAAGAGGACAAACGTAAAATTTATGTGTTTTTTTTAATTTAACACCTTTGATACTTGTTATTATCTCATCAAATGAGGTAAACTATTATTGTGAGAATTTAATATTTAATTTTGTATTTTCTTGCTGTTCTGTATTTAATAATTTTCAAAAATTAAGGAATAATTTTTTTTGTACATTAACGAAAAAGAAAAGGTTTTGAAAAAATTGATAACTGTTTTACCAAATTTTCGATAAGAATTATTTAATCTAGCTTTGATGAATAAATGTCAATAATCAAGATCGAAGGTCTCGGGTTAGTGGACTTGGATTTAAAGTCCACTTTTATAACAGGTAAAGGTGGATTCTCTAGATTCAAGTTTAGTCACCGATTAAGATTACATCCTCTTGGCATCATTTTTTGCGAGTCTGTGCGTATAAGACGGCCTTGGTTTAAAAAAGTTATTTCATTTTTCACTTTAAATGTCTATTTATTTCACATAGATGCATTATGAATTGTAAATGTCTTATTTATTCTCACGAATCTTTAATCATATTTGCATATTTAAATTTCATTTGCTGTTGCAGAAGAAATATTTTTTTTTTGTTCCCACTTCCTTCATTGTCATGATTGTTATTAATTACTCACAACTCTTTCTTTTATTTTCTTTTTGAGACAAAATTCTTCAAATTTCTTCTTTCATTAAAAAGAGATATTTTTTCTAAGTTGTAAATTTTGTTTATAGAAAAAAAAATTTTTTTTTTTGAAAATTAAATAAGAGATAAAAGTAAATTAAATTAAATAATTAATATTGATTGAATTTACTGATATATATCTATTTTGTAAAATACATCTGACATTGAGAATGGAAATTCTAGGAGAATCTAGTTTCTGTATATAAATGATTTCACTTGAAAATCAGTAAAGTGTAACAATCAGACAAATTGGCACACTTTTTATTTAATGATTGAGGAGGGTAATTGCACGCGACTTTAGCGAATAAAAACAATTGATAACATTATTCTGCAAGACAATTGGTGCCTGTCCAAGAAGACTTTAGAACCACGTGCATTTTAAAATGATAACAAACGATAACGGATGGTGGTTACGATCAAAGTCCAAATAAATTATGATTCATATTAAGTATATGTATTGTTACAAGTTTGAATTTGAACCATATATATATTATCACCCTAGTGCATTCATATCGTGTTAGCGTGTTTACGAAAAAAAAGAAAAAATTATGGTCACTTTGCCTTGCAGTGATAAGAGGAAATAGTAACAAGAATGATTATTATAGTCCTGATGAAACTCCTTTGTGTTTCCTACAACGCATCATACAATTTTATTATCTTGATGATTATTTTTAAATATTTATCAACTGTCACAACATACTATAATTAATTTTTACAGTTAATTAATTAAATATTTTTAGTTTTTATATTTAATTAAACATTTTTAATTTTTATAATCAATATTTTCTATTTTTACAAATATTCAATTTGATTGAAAATATTTTTAAATAATAGAAAATGTGGTGTACTTCAGTTAAACAATAGAAAACAATTTTCTAATCTAGCCCTTAAACGATAAAATAGATAATTTACAAAAAAAATTGACCTCTATGAAGAAGTCAATGAATTAATGAAATTAAACTTGAAATTCATTTTTCTAATTAAGTCTAATTTTTAATTAAATAGATTTTTAATTTATTTTGATGGCTTTGATATATTATAATTCTAATGTCGACTTTGTTCTTTAGATAAAAGTTCAATTATTATTTATTGAATATGAGTAATTTATGCCAATCACACTTTCATAAATATTAATTTAATGTAGTTTTGTTGTGAAAAAAAATTGTGAACTAACAATTAATTAATTTAATGGTAATTTATTTTCTTGCAAACATTTCTAACAACTTAATAATAGTTTATTAGTAAACGTGAACATTTGACTTAATTTTAATTAATTAATTTAACAAACATTAGAAATTTTTATAAAGAGTCTCTAAGTGTTTCATGAATTTTTTTCTTCATTTTTTTCTTTTAAATTTATCTCATAAAAAGAATATTTTTATGATGAAAATTGAAATAAAAAAATTAAAAAACAAATATTTTTGTTGCGGTCTTTGCTTAATCATTCCATTTTAACTTGTATAAAATTTACATATACTTAAGTAGGCGATTTTGTGAATATTTTAATCAATTTTTCTTTGTGTCGCATATTTTATTTTATTCTTAGAAATTGTTCCTTATTTGTGTAATATTAATAGAATAATTATTATTTATATAATGAGTAAATTTACTAGTTTTATTTCATAAATAATTTGTATTCAATAGTAATGTAGAAATTAGTTTTTCTGATTTTTAGTAGTATTTAAATTTCATTTACATAAAGTAATTTTCGTTTTGTAAATTAAATAAACAAGTTTCATTGAAACTTTTCTGGTAAGCTAATAACAGTTGACGAAAGTGAGTGTTATTGTTTAAATTAAAGTGACTTTTTTTCAATAGAATCACAAATACAGTTAGCCAATTCTTAAGTTTGTCCTACATTAGTGCATCAGATAAATTGGAAAACAGAAAAGTGCGTGAATTTATGTGGACAAAGTTCATAATAATACGTTACAATGCAATGGCATCTGGAACATTAAAAAAATCTGCAATAATGTTAATTGATTTCCACTTGCAAAAATAGAAAATATCAATAATTTTTTCAAAGTTATAATGTAGAAATGAATGCAATTTAATATGATTCAAAAACGTGATCGTAGGGATCAAGAGAATGACAACACTTGGATAAAAAAATGTTGACGACCCTTCTTGAATTAGAAAGTTTCTTTAATAAAATTTTTCCAAGAAATTATTTTTTTAATTGTATTTTTGTTTCAAAGTGCTGAGAATATTAAAAAAAAAAAAAAAGAAATTCATCTAAATTGAAAATTGTTTTCTGTTCTCTTGAATTGAGCAATTGAAATTTACTTAGAAGTAAAATAATACTTATATAGAAATAACTTTAAACTCACCACTTTATTTCTTCTTGGAGAACATCGGTCCAGATTCCAATTTGGATCACTCAAAATAGAAAAATTTTTCGCCTAGGATAAAAATAAAATGTTATCACAAAGAAACATAAGATTGAAAAATGTCACAAAGTGGTTAATAAAAATTGAGTAAATGAATCAAATGGAGAGTGATTCTGTCTACTGTCTACTTACTACTGACGATTCATCCCAGAATCCAGTACACATGTTCTTCCGTCCTACCTCCCTTCCTATCAATTCCCTTCTTTCTTCTCTCTTTTCCTTGTCCTCTTGTGCCATCCCCTCTCTAATCTCGAACTATGAAAAGAGAAATAAATATCACAAATGATCTACGTGGTATTGAAAACTGTTATTCTCAATTATATGCAAAAGAATGAAAAAGGGCTGTATTTATAAACAATTATTTTGTAATCAGACATTCGTTAACTGTACTCCAACACATATTTGATTCAATGTTAATGCAGTAAAAAACGTAATAAAAGAGAAATTATTTGCTTTTTATGGATACATTTTTTAGCAAACTAAAGACAATTAAGCGTGTAATAAATTACATTTCACCATGAAAATTGTTTTTTTCGATATACTGATAGTTTTCCTCTATTAAGATTTTTTCTATCATTTTTCTGAATCTTACTTGAAAATATTCAAATAAAAAAACTGGAAAAAAGGGAGCCACTTAATATTAACAAAAGTACAAAGTTGAAGTCCACAACGTTGATCAATGAAAAAAATTTATTTAATGCATTTAAGTATTATTTTTAATTTAATATTTAATTATAAAATAATTATTATCTAAATATAAACATCAACCTTTACTTTCTAAATAGTTTTGTGTCAATATTGCTGCTTTATTTTTAATTAATTTGCTTAGTGAACCATTTTTTTTCGTTGAGCAATGTTGTGGACTTCAACTTGGTAACAAAAGTAACAACTTCTAGTAATAATTTTCAATAATATTCTAATGTAGTAATTGAAAATTAAATCTAAATACTGAACAAGTTATTACAACACGATTAAATATTATAAACAAAAAAAGATTTATTTAAAAATATTGACTTGTCAATATAAGATAGTAACTATTAAAATAACTAATATGTGCGTAAGTTAGTCATTGACCTGTTAAGATCAATATTGGTTACTAATGAGACCACACATTCAATAATAAAATACCAATTTCAAAACAATGATTCATTTAATTTAAAAATATATTAATTGCAATTTGAAAATATGTTAAATCAACACTTTATTAAATAAATGAATGAAATAAATATTACTATAGAAAAAACTAAAAATGGATTAATCTGATAAAACTCAAAAAAATGTGAACATGAACGTCAAACATTTAAATTTAAAAATGAAGTTTACAGGTTAAAGATCGTTAGGTGAAGTATTACATACATATAATTACATTAAATGTTTCTTTCTGATAAATATTAATTAAAAACGTTAAAAACATTGGAACATTTCTCTTTACTTTCTATTATCAATACTGGAATCATTTTGGTTATTTTTTTCAAGATCTAACAAGTTTGCACTTGCTTTAATTAATTTTAATGAAAAACATTTAAAATATACAAAATTTAATTTAAACTAATAAATGTTCAACAACAAAATGTTTATAAAAATAAAACTTACAAGCAGGAGTTTTACAAAATAGTCAGGGTTTTCTCAATAATATCGACATTTTTTAAATTTTGTAATAATGTACAAACTAATTTCATCTTAAAGTTATTATGTTTTAGCACTAATTAAAATTACGTCTTTTATTTAATAAATCAAGTGTTAAAATAACAAAATATATAATTTCGAAAATGTGCAAAAATCACAAAAATAAAGTCGAATTTAAGGTTAGAAGTACACAAACAAATCTGATGGAAAATATTTTTTTAATAAATTTAACGTTTAATGTTAAATAAATTAATATTTGATTATATTTACCATAAAGTAAAATATAAATAATAATTGAATAACTTAAATCACAAATATACTTATTTTGTTCCGTTTCACTTTTTTCCGTTATTTTTTTTTTTTGTTTTTTTCTTCTCAGAACCATTGATCATGAACTTAATAGATGCCATATACACTTGCTTATAGTTACAAATTATACCGCTAGAGTTACATAAATGAATTCAAATTTCAAACAATCAAATCATCAAATTTATTCTTTTATTGTTCAAAAAGGTTTGTTTATTCTTCAAGCGTAAAGCCGTAAAATATTATAAAGAATATTACAAAATAGAACTTGTTTTCAGTTTCATTGATTATTTAATTATAAATAGAACAATACAAAATTAGTCTAGTGAATATTTTTGGAACTAAGTTTGTCGATTTCCTCTCTATATGAAATGAGTAGTTTAAGGAAGAAACAGTTTGCATTGTGTCAGTCAGTGTTGTAAACAGTTTTTTTACAATTTATTTAAAGACGGAATACAATTAAATATATAATTTGACATTGAAATAATAAAGAGAAAAAATACTAGAAACAACACACAGATTTTTGTTGGAAAACTTTATTTACTTTGCTACCCTTCTTTAACAGTAAGTAAGTAAGTATATTCTAGAAAGACTTTTCTAGAATTATTTATTAGCTTCTTGTATAGTACAGTTGCATTATCTGCTCGATTTTTATTAAGTTATAAAATTTCGCATTCATAATGCTATGCTATCGTAAAAACAATTTTCAAAAGAAAACAAAAAAATTACATATTTATTAACGACAACAAAATTTGAATATAAGGATTTGCTCCGTACGAGAATTTATTACAAAAAAGTTTTTAAAAAAATGGGTGGTGCTCATCTTCACACTCCACAATCTGTATTTCAACACATGATGGGACAGCAAAATGTACCCCAAGAACCAGAACAATGGTTACAAGTACCACAGATTCCTCAACCATCAATGCCATGGAGTATTCCAGCACTTCAGCAACCAGATTTGGTTCGATTTACAGGCGAAAGTCCTCAGCCAAAAGGTTTTTTTTTGCATCAAAAGAGAAAACTTGTAATGCCAGATCTAGTTGACACGTAAGTTTATAAGATTTTTTTCTAAACATGTCATTTTATTTCAAAAATTTTAATACAAAAAAATGTTAATTTCTTTAAATTAAAATATCTTTTTCATTTATTTTAGTAGACCTTCAAAGCAGCTTATAACTGAAGAAAAAATGGCAGCTCATTTTCAACAATTGCACATTTCTCCCAATTCCACACAAACCTGTAATCAATTTAATTCACAAGAAGATTTAGAAATGGACAGTACAAATCTAATAGATTTTGAGAAAATGAAGAAACCCCAGGCAAAATTAATTTTATCCGAAGAGCTAAAAAGATTGCAAGAGGAGCCTATTATTCCATCATCAATTTTATCAAAACTGTAAGTGTATTAATATTTAAAAAAATGTTTAGTAAACCATTTAAATTTACATTGAATAATGAAACAAAAACTGAGTAGATTCTCTCTTTCAGGGAAAGGCCCTCCATGGCGTTAGTTCTCTGGGAACCACCAAATAAACATTTAAGAATTATGCACACTCCAAGGAATACACCATCAACTCCAATTCCCAATTCATCTGATGACAATAACAATGCCATGTCCGATGAAGAAGGGAATAATAATAACGAAACCGTGCACGATTTCAACCAAGTAAGACTTCAAAATAATATTACATCAACTTATGAACCAATGGATTTATAAAAATTAACAAAACACTGAGATTTTCTGTTTTGTATAAACTTTTTTTTTTTTAATGTTGTAAACAGTTGATGAGAAAAGGTAGAAATTTTAAAAATACTTTTCCACATTTTTCGTTATATATCAAAATATGAAATTTTTTTTTTTTGATTTCTAAAATATTCTATAAAAAGTTTGTTTTTTTATTAATTATTTCTATTAGAAATGTATTTTAGTTTTTCATTATATATTTGAATATTTATTGCGATGAAAAAAATAAATTGTAGTGCAGAGAAGTTAATACAGATTGACGGTGTTACGTACATTAAGTAGAAATTATTCACGCTTCTTTACTGCCATTACAAATATGTTTTTTTTAAATGAAAAAAAATTGAATGAAGAAAGTTTTTGTTTGTGATAAAATAAAATATGAATGTAAATGATAAAAATGACAGTTGTGGAAGAATATGTAATGTTAAATTTACAAATGGTACATTAGCTTCATAATACATAATTTATATTCATATTACTGTTCATTACGTATGTATGAAAATTGTACAATAAAGTATGAATTATCTTCTTAATAATGTTTATAGTATTATTTTTTAGCATTATTATTTTCTCTTAGAATAATTTTCTTCCATTTTTTCTCTTATGACAAAAAATTTTTTAAAAATTGACTTTTCTTTCAAGATTTCAGGGTGACCATATGTTAGTAAAGTCAGGGAAATGACAGGAAAAGAATTGTTTTTCTGCAGGGCTCAAACTAGGTCCTTAAATCCCGTAAAAGTCCGTAACATTGCTTGAAGTCCGTAAAAGTCCGTTTTTTTGAAAATTGGTCCGTAAAGTCCGTAATTTGATTGAAAAAGTTCCGTAAAGTCCGTAAATTGTACGATATAAATATATATAATTTGGATAATTTTATAGAAATTTCAAATCATTGTAGGAATTCAATTATTTTTAAAAGTAATCAAATTCTTTCCAAAAATTCAATTATGTTCAAAATTTTTTTTAAATTCTTGTCCAAATTTCAATTATCTTTAGAAATAATTATAAATTCTTCTCCGAAATATCAATTATTTTAAAAAATTTTAATAAAATTCTTGTCAAAATTTCAATTATTTTCAAAAATTTTCCTCAATTCAATGATTTTTAATAGATATCTACTATTCTAATAAAATTTTCCAAAAAAATTTAATGATTTAAAAAAAATTTAATAATAATAAAATTCTTATTAGTAATTCAATTATTTTAATAAATAATAAAGCTCATTGCAGAATTTCAATTATTTTTAATACAATTTTAATCGAATTCCTCGCAAAAATGTAATTATTTTTAAAAATTTTATTAAAATTCGTCAAAAGAATTCAAATAGGTATTTAAAAAATTGTTAATTAAATTCTTTGTGAAAATTCAATTTTAAGAAACATTCAATTATTTAATAAAATATTTATTTTTTTATTAAATAAATGAATTCTTGTAGAATTTTCTAATAAAAATTGATTTAAAAATGGATTTCAGTTAAAATTTTAGATAATAATAGAATATTAAAAGCATTAGAGCGCAAATTTTTAGAAATAATTGAATTTTGAAAAGGTTTTAGATTGAAATCTTTGAAATTTTGAATTTTTCATAATTTGTAACTAACAATTTTGTGGAATTATTTTTTTTTTTTTAAGAAAGTTTAATTGCTGATTTTTTTATATTATTTGAATTTTTTATTTTAAAAAAATTTTTGAAAATAATTGAATTGATAATGATGTTATCAATTTGCCATCTTTAATTATTATAAAACATGAAGAAATCGATCACTCCGAGTCGAAGACTCAGAGTTATCGATTTCTTAGTTTCATAGTTATGAAAAATTTAATTAAAAGGTTTTTTTATTTGACTCGGACTGGTTATATTTTTGTCAGCAATTGGTCCGTAAATGGTCCGTAATTTTAAATACTTTCACTGGTTCGAGCCGTATTTCTGGGAAATTAAAGAAATTGCGACTTTTTCCGACTTTTTTCAAAAATTGCGAATTTTTCGACTTTTCTTCTAAATATTGCAACAAAATACCACATTTTCTAATATAAAATGTAACTTATATCGATTTTTAAAGTGCGAAAAATAACTATAAACAAATCTTTCAAAAATAATTTTTGAATCACTTTTTTAAGATATAATTAAATTTTTCAAATCTATCTGTAAAAAAAATCTTTTTGAATAATTGAAATTTTCTAAAATTTAATTGAAAATAATTAATTTTTTTTCAAGTATTTTGTTACAATTTTGGAAAATCAACGTTTGAAGAATTTTAATTGAAAATTTTAAAAATAAGTTGAATTATCAAAAATGGTAATGAAAAATCTTTAAATGTAAAATTTAAAAATGAACATTAATGAAAATTGGCTTCTAATTTTTTAAAATTCAATATTTTCTATATTTTTAATTGCATTTTTCCGAAAATTCAAATACACACGAAAAATAATATTTTAGAATTATTTTTAACATTTTAGAGAAAAAAAATTGTGTTAAGAATTTTTAATTAAAATTCATCAAAAAATTAATTCGTTTTTTTAAATTATAGGTACAAAAATTCTTTTAAGAAATTCAATTATTTTCATAAAATTACTTTAAAATATTTTTAAAAACTAATTCTTAGAATTGTTTTATCAAAATTTTTTGATTCAATTTCGAACAAAATGAATAAAAATTTATAAAAATTTAATTTTTTAGACTGTAAAAAGAATTTTGTTAGGGAAAATAGTTTTAATAGGTATCAGTAAATTGTCAGGGAAATCGATAAACTAAAAATTGTGACCACCCTGGATTTTAAAATAAAAGAATTTTTTTTAAATGATTTTAATAAATAACTATTTATTATCGAAAACAAAGATTCTATACAATCTTGCCAGGTGAATTTTTAAATAAATGAGATTTTTATTAAGAGTTAAAAAAATATTTTAATCTAGAACATATTTTAAATTCTCTCCTCATACCAAAAAAAAATTGACAATTTGAAAACAATTTCATGCTATTTATATAAAACCATTAAATTGAACCCATAAATTAAAAAAATACAATGTGAATATAAAATTTAAAATTGGATTTAATTTTTTTTCTTTGTTAAAAATGAAATAGCTCCCAATTGTTTTGGAAAGCCCTTAAAAAGTTTGCTTAGGTTCTACTAGGTTTGTCGCTCATTATCGAAGTTCTTACAGTATTTGAGTCTTCCATTATGCTTGCTTTAAATGTATCTGCATCCTCCAAAGGCTCACCATTGATTGCACACGCTATTTTATCGTGTTCTAAGATAGTAACATGATTTCCTTCCAGCGTGTAAATCTCCACTTTGTCTCGTGTTATCTGCAAATGTTTCCAATTAAAGAATTATTATTAATGGCCTATCCCACGTGTTTTGATTTTCGAACAATTGTTTCATTGCATAATTTTTTATACACGAAAAATATTATATTACTGAAATTGAATTAAAAGTAAAATACGCACCGTTCGAAGACCGTAATCGTCTGAAATTTCACGAAGAGTTGGTTGCGATGGCTTGAGGAGAATAATTTGTGATCTGATAGGTGCTAATGTTGCATAGTTATAGGCTTGCAATGCTAATAGACGATTGTAAACAGCTGTACAAATATTTCTTTGATCTTCTGGCGCGACATTCATTATTGGATTATTGGGCACTTCATTGGTTAATACCTCCAATTTTTGATACCAATTTGTACATTTTTCCAATTTGACGAGAAACTGAAATTGAAAATGAATTATTATTGAGAATTAGTTATTCGGAGAATGAAACATTTTAAGAGCATAATGAGAAAATTGTTTACTTCGCCACTTAAATTCGGTGCCATTATGTCCATTAAACCTAAAAGGAAGTTTGTTTCCAATTCTCCCTTGTGAGTGGAAGGAAGTTGTTGTTCAACGAGTTTTTTCATAATTTCCGGGGAACCGTCAATAAGTACTATTCTGCCGGTAAAACCTTCGTTTTCTAATAACCTGGCAAGCTCTATCGTTACGACGCATCCAAACGAGTAGCCTACCAGGACAAAATCTCTACGATTCTTCGATCTCTCGAGTACAATCTAAAAATAGTAGAGATGGTAAAATAAGTTACTGAGTAGATAATTTTTATGTAGAGTTTACTCACGGGTAATAGTTGCTTAGCCATCTCAATTATGGAAAGTTCCGTTTTCATATTCTTGACAAGTTGCAGGCAAATAGCTCGTGATTTCATCTTTTCAGTGAGTGGTTTAAATACAGCTCCATAACCTTCGATTCCAGGAATGAGGTAAACTTCCTGTCTGCCTGGTTCATTCTTTGATGGTAATTCGTAAGCTTCGTCTTGATTGAGATCACCGGTACCCAAGACACGGATTAAGAGTCTCATTCCGGCGATTGATTCTGTATTTTTATTTTTATCCTTGGCGGCTGCGAGTTTCTTCTCGGTTTCCTGATCCTGACTTGCCATTTGTACGAGTTTGGCGAAATTAAGACTACGAATATCTTGAGCCGTGAGGAAGACTTCGAATTCTCTCTCTAGTGTTTGCTTGATCTCGACAGCCATCATTGAATCCATGCCCAACTCGGCTAAGGAAGTTTGTTGACTCACGGTTTTCAGGTCCTTCAGACCCATTATATTGAGGACAGCGTCGACAATGTTTGTCGCTCCAGCGCCTCCTGCTCTTTTCTCCGCGACAACCATACTCGCGACAATAGGTTTATCTTGTCGTAGAAAACCATCAAGTTCCTTCAGACAAGATAGAATGGTCTGTTGGAGAGTTCCACCGATGACTAATTCCTTGTGGTCCTCCTGCATTTCTGCCACGAGACCAACATCTCCCACTGCGCCCCATTCGACGGCCAAAGCAGGTAAACCTTCAGCGTGACGCCTCTCGCAAATCCTCTCCATGACGGAGTTGGACATTCCATAATTCGACTGTCCGGCATTACCACGACCGCAAGATACTGATGAAAATACAACAAAGTGACGCAATTTCGGACACATTTTTCTCGACAGTTCATCTAGTAGTTTTGTACTCCAAGCCTTTGATCTGAAGGACTCCTCAAAGGTCTCGGCTGTTTGATTTTCCCATAGACTGTCTTTCAAAACTACTGCCAGATTGAAAATTGCATCAATTGGTCCAAGTTCAGCTGCAGTTTTGAGAATTGATTGACAATCTTCTCTCTTTGATGCGTCTTTTCCTGGGACGATGACAACTCTCACTCCATAGCTTCTCCACAGTTCTACTCGCATACGTTGGTAACCGTTTCTTATTCCTGTTCGAGACGTCAACACCAAGTTCTCTGCTCCTCGGAGTACTAGCCAATCGGCTAATTCTAATCCAAATCCACCTAGACCTCCAAGAAGAATATAACTGCAACCTTTCAAACAGTGATATCTGGGCAGAGCTGGAACCAGACCATCCACTGGATCTTCCTCTTCGCATACTTTTATCATCACCTAAAACAAATTTCAAATTAAATTAAAGACAGGCTTCGCACTCATCTACTAAAACCTACTATTTACTACTTTTTTACGTTATGCTACTATTTGGGTACGTTTTCTAGATTTCACCCACTAAAAGCTCCTATTTCTGTTTTTTTTCTTTTGAGAATTTCCACTACTTTAAATTCTCTAATACTAGAAATCAAAAAACTATTCGAAAAAATTGTAATCGAATTCTTTAAAACGATTCAATTATTTTCAAAAAATATTCGAAATTCAATTATTTTCAATATCTAGTATTTTCATAAAATTTCGCAAAAGAATTCAATTATTAAAAAAAGAAAATGATAATATTCATCCCAAATTCGATTATTTTCAGAAATAATAAAATTTCCACTGGAATTCAATTAATTTAGAATATCATTTTCAACAACATTTCAAAAAATCAGATATTTAACAAAATTTTTATACAATTCTTCAAAATAATTTAATTATTTTCACTAATAATAACATTTTTTATGGAAATTCAATTATCTAAAAAAATTTGATAAAATTCTAAGCAAGAATTCAATTATTTTCATAAATAATAATAATAATTGAAAAAAATCAGAGATGAGCCTTTTTCGAAATTCACGATTCAATTTTAATTCAAGTTTTTTGAAGTAATTAAAATTATTCTTTTAGATTTTAATAAAATTCTTACCAAGAATTCAATTATTTATTTACCTAAATAATTTTTCAAAAGAATTCAATTCTGTCGATAAATAACAAAATTATTCCCGAAAATTCAATTATTTTGAGGCATTTTAATAAAATTCTTTGCAAAATTCAATTATTTTCATAAATAACAACATTCATCAGAAGAATTCAATTATTTTTAAAAGTAATAAATTTCTTCTTGAAAATTCAATTATTTAAAAAAAATTCTAATAAAATCGTTCACAAGAATTCAATTATTTTCAACAAAATTTAATAAAAAACCACACAGACATTTTATTATTGTCAAAAATTTTAATAGAAATCATTGTAGAATTTTATTATTTTTGGAAATTTTTGCAATTAAATGATTTTCAATATCTACTATTTTCATAAAATTTCTAAACAAAATTCAATATTATTTAAAAAATTTTTTGTAAAAATCTTCTTAAGAATTCAATTCTTTTCATGAATAATAAAAATTTCTCAGGAAATCAATCAATTAAGGGTCCCCCACTACTAAATACCGGGCATCACTAAATGATTCTAAATAATCAAATAAGCGACAGCACGGTATTTGACGTCACAGATTCCCTTTCCCTTTGCCCCCCGAAACCCCTTGTCAACTCAACTCACTAATGACTGCACTGTTCAGAACTGCACTATTGAAAGATCCTACTGTATTTAAGTTTTTTCATGAATAATGAAATTCGTTGCAGGAATTCAATTTATTAACAGGATGAGAATGAAGTAAATATTTTTGATGAAAATTTAGAAAAAGTCAGGAAAATAAAATATAGAATGGAATTTTTGTCAGTTTTGTGAAGTGTCTAAAAAGAGTTTTTTTGGTCGTCAAGTTTAATTTTTTGATAGCTACCTTTTTACTACTTTTTTAAAATTAATTATCGAGTCAGAAGTCTGTAAAAACTACAAGCAACAAATAGATAAGTTAATTTGAAAAAATTACCTTGCCAATATGTTTTCCCGCTGCCATGTACCTGAAAGCAGCTTCCACTTGATCCTTCGGAAACACAGTCCTCGTCAATGGTTTTATAGCACCCGAACGTAAATATTTATCCACAAGATGTTTCAACTCAATTTTCCTTTCATCAGGAGAATCAAACATATTATCCAACATCACACCCTGAAAACTGATCTCCTTTAAGAAATTTTCCATTCCCAGCGGATTATTCGCCACAAGATCAAACTTTCCAATCTCCAAGAAGCGACCATTGTCAGCCAAGCAACGCACAGAAGCGAGTAATTTCTCCTCAGCCAACGAATTCAGAACAATATCAACACCACGACCATCGGTCTGTTGGAAAATCATGTACTCAAAACTTGTGTCACGAGAATTACCGATATGATCGTCAGGAATTTGTGGAAAGTGTTCTCTAATGAATTTCCGTTTTTCCGGTGTTCCAACAGTGGTGAAAACTTCACAACCCTCATAAAGAGCGAGATTTATAGCCGCTTGGCCAACACCACCGGTACCAGCGTGTATCAAGACCTTATCGCCTTTCTTCATCTTTCCACTCAAATAAAGCGCATAGACGCAAGTGCCATAAACGCAAGGAACTGTTGCCGCATCTTCTAAACTCCAATTGTGGGGAACTTCCCAACAGAGATTTCTGTCTATCACACGCATATTAGAGAGGCACCGGCTGTTCAACATGCCCATAATTCGTTGGCCTTTGGGATCAATGCCAGAGTATTCAAATCCAATGACGCAATCTTGTAATTGCCTGGTTTTTGCCACAACTTCTACGGCTAGTTTTCCAGTGGCCAGCATAATATCTCGGAAATTTAAAGGAGCGTAGACGATTTTAACTAGATCGTCGTGTTTGAAACCCGGTGGATGTGGTCCTTCGAGCCATGACAGGGAACTTAAATCTCCTCTCACCAATTGATTCATCCACAAGTGACGGATGAGTTTCGGTTCTACTGGTGGTAACTGCAAGTGTCTGGAAAAAACGAAAATTATTCAATATTTCAATCTTGACATGAAATTCATTTTAATTCATTTTAATCAGGATTGCCACAATTTAATTTTCTTTTTTCCTGACTTTTCCCTGATTTTCAGACAACATTTTCACTCTGTCCGGTCCCTAAGGAATATTCTGATTCACTCTAAAAATTGTTTAATAATCAAAAAATGTTCTAGGTATTACATTTATTCACGAATTTCTTTAATTGTAAAATTATTCGAAACCATCAATAACTTGTTTTTGAATAAATATTTAATCAATAAAATAAATAAATATTAATATAAATATAATAATATAATATAATAATAATAATAATAATAATAATAATAATAATAATAATAATAATAATAATAATAATAATAATAATAATATTATATAATATTATATTATATATTATTAATATATTTTAAATATTTAATATTTTTATTTTTTTTTATTATTAAAGATATTAATAAGATAGGAATTAAGATGTTCAAAACATTCAAATTCAAATCTTTTTGAAATTCAATAACTTATAATAATTAAAGATGACCGAGTGATAAAATAATTATTTTTTTGTTATAAGAAAATTGTTAGCTGTAAATACTTCAAAAATCATTTTCATTATTTAAATTCAATTATTATTACCCAGAATGTTGAACTAAAATTCTTCCTTAAATCAATTATTATTTTTAATATTTTTTTGACAAATTTCTTTGAGAATTTTCAAATCCTTCCATTTCCTAAAATCAATTTTATAAAATTTTGATTATTCGGAAATTCTTCAATTAAATATTTCATAAAAAATAAAAACATTAAATAATTTCAACAGAAAAAATTCAATTAAACAATTTCAAAAAAGTTGTTAGTTGAAATTATGAATAATTCAGATTTTCAAAGATTTTAATTTGAAACCTTTTCAAAAATTCAATTATTTCTCAAAATTCACGCTATAATGCTTTTAATATTTAATTATTATCTAAAATTTTAACTGACATTCATTTTTAAATTAATTTTTATTAGAAAATTCCTCGAGAATTCAATTATTTAAATAAAAAAAAAATTAATTTTTTAAATAATTTAATGATTTTTAAAATTCAATTCTTTCGACGAATTTAAATAAAATTTTTAAGAATAATTACATTTTTCAAGCAATTCAATTAAAATAATATTAAAAATATTTGATATTCTGCGATGAGTTTATTATTAATGAAGATAATTGAATTCTTTAAAATAATTTTATCAAAATTTTTGAAAATAATTGATTTCTTTCAAGAAATTTATGAAAATTTTTAGAAAGTAATTGAATTCTTATTAAGAATTTCATTATTTAAGGAAATAATTGAATTCTTGTGAAGAATTGTATTAAATTTTTTTATAAAATTGAGTTTATTTGAAAAATTTGATTTAAATAGTAGATCTTGAAAATCATTAAATTTTTGAAAAATTTTGGAAATAATTGAAATTTTGTCAATAATTTTATTAAAATTTTTGAAAATAATTGAATGTTAGAGTAGAATTTTATTCTTGATAATAATAATTTAAATTTTGACAAGAAATTTTTAAAATTTTTAACATAGTAATTATGTTTAAAAATTCAATTATTGAATTTCTGCGAAGAATTTTATGACTTTTGAAAGTTCATCTATTAATGAAAATTGTAAATGCAACTCTATTAAAATTCAATCAATTTTGAAATATTTAAGTAAATTATTCAAACAAAAAATACACCAAAATTCATCATTTTCTTATGAATTCTAAAAATTAAATTTTTTCCAGTACTTTTAATAAAAATTCCTGACCTTCCCCTGAGCAATTTTACTTTCCCTGACTTTTCTCTGAATTCCCTCAATTTCCTGACCTGTGGCAACCCTGTTTTAATTATTTCTATTAATTCACCTGTAAGAACCCCAACAATTTCCAGGACGTAGAACATTAACCGACAAGTCCATTTTCAATTGTTTCAAATAGAACGGATTATTTATAGAGAATTCAGGAGCTTTTGAATCTTGTATTAATACACCTCTGACAATTTCACCGCCTGGCTCTTTGGTCAAACAGTTAACAAGTCCAACTAATCCCGATTCAAAATCTCCTTCCGCCACGATAACAACTCTCAAATTTCCACTGAAATCCTTCTCAGCCTCAGCTTTTAGTGTCTTTTTCATTTCCTCAACCCAAGAGAATTCGCTGTTGTTTATTTTTATTACAGATGAATATTTAATGAGTCTGTCTCGTTTACGAAGTAAAACTACAACACCTTTCTCGGTCTTTTTCTCGAGTACGATATCTGCATCATTATTCTCGGTAGAGTCGGGAATAATTGCATCATTTGATTCACAGCTGATTACAAAACCCCCATCTTTCACGGCGAAGAGCAATTTCTTTAAATCTTCGGTTTTGTTTTTCGTAAAGAGTTGATGACCAATTGCAATCAAAGCATTTGCTTCGGTTGTTACTACTTTCTTTGGATCATTGAGAATAATATTGGTGAGAGCTTCATTTTCCTCGAAAGTTTTCGTAGTGCCGATGTTAACATCTGCTTGAATAAGAGGCATGTCACCGAGGGTTTCCAATATTTTTGGTGATACCAAATCATCGATGGAAATATTCTCATCGTCTGCTAATTCCACTGATTTTACTTTAATTCCCAAGTGACATTCAAGCGCAATGTGTGTTGCGATACGAATAGCCGTTTGGAACGGAATTTCAGCTCGATCACGATGAGCGATAAATTTGTATTCTTCGAGTACTGGCTCTCCGGCTGGCTTCCTTCGCGAGATGGCACTCGCCTTTAAACCTCTAACTTCAACTCCGCCGGAAACTAGAGCTGAGAAATCCTTGTATACGAAGACGGGAAATACTGAAAAATAAAATAACATTTTTTTTTGGTTCAAATCTTAGTGAGAAAGTAATTTTCTTACCTTTCTCTTCACCCATTGCTCGAATTTGATTTAAATGCACTTTGGTGTCGATCACAAGTTTCTGGATTCCTGTTGGAACGAAGAGTCCTCTGGTATCGGAACCTAAGATTTGCATCTGCAGCATGTTGTCCATAAAAGCAACCCAATTATTGGCCCAAGCGATGTGGCCCTTCTCTCCTTTTATCGAAGCACTTTTTATGCTGCGGAATAATCCAGAGTATTGATAACCACGAAGTCTCAACTCCTTGTATACATCTCTAGTCTGCATATCTTCATCCATCTCTAATTTGGGCGTTAGGTCAGGATTAATTCTCTCATCAGATGGATTTTGTGTCGCCCGGATAAATCCTGTCACGACTGCTACGCCGCCTTCGATTACTTCAAATCTTCCAGTACCTGAAATTATTTCAAAATTTTGAGTAAATACATCATTATTGCAAATTAATCAATTACTATGAATTTGACAATTTATTCAGAAACTGAAATCAATTACCCTTCTGTATCATGACCGTTAATTCAATGCTGCCCTCCTTTGGAATAGACGTCGCTCTCAAAAATTTAACATCCTCGAATACCACCGAAACTTCAGTGTACAATTCTCCTCTCATCATTCCAACGGTTTCCCAAGCAAGAGTCAAATATCCAGTAGCCGGGAAAAGATTTCTCCCGTCAATCACATGTCCAGACATGTATTCAAAGTCCTCATCGGAAAGAGTCACCTCAACTATTCTCTCTCCCGATACAATCTTCTCTTGCATTCGATAAGAAGTTACATACCAATCGTCGGAGTGCTCCCAACGAATAAGCGGCGAAATCATAGGAGTGCCACGACTAACTGGATATTGAACTTCAGGATAGATATTGTGTAACTCGGGTTGAAGACCAATATTGTACAATTTTCCGAGACCTTGAAGAAACATTTCTGCATTATCTTTATAGCCACGCTTAGTTAGAGCCACATTAACAACACTTGGAGCGAGTGATCTTCGCAGAATTGCCTGCAAAAGACCGTGCGGTGCAATCTCAATAGTCACTGCATCCCTAGAAATGGCGGCACTGGTTTCTTCGAAAAGTACTGAACTCAAGAGATTATTCGTGTGATATTCTGCCGACGACAATTGTGCGAGAGTCGAATTCCATTCACTTCTTGGTACTGACGAACTGAGCCATTTGTTGGAGCGTGCTTTTGGATTTGGAATCACCTTTTTCAAGTAGGCCAACAATTTTGGACCCATTGGAGCAATGTACTTGCTGTGGTAGGGAATATTGCTGCAGGGAACTTCCTTGGCGAAGATTTGATTCGCCTGGGCAAAAATTATAGAATTCAATGTTAATTACTCAAAAATAATAGAATTAAGTGCCAGTAATTCAGGACTCAAACTAGGTTCGTAAATCACGTAAAAGTCCGTTTTTTTGAAAAAAGGTCCCTAAAGTCCGTAATTTCATTCAAAAAAGATGAAAAGTTCGTAAATTGTACGATATAATTTTGAGAATTTTAGAGAAATTACAAATGATTGCAGAAATTCAATTATTTTCAAAAATTTTTTTAAATTCTCTTCAAAATTTCAATTATATCTTTAGAAATAATTAAATTCATCTTCGAAATTCAATTATTTTCAAAAATTTTCCTCAATTCAATGATTTTCAATATCTACTATTTTCATAAAATTTCAGAAAAGAATTCAATTATTTAAAAAAAAATTTAATAAAATTCTACACAAACTTTTAATTATTTTCAAAAAATAATATAAATTTCACAGAAATGTTATTATTTACAAATTTTTTTTATAAATTTCTTCTCAATCATTCAATTATTTTCATAAATACTAAAATTCTTAGAGGGATTCAATTATTTTCGTAAATAATAAAATTCTTTTTAGGAATTGAATTATTTTCATAAATAATAAAACTCATTGCAGATATTCAATTATTTTTAATACAATTTTAATCGAATTTCTGGAAAAAATTCTTAAAAATTTTATTAAAATTCGTCAAAAGAATTCAGTTATTTAAAAATTTATAGATAAAATTCTTTATTAGAATTCAATTTTAAGAAACATGCAATTATTCGATAAATTTTAATTTTTGTATTTAGTAGAATTTTCTCATAAACATTGACTTAAAAATGGATTTCAGTTAAAATTTTAGATTATAATTGAATTTTAAACGCATTAGAGCGTAAATTTTTAGAAATAATTGAATTTAAAAAATCTTTGAAAATTTGAATTTTTCATATTTTTAACTAACAATTCTGCGGAATTATTTTTTTTTCAGAAATTTTAATTGCGGATTTTTTTTTTAACTATTTAAATTTTTTAATTTAACTAAACAATTTACGAATAGGTAATTGAAATTTTGTAAAATTGAATTATAAACGAATGAATTTAAAAATTCTTAAAGAACTTTTTCAAAAATTATTAAAAATAATGGATTTATAGAAGATGTTTAGTTAAAAACACAAAAAAAATTTAATTTTGTAAACGTTACAAATTATTGCAAAAATTTAATTATTTTCAAAAGTAATAATATTCTTCGCAAAAATTAAATATCATTCAAAAGTAATAAAATTCTTCTTACGGATTCAATTATTTTCACAAATAATAAAACTTATTGCAGAATTTTAATTATTTTTAATACAATTTTAATCCAATTTCTCGAAAAATGTAATTATTCTTAAAAATTTTATTAAAATTCGTTAATAGAATTCAATTATTTGAAATCTTTTTGATAACGATTCTTTATGGGAATTGAATTTTAAGAAACATTCAATTATTCAATAAATTATTTATTTTTGTATTTAAATAATTAAATTCTAGTATAGAATTTTCTAATAAAAATTGATTTAAAAATTAGTTTCAGTTAAAATTTTAGATTATAATTGATTATTAAAAGCAATATATCGTGAATTTTTAAAAATAATTGAATTTTGAAATTAATTTTTTTGAAAAAGTTTAATTGCAGATTTTTTTTATATTATTTGAAGTTCTTATTTTCTAATATATATTTAATTGAAGAATTTACAAATAATTGAAATTTCGTAGAATTGAATATTGTAAAGAAATGTATTTGAAAATTGTCAAAGAACTTTTTCGAAAATTATTAAAAATAATCGATTTTAAGAAGAATTGTAGTTAAAAATTCTTTGTAAATAATAATTGAATTGTAAATGATTTTATTAATTTGCCATTTTTAATTAATATAAAACATGAAGATATGAAAAATTAAATTTATAGTTTTAAGTAAAATGTTCTCTTATTTGACTCGAACTGGTTATATGTTTGTCAGTAATTGGTCCGTAATTTTTCATTTTTGGCCCGTAAAGTCCGTATTTTTAAATACTTTCACTGGTTCGAGCCCTGGTAATTACTCTAAAGGAAAAGAAATAAAAATACTTGTACCACGAGGAAGCGGAATTAATTTAAACAGACCTGTAATTGGGCAACAAAATTTTTCATTGATTCCGCTGGTCCACTGATGGTCGCACTGTCTGATGAATTATGACAGGCAATTTCAATATCAGGAGGGCACAAATCCTTCAAATCTTCGTATCCCAAACCAACGGCGGCCATTGATCCTCTCACAACTTCAGTCTCAATAGAGGCGAGACCTCGGGAATAAGCACAAAGTACCATTTGTTCGGCAGTGAAGCATTTATCGGCGTAAGCGCAACCCAATTCTCCGACAGAATGACCGATTATATAGTCCGGTGTAATACCCACGGATGTCAGCAAATCAACCAAACCGATCTGAAATTGTTTGGTTTAATCGTTAAAAACAACGTTCTCACTCTCCTCTCAAGCGAGGATCACTCCTTCGCTTTCCAATCGAGTTCATCTTTACCTGGACAGTTGCAATTCCAACAAAAGAATTAAGAATATTGTCAAATATCTTCTTGTCCTTGCTTGTCAGAATATTGTAAATATCAACACCACGGGGTTTTAGAACAGCGTCACATTTTCGTACAGCTTCAGCGAAAATGGGGAAACGCATAAGTGCTTCTCCTGAAATTTAAAAAAAAATTGTGTTCTTCAATATAAATTCGTCTCATGTGCACAAATTTTTTAAGACAATTGCCAGGGTGGCCACATGTCAGTAAAGTTAGGAAAATGTCATGAAAACAACATTTTTGTCAGTAAAATCAGGGAAATGACAGGGAAAAAAAATTTTTGTCTGGGAAATTAAAGAAATTATCACTTTTTCCGACTTTTTTTCAAAAATTGCGAATTTTTCGACTTTTCTTTTAAATATTGCAACAAAATACCACATATTCTAATATAAAATGTAACTTATATCGATTTTTAAAGTGCGAAAAATAACTATAAACGAATCTTTCAAAAAATAATTTTTGAATCACTTTTTTAAGATATAATTAAATTTTTCAAATATATATCTGTAAAAAAAAAACTTTTTGAATAATTGAAATTTTCTAAAATTTAATTGAAAATAATTAATTTTTTTCAAGTAGGTATTTTGTTACAATTTCGTAAAATCAACTTTTGAAGAATTTCAATTGCAAATTTTGTAAATAATTGAATTATCAAAAATATTAATGAAAAATCTTTAAATGTAAAATTTAAAAATGAAAATTCGCTTCTAATTTTTTAAAATTCAATATTTTCAATATTTTTAATTACATTTTTCCGAAAATTCAAATACACACGAAAAATAATATTTTAGAATTATTTTTCACATTTTAGAGAAAAAATTATATTACAAAAATTCTTTTAAGAAATTCAATTATTTTTAAAAAATTACATTAAAATATTTTTAAAAACTAATTCTTAGGATTTTCTTTATCAAAATTTTTTGATTCAATATCGAACAAAGTGAATAAAAATTTATAAACATTTACTTTTTTAGACTTATTAAAAAATTATAAATATTTATAGTTAAAATTCTTCAAAAATTTGATTATTTTTATTCATATTCTTCAAGAATTAAATTATTTTTAAAAGATTTTATCAAATTTCAGTTGTTTGGAAATTTTTCAATTCTATATCATTAAAATCTTTAAAAAATTATTGAAATATAGTTTTTTAAAAATTAATTGTAAAAATTTCTTTATTATAATTTTTTGAAAATATTTTACCTTAATAACTTAAGCACGGACAGTTACAATTATTATAAATAATCGAGTTTTTGTATTTAAATAATAATTGGATTCTAGAAGAACTTTCGAAAAATCATTTAAAATAATTTATTTAGAAATGAAGTTAAGTTGAAAATTCTAGAAAATAATTGAATTCACGTCTCGTAATTATTTGATAGATGAAAGATGATTTACCCATTCCAGGCCATTGGGAACCCATTCCGGCGAAGACGAACCAAACGGGTCGTTTATTGCCCGGGAAATGTTGAATTTCTTTAATCGGACTGCTTCCAACGTCTTTTCCTCCCATTATGGAATATCCTCTATACAAATGACTCGGAATGTCCTCAGAATGAATATCATGAAGCAGTCTCACGTGCTCGACATCTACCGGACGGCTTTCGATCTTTCGAAAATTTCAAATATACAATATTAATATTTTGTTTAAAAGTTCATTAAAATTTTTTTTTTGAATTCTGTCAGCGATACCAAAAGATTTGACAATTTTGAATCAGATCGCCTAAAGAAAAATTCAAGAAAGCTCATTTTAGTTATTTGACAACTTATCTGAATGATAAAAGAAATTTTTACAAGTATATAATTTAAATAATAAACATCTTAAACTTCTTTGTTTGGCCTGATGGCCAGATCGTATCTGGTAAGATTTTTAATAATTTGAATTTATTTTTCTAGTTTTAAACAAAAATTGCGTCTATGCAGAAATGCACAAAGAAAAGAATAAAAATAATAATGCACGAATAATTCGTGCGTTCTCTCCTATTAAGATTAAAAGATAAAATTTACGAAATTAATAATTAAGGTACTGATTAAAAATTTTGGCAAAGAATTTACATCATTCAGTAATGTGTGAACAGCTTCTTCGGTTCGTCCGGAAACAACAACGAGCCTAGGTAAATCATCCGGAGGTGCTCCATTGTTGACCTTCTCTTTTTGATTCGATCTAAGTAAAATGTGAGCGTTTGCTCCACCAAAACCAAAGGAATTAATTCCCACGTAGCCCAATTCCCAAGGTGTTAATTCGGTTATAACCTTGATGCGTCCATCTTCCAAGGCCTTTACACCTTCCCTCGGTTTATTGTAATGCAAATTTGGAGGAATAAAACCAGTTTCCATCGCAATGACCACCTAACGAATGTAAATAAATATTAAAAAATATAAACATGGAAAAATATTATTGTCTAATAACTAATTATTCGACAAATAGACAACCTTAGCGACCGAGCAGAGACCACTGGCAGGTTCAGAGTGTCCCATATTGGACTTGATGGAACCAATCTTCAACGGAGTTGTTCGTCCAGGACAGAAAACCTTTTCAAGAGCATTCACTTCTTCAGGATCTCCAACTTTTGTTCCAGTTCCATGGGCCTCTACGTAATTCAACATTGTCGGGGGAATTCCACAATCTTGATAAAATTCCTGCAGAAGGACACTTTGCATAACACTTGAGGGGAATGTGATTCCTTGTTCCTTGTAACCATCGCAATTTGTTTTAGCGTACACATAAGTTGCATAGACTCTCTTTGCATCCTTGGCCTTTTGCAGAAAAACTACGCTGATAGCTTCACTGCGAGTGTAACCATTCGCATCGACGTCGAATGATTTGCATCGTCCGTCAGGTGATAGGACACCTAAAGAAAAAAAAAGAAAAGTGAAAAAACCGAATTGGAAAATCGATTTTTCGATTCGAATTTAAAATTATTAAATAAAAATAAGTTTATGAAAATTATTATCAAAGTCTTCAGTATAGATTATTTTTTCTCTAAAATTATGTTTTTCTGTTAGTAGAAAAATACCAGCAAAAATTGAATTTCCAAGAAAAATAATATATTGAAAAGGCCAGTTTTATTTTATATACCAAGACGCGAAAATTGAAGGGATACGTAGGGGTGGAGACAAAGATTGGAGCCGCCGACAATTGCAGCATCACAAAGACCATCACGAATCGCTCTGTATGCATGTTCCATCGCAAATAAACTGGAGCTACAAGCTGAGTCGACAGTATAACTGGGACCATTGATTCCCAACCAGTAAGATATTCGGTTTGCAAGCATAGCTCGACTGCATCCTGTGATACCAAATCCATTTACCTGAAAAATTACAAATTTTCATATACTTAAAACTTTACATTTCTCTCATTGTCAGTAGAATTTTCCACTTTCGAGAAACGACAATTGTCAATAGAATTTTCCACTTTCGGAAAATGATAATAAAAACAAATAAAACTCCCTATTTGATTTAACAAGTCGATAATGTTGAGAATAAGTCGCGAGAGGTCAATGCTATTTAAATTCGAGCAGGAAACACGCATTATATCGCACAGTGTTGTTCGAAAATCCAGTCAAATTATTTCACGCATATATTTACATTCCATTAACAAAAATAAAATTAAAAATGTCTCATTGCATTAATTTTAAATAAGATAAATAAAATAAATTTTAAATAAATTCAAATTCGAAAAAATTATATGAATAATTAATTTGGAACAATGTGTGTGATTTTAAAAGAATATTTGAACTTTGACATTATTTTCTTTTAAGGAAACTAGTTGTTTGAACTAAATTGAAATAATTGACTAAACTGAATTGAAATAATTGACTAAACTGAATTGAAATAATTAACTAAACTAAATTGAAATAAATAACTGAACCAAACTAAAATAATTAACTGACTACATTAAATTAATATAATTAACTAAAATTGAATTAAAATGATTAATAATTTTACAAAAGTGGATTTTTTCGGAAACGAAAAATTATTTTCACCTGCAGTTTTTCGTAGAACCAAGTTTTTTCAGATTCGGAAAAACATGCGCCGATGAAGACACCTGTTCTGGTGCCACGCAATTTTCGAGGATTAACTCCAGCATCAATGACTGCCTCGTACGTGTGTTCCAACAGCATTCGGCACATTGGATCCATGGTGTGTGCCTGCTTGAAGTGAACTCCAAAGAAGACGGAATCAAATTTTCCAACATTATTCACTTTTCCAGTTCTTTGGGGAATTTCCGGATGATCTGAAAAAGAAATTTAATTTTTAATATTCGTAAATATCAGATTCATATTCAAAAATATATTCCTATTTCCAAATCTCAAAAAAATCAAAATATAAAAAAAAATATAAATTAATATTTAATTAAAAAGTAAAACTACTTCTTTAAAAAAATTTGTTGATTAGATTTACCAGAAGCTTCCAGAAGCAATTTTAATTTTACGTCTTTTGATGTAATCTTGATGTCACTTATTGACAAACTTTACATCAATAAACAATTAGCTCATTTTAATTTCAAAAGTAGGTTTGAGGCCGTTAAATTAAAATAGATTTAACGTCAAGACCTTTAATCCTTTTTTTAATTTTGCAAAATACAGAAATTAACAAATTGTACGTTTTACCAAAAAAACCATTTTTAGTACAAATAAAAAATTTATCTATTAAAATTGGAACTAAATTTAATAATTTATCAGTTATAATTTCAATAGATCAATATTTATTTTTATTAAAACTTTTCTTTGTTTAAAACGTGTAAAATTAATTAATCCTTTAATAGAAAAACATAAAAATAAATGAGGAGCAAATTTTCAAAAGCTGATAAATCCATTTTTAAAAAAATTGAGATAAACATAAATTTAATATTTTAAAGACCTTACAAATCGACCTGTCACTGTTAAATGTAAGAAAAAAATTTTATTAACAACGAATTTTTAATTTAAAAACTTTTTGACATAACCAAGATGACTTATAATTTTTATGTTTTTTATTTAAAAAAATTACCAAAACCTTTAAATCACTTAATTATGATAATGTTTAATTAAAATCAGAACGCCTTAAATATAAAAACATTGTTATAAGAATAAATTAATACAAATTTTTTAATTTAAAATTAACTATAGTGGTTATGTGAGAAAAGTCATTTGTTTCATTTTCTCGAAATAAGAAAATATGGATTTATCAAGTTTTGAAAACTTGCTCCTCAAATATATATATATATATATATATATATATATATATATATACATAAAATAATAAAAATAAATGTCGATCTATTGAAATTTATTATAACTACTAGCAAAGTCCTACGCGCGCGATGCGCGCGTGAATGATTTAAGGAATTATCACGGTAGCAATCTACCTATCTGCTTTCCACAGAAAAAATTTAATAATTTCAATTTATATTCTTGCATGTTTACAATAGTTATGATTTTTTAAAAAATCTCGGTATTTCAACTATATTATCATTTCCACGCCTCAGAAGCCATTTAAAAAAATTGCAAGAAGATCGAAGGCGGGGAAAGCAGTGATTTTTATTTTTTGTCACGGATTTTTCAGAAATCCTAAAATATAAAATAAATCAAAATCACTGCTTTCCCCGCCTTCGATATTCTTGCAAAATTTTTTAATGACTTCTAACATTAAAATAAATAATTAGCAAACGAAAAAAATTGCTTCCAAGGGGTGGAAATTATAATTTAGTTATTTAAATACCGAGATTTTTAGAAAATCCTCGAAAAATCAAAATTACTATTTTTCTTGCCTTGGATCCTTTTGCGATTTTTTAATGGCTTCTGTTATTAAAATAAATATAATTACCAAGTGAAAAAACATGCCTCTACTCAACTCAAGTTTCAAATGTAATTTTTATACATGTAATTTTCTCATGAAATCCCTCAAACATTTTTTAAGCTCATATAAATGTAATAAAATTCAAACTCAAAAGATTTAAATTATAATTTCTGCAAATATTTTAATTTTCATTCTTATGTTTCTAATAATGGTTGGGGTACAGTTTTTCTAAATCGTATTTTCTAAAATTTTTTTTTCTAATAAAGGTGAATTTCTAAAAAACTTTTTTCTAATAATAAAGGTGATTTTAAAATTTTCTGTCTTCTAATAAAGCTAATTTTCTAAAAATTTATTTTTCTAATAAAGGTAATTTTCAAAATTTTTTTTTTTTCTAACAATATTCTATTTTTTTAATCACGATCAATAAGTACATATGATTTAAAAATAAAATTTACGAAAATTTGTTAATTCTTTAAAAAAATACTTGATATTTCGTTAAAAAATTATAATAAAAAATAGAAATTATGCAAATTACTTAACAAAATTTTTAAATAATCTGGTTAAAAATCGTAATTAACAAATTATAGGGATTTTTTCCCTAAAGATATTTAAAATTTTCTAAAAAAATTTTTTATAAATATATTAACTTTGGAAATTTAAATGTAAAAATGATGCAAATTATTTTTTTTCAAAGAAGAATAGAATTTTGTTAACAAATTGTGATAAGAAATAGTAATTTTATAAAAAATTTTCTTCATTTTCAAAAAGAAACTTATAATTTTGTAAACAGAATTGTAATTGAGAAACAGAAAATTTAATCTTTATTTTTAAACAATTTTCTAATTTTTATCAAAATTATGGAATTTTAGAAATTTTAGGAAAATAAACGTTAGAAATTATAACTTTTTATAAAAACTTTTTTCAGAAAACAGATTTAATTAGAAATCGACTTTTTAGACAAAAAGGTGTAGAAAATACTTTTTTTAAAAATAGTGTTCGCCTACCCTAATAATTGTTAGTATTCATCCGAAAAATATATTTAATACATTGAAATGTTGATAATTGAAGGAAAGAAATGTTTAATAGAATTTATAAGTATTATTTTTTCTGAAATAAATAAAGTACCCGATTCTGCGTAACCGGAATGGCAAGAGTATCAAAAAATGTAAAAAATGCGGAATTTTTTTTGAAGTTTATTGAATTATCATTTTATAGGAGACTGAATTTACCAAAAGAAATAAAAATTCTAAAGATTTAATTGAAAAACACTATTTTAATCTAAAAAACATACTAAATATTTAAACTTCAAAATTTAAGTGTCTTTAATCAATTTATTTTTGTCAAACAAAAGTGGCAAATAAAATTCAGTTCACTAATTAAATTTATAAGAATTAACAAAATAATAGAGAATTCTTGAAAAAATTACATGTATTTACCATTTTTAACATCAGTTGAATATAGGCATGTCTTGATCATTTTTCTTTTATTTGTAAAAAAATTTCTTTGCATCAAGTGGTTATCACACATATGGGAATACTCTTAACCAAAATTTCTATCAAAACATTAATTACTATAGAAAAACAAAAGACGACATTTTCTGTTCACGGAATAGCAAATTATTATTATGTATTATGTATTATTAGTTCTAATTTTAAAAGATCAACATTTATTTTTATTAAAACTTGTTTTTTCATTAAAACATGCAAAATTAATTAATTTTTTAACAGAAAAACATAAAAATAAATATAAACATAAAAATAAAAATAAATGTTGATCTATTGAAATTAGATGTAATAAATTTAATAATTTATTAGTTCAATTAATTTTACAAGTTTTAACAAAAAAAAGTTGCAATAAAAATAAATATTGATCTTTTCAAATTAGAACAAATAAATTTAATAATTTATCAGTTCTAATTTCAATTAGATCAATATTTATTTTTATTAAAACTTTTTTTTAAACATGTAAAATTAACTAATATTTCTGTTTTAAGAAATTGAAAAGAAAATAATTTTCACAAAATTCGATAGAAAATAATTTTTGAAATTATTACTAATAAATTACTTTCACTGTAATTCTAAAACAAATTTTAACCCAATGAAATTTATTTCTACTCTTCGGAAAATTTTCCCTGTTTGAAATAATGAACAATAATTAATAAACGAAACGAAAGAAAAATTTCAATATTCATTGACAAAAAACTGACCCAATTTCCATCGTCGATCGTCGTCCGAAATAAGATCTACCTTATTGAACAAATTTTCCTTAAAATGTTTCACATCATCGGAATCGGGAAATCTTCCGGCGATACCGGAAATGACAATTTCCTCATCAGGACTTTCGGCAATGACTCGTTTGCCATTGCAAACGGTGGTTGTCGTTTTATTTTCGCTCATCTTTAATAGGCTGAATATCCAAAATGTATAGACCCGCCAAATGAGCACCACTAATTATTATATTCTCACTAATCACACCACATTAATTTTAAATGGAGAAAAAATTTTCCTTATTTTGCTTCTCTATTATATAATAGTCCGAGTAAGAATGAGAAAATTTTTAAACGTTCTTTTATAACAACGGATACCCCCACTTTAAAATCGAATGTGAAACTCCAAACCCCAATCTCCTTCAAACTTGGTAGCCATCGAAATTTAATACGAATCGACATTAACCCCAGAGTAGCCTTGCTCTGTTAATTAGAAATGCACTACAGGAAGCAATTGACTTTTTCTTTTAAAATAAATTCGAAAAAACAACATACATATATGTCAAAAAGTTAAAATCTTTTTTTTCCTTCTTTCATATAATAAATTATTCTCAATTCTTTTTATATTCCAATCTCGAAAGATATCTTCAGTTCAATAAGTTCAATTTTTACTAATAATAAAAAAATACAAATAAAAAATAAAATAAAAATATAATATAATAAAAAATAAATAAAAAATGTGTCTTCAAATTTAGAAAAGATGGAAATTTATATTTGTCAAACATTTATTACACAAAGTAATATAATTTTTTTGATTTTTAAATTAAAATATATTATTTTTTTATGTAAAATGGTAAATTATTCTCCTTTGAATCTTGAATAGAAGTAATAGCAGTAATAAAAAGAGTAAAAATAAAAAAAACAAACATAAGGACAACTAGCTTTTTCTAGGGCATTGAACTTGAATTCCATTGATAGTTTTCAGAACGCTCTCGAAAGAAATCCTTTAAAAAAACAATAAGGCGGCTCACAATGAATATGCGTTGGTTTTTATGCGGTAATACATCCAGTATCAAAGGTTACCCGGACGTCGCATCATTCTGCATAGAATATCCATAAATTAGTAGTACTTGTTATCAGATTTATTACAAGTTATATTTGTTGGGCCATTAGAAATATTTCGAGAGTTATTAGTTATTTCCTGAAAATGAAACACTATTAGAACTTTTAAACATTATGCAAATTATGTAAATTATTTCAAAAGTAGTAAGTTTTTTGCTTTTCTAATTGTAAAAAGAAAATGTGATACTTTTTGTATGATTGGAAAATTTAAAGAAAATGTTAATTATTCAGTCACTTTACATATATTATAAATGAATAATAATTCGAAGTCAAAAATAAAAAATGTGAATATATTGTTTTTTATTTTAAAATTAAATGAGGCTGTTTTCCTTTTATTTTACTTATGCATGAAACATAAATTATACAGAAATACTTGTTTACAACTGAAATTAGAATATTCAGTTTTTTTTAACAAATATAGAATTAAAAAAATTGTAAAAAACTTACCGAAAGATACTGTGATTTCTATTTTTATATTAGATGCGTATATCATTACTCGTTGGAAATGTTAGAATATTTATTTCTTCCTCGACCATCAAGAACTTCTGTTAAATTCGACATGACACTAAAATCAGATGTGTAATTCCAATTTCTAGATCTGAAAATTAAAATAGTTGTTGGAAAATTGTAAGGCGATTGCAATGTATGTCTTGAATATGAAAATTATAATATTTACTTACAATGAATCTATGCTAGTCAGACTACCACTTAACCCTGGTGTCAGTGATTTTCCTTTAATTTTTAGCAGTTCAAGTATAAAATTGGAAATGGATATGTAAATACTTTTACCAGATAAGCCCAAATAACGGGGATTGTTTAATTCCAGAATTATTCTTTCTGGCATTATCGAAGGCACTTTAAGTGAATCTGGATCAATTTTTATGATTTCTACCGAGGAAAAATGCACCACGAATAAATATGGTGCACTGAATGCTGGAAACAATAATTAAAAAAAGTTCAATTTCATATTCTGTAAAGTTCAAATATTATCAGAAATAAAAAAACTTAAGTTCTTTTGTTTTTTTGTGTTTATAAGAAAAAAAGAAAATGAAATAGAAGATTTTTTACCAAATGCAAACGGAAGATGACTCCAGTTGAGATTTTCACATCTAATCTTCTGTCCAGATCCATTAACAAAAATGCCAAATTCATTGTAACATAATAAAATTTCTACAGTTTGTAAATCAATAGAAACATCCAGAGCATAAATAGGAAATATTTTGAGTCCTGTTAATTCAGTAACTTCGTCAGTTCTCACAGAAGAATCATCTATTTGTGGAAAGTCTGAAAAAGATCCAAAATTAAATGAATAAAAATACAGAAAATACAAATGTAAAAAAAAATACTTTAATTGCTTTAAAAAATAATTAACAAAAAATTAAATTTACCATTCATTTTAAATGTCGTCATGTCTATTTGAAAGAATTCGTTACAACCAACAATGAGATTATTTTTTATAAATAAAACACAACTGCAAGGTTCTTGTGTTTTAATTTCACGTATCTTGATAAATTCACCAGATTCTCCATTTAAGGTCCATTTTAGCAGGCTGTAGAATAAATTTCATACGAGTGAAAAAATTCAAATTTTACTAGTGTTAAAATTGAGTCTATAGACTTAATTTTACACTGTTTATTGTAAACAATTTCAAGTCATTTTAATTTAAGTAATTTTTAAAGAAATACTTATTATGACACATAACTGAAAAACTAATTAGAATTAAATTTTCAAATTATATTATATTTTTAAACTTTAAAGTAAATAAAAAAACTTTAAGAAATTTTGATACTAATTTCAAATTTTACATCAGATTTTCAAAATTGAAAATAATTAAACTTTCTGTTGTACGAGGTAAATTGAATTTCGCAAAAATTGATATTTGATACCTAAATTAAAAATAATCTTCAACTTTCTGAACAAAGAATATAAATTATATTTTTTTTTAGAGAATATTTCCATTATTTTAAATTCGCTGATTTTCAAAAAAATTTCGAAAAATCAATTATTTAACAAAATTTTATGCAATTTATTTTTCACAATAATTCAATTACTTTCACTAATAATAAAATTTTTCATGAAAAATCAATTTAAAAAAAAATTTTTTGATTAAATTCTAAGCAAGAATTTAATTATTTTCATAAATAATAAAACTCATCGAAGAATTTCAATTATTTTCATTACTATTTTAAATTAATAATCGAAAAATTCAGTTATTTTCACAAATAAAGTTTTCACACAAGAATTCAATTATTTTAAATAATAAAATTTTCATAATATTTATTATATTTCGAAAAAAAAAATTATTTAAAACAATGTTTATAAAATTCTAATGAAGAATTCACTTACTTTCAAAAATAATAAAACTTTTTACAGAAATTCAATACTTTTTAAATATTTTAATAAGCTTTTCCGCAATAATTCAATTATTTTCAAAAATAATAAAATTCTTCTCTGTAATTCAATTATTTTTGAGAATTATAATAAAATTCTATTCAAATTAAAAACTATTCAATTATTTTCATAAATAATAAAATTCATAGCAGGATTTCAATTATTTTTAATACAATTTTACAGGAATTGCTCAAAAATTTAATTATTCTTAAAAACTTAATTTCAATTCCTGGACAAAAATAAATCATTTAAAAAAATGTTTTTTTTAATTCTATGGAAGAATTGAATAATTATTTTCAAAAATTTAATAAAACTGTTCGAATGAAATTAATTGTTTCAAATACAATTTTAATTAAACTTTTTTGGAATAATTCAATTTTTTTTAATTTTAATAACATTTTTTCTAAGAATTCAATTATTTACACAAATAATTTTTCGAAAGAATTCAATTATTAAAGATAACACAGGCTGACAAAATTTTGGCGAATCTCAGAACCAAGAACCGGACAATACTTTTCCGAAGGTTTTTGACGTGCTGAATCCGAATCTGACCTCAGAATTGCCCCATCACGTCAGGTTTTTGAGATATTCTAACCTTTAAAAAGCCTTTTGAAACTTGAAAAAATCTTTATTTTTCACTGAGATATCGTCATTTGAAGTTTTTGAATGTGGTAAATTGGTCAATATTCGTATACTGACCAGATTCAAAAACTTCAAATGACGATATCTCAGTGAAAAATAAAGATTTTTTTAAGTTTCAAAAAGCTTTTTAAAGTGGAAGAATAGTACTTTTGGATGCCGCAAATAACTTTTAGAAAAAAAATGTTTTCTTGATTGTACAGGACTTTAAAAATGCCAAAAAAAAGTGTTTTTGGAACTTTTAGGTTAGAATATCTCAAAAACCTGACGTGATGGGGCAATTCTGAGGTCAGATTCGGATTCAGCACGTCAAAAACCTTCGGAAAAGTATTGTCCGGTTCTTGGTTCTGAGATTCGCCAAAATTTTGTCGGCCTGTGTAATAGATAGATAAAAAAATTACTCCCGAAAATTCAATTATTTTAAGGTATTTTAATAAAATTTTTTTCAAAATTCAATTATTTTCATAAATAACAATATTCATCACAATAATTCAATTATTTTTAAAAATAATAAATTTCTTCTTGAAAATTCCATCATTTTAAAAAATTCTAGTAAATCGTTTGCAAGAATTCAATTATTTTCATAAATAATAAAATGTTTTTTAGGAATTTAATTATTTTCAAAAAAATTTAATCAAATAAATTTGTCCTGAAAACATTGAAAATTTTTAAGGTCCTGAAAACATTCTAAGTTAAAAAAATTTAATAAAATATATATATAAAAATATATATATATATTAAAAATAAATATATATTTAATTTAAATAAATATATATTTCCCACAGACATTCAATTATTATTGACAAATTTGTAAAATTTAATTATCTTTAAAAACTTTTCGCAATTCAATGATTTTCAATACCTATCTACTATTTTCATAAAATTTCCAAATAGAATTCAATTATTTAAAAAATTGTTTGTAAAAATTCAATTCTTTTCATGAATAATAAAAATTTTCATCAATTCAATTATTTAAATTAGAATTTGCATAAAATTATTCGAAAGAAATGAATTATTTAAAAATTTTTATAAAATTCTTCGCAAGAATTAAATTATTTTAAATTCTTTCATGAATAATAAAATTCGTAGCAGAAATTCAATTTATTAGCAGGATGAGAAAAAAGTAAATATTTTTGATGAAAATTAGGAAAAAGTCAGGAAAATAAAAATTATGGAATGGAAATTTTGTCAATTTTGTAAAGTGAATAAAACGAGTTTTTTTGGGGTTTTTTTGACATTAAAAAAAATGAAAATAACCCACAAAAATTAATATTCAAAACAAACAAATGAATGCAGATAATTTGCTAACGGAAAGGAAACTTACGATTATTATAATGTATGTATAATATGTATAAATATATATATATATATTTTAAATTTACTAAAATTGATTTAAAATTTCAATAATTTAATAATTTTAACATTTTAAATTTACTTACATAATGTGAGAAGAAGTTGCTGCACAAATTGTCTCTCCTTCAACTTGATAAAGATGACAATTATTTTCGGATTCAGCCAAAATACGTTTTGTATTAATTTTAGGTCGTGAATATTTGAATGATAGAAAATCAAATTGTTTAACACTACAAGAAAGTAATTGTCTTTCTTCCTCAGCAATCATCAAAGCCAATCCCAAATTGTAATGTAGAGACAATTGATGAACATTTTTTACTCCTCTAATTACCTTCAGAATTTGAGTTTGCAAACAGTGATAAACGTATAAACCTTCTTCTGCGCCTATTAATAAAACTCCTTCTTCAATTTCCAAAACACAGTTCAAATTCAGCTGAAATAATAAAAAATAAGGGTTGAAAAAAATGTTTACAATCAAATAAATCATATCAAATTAAAAAAAAAATTTCTAAAAATATTAAATACCTTATTTTTTTCCAGTTTTAGTATTGTTTGGCAATCAATAAAAGTGCTCTGATCAATTTGCAAATAATCAATATCTCTTTCGGGTAGATCTGGCTCATTTATTGTTAGTGTTTTCGGACTACTAGTGGAATTCGAAAAACATTCTGAACTGCTCTCCAAATTTTTAGATATACTGCTTGCAATTGGTACAGTGACAATATTTTTTTCTTCCACATTTCCTACAAGTAAATTGTATTTCTTTTCCATAGAAGGTACATTCTTCGGTGACGATAGTCTTGATATTTTAGTATTTAATAATTGTTCCATTAAAACCTTTACTTTTGTTCTCTCTATTTCCAATTGTTTTTCTAATTCATGATAATTAACGGCAGTCGCAATTTCAATATTTTCCTTTTTTTTAAGACCGAATAATTTATTGTAGACGCCTTTTTTCTTTTTATTGTAGTCGTCGATTTTAAAGTTGGTTTGCTGTGTGTAATTACTTTCTGCTTTGGTTTCTCTCTCTTTATAAAATTGTCTCATTTCATTCATAACATCTTCTCGTTCAGTGACTCTCATTTCAAGTGCTTGACATTGATTGGCATTTTTTTGTAAATCCGAAACAAGATTTATATTCAATTCTTTTAATTCATAAACTTTCGATAAATGCTGTGAATTTTCTTCTTTAATAATTTGTGTTTCCTTTTTTGCCATATCGACTAATTGCTTCATTTGTGATAAATCGCATTCTAAATTACTACATTTTAATGATATTTCAGTAATTTGTTTATTTAGTTTATAAACTAATAATTTGTATTCATCTCTTTCTGTAATTAAATTATCTCTCTCGTTTTCAATGTCACTCATTTCAGCATCCAATTTTTCAATCGCTTTTTCTGCAATTTGTCTCATCGTATTCTCTTCACTTTCAACTATTTTGCATTTTCGAATATTACTTTTCAAAGTTCGTAAATCATTTTGCAGTTTACTTTTTTCTTCGAGGAGACTATTCTCTCGTTTTTCGAAATCATTTGTCAGTTTTTCATAATCATTCAATTGTTCCTCAAGAATAGAACAGGCTTTTTTAAGTAAAGTATCGTTAACATGACAATTATTATTTTCTTTTTGTAGTTTCTCGATTTTATCTTCATATTCACTTATTATCTCATTTTGTTTCAATATCTTTAATTCAAAATATTTATTAAGACTATCTATTCGATATTGATTTTCTCGAATTTCCCGGAGGGACGCATCTAATTCTCTTCGTAATAATGCATTTGAATGCTGAAGTTTTTCATTTTTTTTATTCGAGTTTGTTAAAGCCTGTAAAAATGATTAGAAATTGAAATTGTTAATATTAAATTTTTTGTAAATTAAATTTAATTGTAGTTAAAAATTAAAATTAGTTTTAAAAAAATTACAATTAAATTGTAAAAATTAAAAGCAAAAACTAGAGAGAATTAATAATAATAAAGTCCTTCAAAAAATTTTATTATTTAGAAAAATAATTGAATTCTCGCAAAGAATTTTATTAAAATTTTTAAAAATCACAATTTAATTCATTTGAAGAATTTCTTTGAATTTTTTTTAAATTAATGGAGATTTTTTGATAATTTTAATTGAAAATTTTGAAAGCAATTGAATTTTATGAAGAAGAATTTTATTAAAATTGAATTGAAAACAATTGAATTCTTGCGAAGAATTTTACTATTTATAAAAATAATTGAATTTTTTCGAAGGATTTATTAAAATTTTTATAAAAAATTGAATTCTTCTGAGGAATTCAATTAAAATTGTTTAAAAAATCATTGAATTGTTTAGAAGGATTTATTAAAATTTTAGAAAATAATTTAATTCTTTTGTGAAATTTAAAAAAAATTTTTGAAAATATGAACAGTAATAATTAATTTAGTAAGTACTTAATAAGTGAATTTTTTAAATTTTGATCATGAAATTATTTTAAAAATTTATATTTGAAAATAAAAATGTTTAATTTGCATAAGAATAATAAATTGAATATCACGTTCCGCGCGCTAGCTCGCGTAACATTTGCTAGTGTTTTAATAAAATAAAAATAAATAAAAAAATTTACAAACAAATAAATAAAAATTATATTCATATAAAACAACCTTATTAGCCAAATCTGCTTGTATTTTGTTATTTTCGGATTCTTTGGTTAACTCTGCCAATGAAATTTTAGCAATTTCTATTTCTTTCAATACTTTAATGGATTTGTCATCATCCTCTTCTCTTTTCTTCAATTCCTCCATCAATTTTAGTTTCTCCTCTTCTATTAACTTTATTTTTTCTTCTTCAGTTTTAATTGCTAAACGTTTATCAAGATTGGCATCAGATAGTTCTCTTTCTTGTAATTTTTTCAATAGTTCTTCTAATTTATTAATCTTCTGTAATTGATTTTCTGGAAAAAAATTGTTTTTCAATATTACTGACTTATGAAAATGTTTACAAATATTAATTAATTTATTCATAAAAGAATATAAATTCAAATGAAGTAGAAATAAAATAAAATCAAAAAGAAATATGTAGAATAAAATAAAATGACACAAAAATAAAATAAAATTTAATAAACGAAAAATTATACCTTCTGTATTTAAAGAGGTACGCAACTGAAGTTCAAAAGTTTCTTTTTCCTTTTTAACACTTTCAAGATTCAAAAGCGTATCTTTAAGTTTCGATTCAGAAATCTAAAAAATAAGAAAAAATTTATTAATTCTAGCAGATGAAGGATTAAAATAGATTTCACTCACTTTTGATTGATATTGTAATTGCTTATTTTCGGTAATAATTAACTCGTTCTGATCTCGTAAATCTATGTATTTTAATTTCTCCAATTCCAATTGTTTCTGAACTTCAGATAATTGATCATGAGAACGAATTATCATTTTCTTTAAATTGTCCCCTATCCCTTGAGCACTCTGACGACTGCATTCCTTCATTTTATTTAAAGACTCTTTATACTGAATCTGAAAATAAAATAATTTATTAACATAAAAATATTTCCTCTCAAATAACTTATAAAATAACATTACAACAAAACTATTTAGAAATTTTAAAAATTGTTTTTATTACCAGCAGTGCTCGAAGCAGTGAAAGTATTTAAAAATACGGACTTTACGGATCAAAAATTAAAAATTACGGACCATTTACAGACCAACTGACAAAAATAGAATTAGGCCGAATCAAATAAGAGAACATTTTACTTAAAACTAGAAATTCAATTTTTCATAACTATAAAACATGAAGAAATCGATAACTCCGAGTCTTCGACTCGAAGTCATCGATTTCTTAATGTTTTATAAAAATTAATAATAATCATTAATAAAAATAATTTATAATAATTAAAATCATTATCAATTCAATTATTATTTTTAAGAATTTTTATCTAAAATTCTTCTTTATATCGATTATTTTTAATAATTTTCAAAAAAGTTCTTTAAAAATTTTCAAATTCATTTCTTTACAATATTCAATTTTACGAAATTTCAATTATTCAAAAATTCTTTAATTAAATAAATATTAGAAAATAGAAACTAAAAATAATATTAAAAAAATTCAATTGAACTTTTTAAAAAAAGTTAATTACAAAATTCAATTATTTTTTAAAATTCACGCAATATTGCTTTTAATATTCAATTATTATCTAAAATTTTAACTGAAATTCATTTTTATGAAAATCAATTTTTATTAGAATATTCTACTAGAATTCAATTATTTAAATACAAATAAAATGCAAATAAATAATTTGTTGAATAATTGAACGTTTCTTAAAATTCAATTCCCACAAAAAATCGTTATCAACAAATTTTCGAAAATAATTGAATTCTATGAACGAATTTTAATAAAATTTTTAATAATAATTACATTTTTCGACAAAATTCGATTAAAATTGTATTAAAAATAATTAAAATTCTGCATTTATGAAAATAATTGAATTCTCGCGAAGAATTTTATTAAAATTTTCAAAAATAATTTAAATTCTTGTAAAAAATTAACAGGAATTCAATTATTTTTAAAAATTTTAATAAAATTCTTGGCATAAATTAAAAATAACAAAATTCTTAGCAGATCTTCAATTACTTTCAGAAATTTTAAAAAAATTTTCGCAAGAATTTAAATATTTTCGTAAAATAATAAAAATCTTTGCAGAGATTCAATTATTTTTCAAAAGTCTTAATGAAATTCTTCGAAAAAAATTCAATTATTATAATCTAAGATTTTAACTGAAATCTATTTTTAAATCAATGTTATGAGAAAATTCTACCAGAATTTAATTATTTAAATACAAAAATAAATAATTTATTGAATAATTGAATGTTTCTTGGAGTTCAATTCCTATTAAAAATTTTATTAATAAATTTTTAAATAATTAAATTCTTTGGACGAATTTTAATAAAATTTTTAAGAATTTTTTCGAGGAATTTGATTAAAATTCTATTGAAAATAATTTAATTCCTAAAAAGAATTTTATTATTTACGAAAATAATTGAATCCCGGTAAAAATTTTATTAAATATGAAAATAGTTGAATGATTGCGAAGAAATTTATGAAAAAAAAAATTGTTATTAATGAAATTCTTGTGAAATTTTTATTATTTTTTGAAAATAATTAAAAGTTTTTGTAGAATTTTATTAAATTTTTTTTTTAAATAATTAAATTCTTTTGGTAAATTTTATGAAAATAGTAGATATTGAACAATATTTAATTTTTGCGAAGAATATTATTAATTAATTAATAAATTAATATTAATATTAAATAATGGAATTTTATTACTTTGGAAAATAATTGAATTCGCGTGATAAATATTGTTAATTATGAAAATAATTGAAATTTTTTAATGAATTTTAATAAAATTTTTGAAAATAATTAAATTTTGCTATTTATTTATAAAGATAATTGAAATGTTGACAATGTTTTTTTTAGATTTTTTGAAAATAATTAAATTTCGGAGAAGAATTTTAATATTTCTAAAGATAATTGAAATTTTGACGAGAATTTAAAAAAAATTTTGAAAATAATTGAATTTTTGCGAAGAATTTTATTACTTTTAAAAATAATTGAATTTCTGTAATCGTTTGTAATTTCTCTAAAATTCTCAAAATTATATCGTACAATTTACGAACTTTCCATCAGTTTTGAATGAAATTACGGACTTTACGGACATTTTTTTTAAAAAAACGGACTTTTACGGACCTGAAGCAAAGTTACGGATTTTTTCAGGATTTACGGACCTACTTCGAGCCCTGTACCAGTTTAATTAATTAGTACGTTTAAATTACAAATACCTGTAAAATTTTCAATTTTTCCAATTCGGTATTTGATGTATTTAATTCAGATTCTGTTTTTTGTAGCTTATCCCGTAATTCAGCAATCTGAACAGTTTGTACGTGTACTTTATTCTTTTCTGAGTTTTCCCATTTTCTTTTTGCACCCTTTATTAGATTCAGCGTTCTACTTTCTAATTCTTGTCTCTCTTGTCGCTCCAATTCTGCTGAAATTAATTAATTTATTAAACAAATTAAATGTTTATATATTCAAATGAAAATTATGAGACTCAAAATTGTATACAAACTCTCTCGCAAACTGTATTGTTATAATAAAACTAAATCTTGTTAACACAAATATAAATTACCTAAAATTCGACTTATGCCAGCAATTTCAGATCTTGCAGTCATTAGTTTTCGTTCTAAATTTTCTCCTTTTTTATTCGATAATTCAAGGAGTTTTGATTTTTGGAATAACTTATGTTTTAGATTAGAAGTGGCTTTTAAATTTCGACTGTGTTTACATTGAAGCTCGTGTAAAACATCCTTTTCCTCTTTGTTCTCTAATTCTGTATTCTTGTCCATGATTTTCGATAAAATCCTGGTATAGAATAAATTATTTATTATTAATAAATATACGAAAATGTCATTAAATAATTTGACAGGAATATCAAAAACACTAGAAGCAGATTAGTTTGTTTACCTTTTTCATTCACAGAATTTTAAGATTAAATTTTATTTTTTCTTCATTTTTTTTTATTGTAACATTTGTTTACTTTGTTCACTCTTTTAAAACATGTTCTTAAACGTATTTACACACTAATAATTGTAAATTAAACTTCATTTTAAAATACATTTTTTTAAACGATATTTGTTGTTTTTAGAGTTGCGCAGTTCATGTTTTTGTCTATAGTTGGTAATTTCGAGTGTAGAGAGCAGGTATTTACTGGTGACATCTGGTGTTAAATTTTCTATTGTCGATAAGCAAAATAAATTGAGTCTGGAACAAAACAAGAAGACTGTCTGGAAAGGATTTTAATTACATATCCCGATAACCGTGACTTTGTAAAATGATATAATAATAATTGAAATTATATAATCAAATCTATATTAATTATCGGTAGTAGGTACAGTTAATACTGTTACGTTTATTTTACAATTCTGTAACGAAAGAAATAATTTTGTCTCAAACTGAACAATATATACAGTGTTATTTTTCTTATTTAGAATAGTTTTAATATATAATATATTTAATTATAAAATAATAAAAAAATGTATTCTGTACATTTTTCAGAATGTTAACATTTTTGCTTTTAACTTCGCGCGGTTTAGTTAATTATTAAATTAATAAAAGTGAAAGTTAATAATAATAAATTATACATTAACAATAAGTAATAATTAAAAATCAAGTTTATGAATCAAAATCCAGAAAAAGTTGGACAATACGCGGTGAATTCTTTGCTTTTTGCTCGTGCCCGTGTAGTAGGCTACACAATGATCATAAGATCTGGCCCCGATTTGGGCCATGGTTAAATTTCTACACGGGTGTCCCTCGTGTAGTTTTCTCATTGTTCTTCACCTCTATTTTCATTATTTTACATGCAAATATTTCTATTTTTATGTTCTGACAGTTGGCTATGCCTCAAGTCATTTAAGAAGAAGAAGAAGAAGAATATTTTTATTTGGGTAAAACTTTTGAATTTAATTTATTCTTCCTTGAGAGTTATGGGAATATTTGATATTTGTTAAAATAGTTGCAAAAAGGTATCAAATTATACGAATGGTGTACAGCAGTAAAAGTTAGGTTAGGTATCCAAATTTTTTATTCTTTATATTAATTGTCTATTTTGATAAAATTATTTAACTAAACTAGTTTTTAATTAAAAGTTTTTTGATTATTTATTTGGTTATAGTAAAATTGCTTAAAAAAATAACAAAAATAATCTCAGTAATGGAGGTGATAGAAATGAATGAAAGTCGTTTTAGTTTTTCGGAGTTCTATTGCAAATTTTTTGTGAAAAGGATAAAGTACAAAAACTTTTTTTTAGTTTATTAGTTTATTTTGCACGTCTCTCATTATGTAAATCGAAAATGAATAGCTTGAAGTACCTATGTGTTGACAACTTTAACAAAACTGGAATTCAACAGGGAAAATGGTCTCCAATTTCTACAAAAAGTGAGTAAATATAATTTTTTAAAATCATTTACTATAATTGGTGTTGTTCCAAATAAAAAGTTTTGTGTAAGATAAACGTTCCATATACTTGAACGTCCTTGGAAAGTTTTATTATTTTTTTAGGGGGAGGGAAGTTTTAACTTTAGGTTTAGATATATCTATTTTCAAGTTTCAGGAATAAAAAACGTATTTCTTGAGAGAACAATTGCCTGAGGCAGTCAACCAATTAGCTAACTCCGACATCTTCCCCAAAATCGTTAGCCAACGAAAGAAGAAATACTCTTCTCATATAGAAGTTTTGCCTCAGGCACATTTAACTTTAATTTTATATTTTATATTTGCTCCAACTAAATCTTCAAAAGTCAATTCCATGAGTTATCAGTTCAAAAGTTACTTTTTAATGTTTCACAAAGTAATTTATAAAATATATAAAATTTTGAATATAGTTAATTTGTATAATTATAACAATAACAAGGAGATTTAAAGTCTTGACATATAATGCAAATAAATATTCCTTAGAGATTGTACCAACTCTGGTAACTAGAGAGAATAAATGATGATGAAATGGTTTTAATAATTATATATGGACATGAAGGTGCAAAATATTTTCAAGTATACTGGTCGTGACAAGTGCAATTCTTAAGAGGCTCTTCAGAACATCATTATGAACATAGTTATTGCAATGCAAAATAACAAGATAGAACAAGAAGTAATATATTGTAGAAATTTTCAGAAGCTCATATCCACTTTTATTAGAAGCAAAATGATGAGTGTAGGTGAAGATAATTGAAATTAAATGAGGTCAAGTGATAACTTCTAATTCTCTCATGTTTTATTATTACTGTATATTTGAAAAGGGAAAAAGTTTTTCGTTATATTTTTGATTATTTCGTGTCAAATAACTAAATATTAAAGAATTATTTACATAGAATCATTTATTTATTGAATCAGACAATTATTATTATTTAATTAAATAAATACAATTTATTTAATTCACAGTTTCAGAGACAGATATTCAATTTTAAAATTTCTTTTTTATTCTATTATTTAATATTCAATGGCCTATAATTTTGTTTACTGTGTTATGTACTCCTGCTCGTATATAAAATAAACGTCACAAAAATATCCGGAATACGTATTGCCGTCCTGATGAAGAAAGTCTGTATTCGACATTTTTATGCAAAATAAGTTTTTTATATCACTGGATTCGTTACGGAAAAAGCAATCTAGCTATAGTAATATTATTCATATATAATAATAATTAATTTTAGAGATAATCAGCCTTTAATTGAGACTCCGGATCTTAAAAGGGCACTTTCCGCATAGACTTTACATGGTGAAAGTGCCCTTTTAAGATCCGGAGCCTCAATTACTCTATTATCGTGAAATCATTTTGAAATAAAATAACATTTTAGGGTCAGTTGGGGTAAATAGAAACAGATTTGCTAAGTTTCACCAATAACATAAGTTTTTTCTTTTAAATTGGAATACTTTCGGTTTTTTTGTGTATTGCGTTATTATTTCACTTCCGTGGAACAATTTTATGGCGAAGTAAAAAATATGGGTATCATTAAATTGCAATAATCAACTGTTTCTATTTTCCCCTAAATTTTTCAACTTTGCAAAAATTTAGGGGTAAATAGAAACAGTTCATTATTTCTTAAAAAAATTTAAGAAAAAATCAATTTTAAGTATGGAAATGTTAAAAGACACAAAGAATTACATAAGAAATTGTGTTATTTATAAAATAATTCAAATTAATAATTAATAATGCATTACATAAGTTTAAAAATAAACCATGCCAAAAGTTGAAACACATTACACAAATAAAGGTTTGTTCTCTCTTTTTCTCTTCTATAGTGTTGTAGTTTGATAGAAATAATTTTCTCATTTATATTATATGAAATATTATTGAAATTTCTGCTGTTTCTATTTACCCCGAATTTCCAGTTTTTAGGGGTAAATAGAAACAGTCTCCTATTTTTTATTAAAGTTTGCAAAATGAAAAAATCAAAGTTGGTTTTTGTTGTAGTATTAATAAGAGATAATTATTAGTATGAATTTTTATTTTATTTTTTCCAAATGCGAGTCAAAAAAGTGAAAGGGTGTCTTCTTTGATTTTCAATTTTTTATGCAATAGGAAATATTTTTTTATATACTGCTGCTAATTGACAAACGGAAAATGGGAAAATACTTAGAACTTGTTGGGGGTGATATAAGCTTCAAGATGTAAGGCCGTATTCATTTAAAAAATTTTTTATTTAACTGAAATAACTACTGTTTCGATTTACCCCTTGTTTTTATTTACCCCATCTGACCCTATGTACAAATAATTATTTGATATTCAAATATTTTATTCCTGATGGAATTTATTGTTCTCCTTTATTTTTATGAAACTTGATACGTGTTTTTTTAATAAAGTATAGTCGTTAAAAAATAGTTTTTTAACAGCGGGTTTGTTTTATTTATATAGACGATACACATCCACCATTTATGGAAATTTTATTTTGTATATAGAAAAGAAGCAAAAATTTTCATTAAAGTATATACGTTATAGTACCCACGTACAAAAATTTTTCTTTTGTTCGTTGGTTCGAATTTTCCATGATCGGTTCAATATTTGCGTTTGCGTTGGTCTAGCCTTTTTACACACAATGCTGCACCAGCTGCATATGGTTGTAGTATGCGAAAAATAAATGAAAATTTTATAAGCATAGGTGGCTTCTCATATGATTTTTTCAATAGGTCTCAACCGCAGGCAAAATCCAAATTTTTCTGTACACGAAAAAAGTTAAAAAGTGTATATTGTACAAAATCGCTAATTATTAATTATTTATTAATTATATTAAACATGCATTAAATACATTAAATGTATTAAAAAAAAAAGAAAACTTAAAAACTTTCCATATATTTTTACCATAAATGCGTTAAAAATAATTTTTCAATTAGAGTGTCAAGTAAATTCTCTATTAATTATTTATGAAAAAGATGGATTGCTTATTGATTTGTAAAAATCTCTGGGATAACGTAATTGTATTTGGGAAAAAAACTATAAAATAATATAGTGGGATTTTATTGAAAATTATTAATGAAAATGTTTTGTTACTGGGGTGACGAATATGTCATGGGGGAAATATCTCATCTCCCATATTACACTTTATATACGTCATTCATAGTTTGGTTTTTTTGAATATTTTTTCCATGCAGTGAACTTTTTGATTCAATTAATTTTTTTCTTGTTAATAAATAAAAAAACGTGTTTGCTTACATTGGGAAAATTTGAAACGATTTCAAATTATTTTATATAGAAAAAAAGTGAAAAGGATATTTGAAATGATGTTAGATGACTATATATATCAGGTTAGATAGAACGAGGTGTCGGCGTAAACGAATTATCTTCATGTCTGAAAGACTTATCTTGACGGATTGGATTAGTTGAAAGACTAGATCGAGAACCGATTGGTTGAAAATGTCAGAGAAAAAAAAGAAAATTTTGTTAGAAAAGGAAGTTATTCTCCATCTTTCAAAGTTGATATTATATTTATTGGCCGAGGGAAGTTGCACAAGGATGAGTTCATTGTTAAAAAAATTTAATTACATATGTCTCTGCAGTCAGATAGGTTGCCACAAGTCAGATAATTTAGGTAAAAGTCAGGAAAATTAATGAAAAGTTAGGGAATTTTATTAACAGTACTGAAAAACATAAATTAAATTTTTGAATTCATAAGAAAATTCTGAATTTTTGTGTCTTTTTGTTTGCCTTCCTAAACTATAAAATTACCACAAATTCAAATACAAAACCTTCAATTTTTTCCATTTCTGACAATAATATATTTTACATAATTTAATTCTATAAGAACATCATAAACTTATTACTTATAAATCATTCAATGGATAATTTTAGATACGTTAACCTATACATTGGGACCTATTGCATAATTAACCATAGAGTGTCCAACGTCCTTCCGGCAGGCCAAAAAGTCTCACCTGAGTTCCTCCGAAATCGCTTTGTAAAATTAATATGGATTTAGATAAACATAACAAAAAATATATCGTTGGAAAGGTAAAAACGTCATGAAACTGAAGTTACCAACGTTGATTCAACGAAAAAATTGAAAAAAAAATTTTCTCTAAAAAGTTCAGGATACAATTTTTTTTTGTTTATTTTTAACCTTCGCGCTACCAACGATTTTTTTAGTCTCGTACATAGAGTTTAAAAAAAATTTCGAAAGGTTCCAACACGGAGAGAACTCGATATATATTCAAAAGTAGATATTGAAAAAATAAATATTAAACTTTAATATTTAGATATTCAAATCACATGCTAGATATTAACGCTTAACATCCAGATATTTACTTTTAATATCTAGATAGCTGTCCCTATGTTAAAGAATAAAAATATTAAACTTTAACATGTGAAGTCGGGGAAAACAGTGAGTTTGGTTTTTTTGACACGGATTTTCTGAAAATCCAAGAATGAAACAGGGAACCCGGTCGGGTTTTCTGTTTCACCCCGGTTTGGGGAAGCCCGGTCAGGCCCCTACACGGGTATTTAAAGAAAATTCCAAGTGATTCCAAGTCGGGGAAAGCAGTGATTTTGAATTTTGTTGTGTTATACGAATTTTCCAAAAATTTCGAAATTTCAACTTAAATAATATTGGAATTTAATTAAAAGAAGGAAGCAGTTCGGTTAAAATAAAGTAGAATCAAATATAATATTAAAGTCAAAATGTATTTAAGAAGATATACGTCTTTACAAATCGAGAGCCGGCAAGGGACTAAAAAAGATAGTGTAAAATTCACTATGGTCCACACGACTACATGAGCTGGCCCGTATCGATATCATATAAACAAAGTTAAGAAGGTGCACGTGGCACATATATATGAGCATCTACATTACTGCATATATAGTTAAGGGGCACACCTAGTGTGAGTGATTGAAAAAACGTCGATTTTTAGGAATTTTTTTCAGGGAAATTATTGCATCTAATTTTTTTTAA